CATTTAAAAAATAATAAGGAATGTAACACAATAAACAGGTCAAAAGGACCGTTAAAATTTTATTATGAATCGGTGCCAAAACTCAACTTGCCACAAAGGAAAAATTTTAATGAATTTCTCACACAAGTGTTTGCATGATTAAAACGTACATACGAAACTAATTAGCAAACGTAAGCTTTCACACGGAAGTAACTCCAAACTGACACAATTAAAAAATACCTTTTAAAAAAAACCTTACACACATATACTTCTTTATTTAAATTTAGGTATCCCACTCAAAGTCTTTATGTAATCACTAAGAACGTCTTTCAATCTGTGCTAAGCGATTTTTAGTAATCACTAGCTGTTACCGTGCGGCTTTATCCGCATGAAATTATGAAAAAAATATTTTATTATTTACATGTGTCAAATTATCAATAGCAAATGTAAAAATGACATGACATGACAAACCTTGGCAATCTTACTTGATGTCGACAGGAACTTATGGTCTCTTTCCCACATTAGGGTTTTTATCCAAAATATTTACCCCCTTAGTTTAATGGCGTAAAAATCTATAGTCTAAAGCGTGACGTAAGTGTAGGGTTTTTAATTAAAAAAAGAATTATTCAAAAATATACTGTAATTGCTGACATCTTAGGCAACATAAAGTGTGTGTTTACGCTTTATTATAATAGTATAGATTAAGATTCTGAGTGGGGTAGTAAAATTCCTTGAACCTACAATCTTTTAACAAGGACCATATTTTATAGTAAAGTTGAAAAAATCAAAGACTCATATATTAATTGTTAAAAGCGGGAGTTGTACAAGAATGCGCTCCCACTAACACCCCCGAGGAGGGAGGGGGTGTACGCTGCGGTATATTCAGTTAATTAACGAGCCTCTTTCGATTAATTAATGGCGCTAATTACTAGGACTTCATCAGGACGCCGCTTGTTACTAGGCGTTACATAAATCTTTTCATATATAAATTTTATATCAAAGCTTATAAAACCTTCATCGCACAATTTTGTTTGACGTCTATTTAAAAAACAACAGTTTCACAAACGATCTTACAATATTAAGTTACTTATCATCAACAAGCTCGAAGCTTACACTTAGGGGTGACTAGGCCATAGTCAACTACTTGCCCACTGCGGATAGAATTCACACATTTTGAATTTCTTCGCACATCTGTAATTGCATCACGATGTTTACCTTCACCGTAATAACAGAGAGTACGTAGAAAATCGAAAAATCAAAAAAACAAATACAGGAAACAATACAACCAAGGTATTGTAGATTAAAGTAGCACCTGAATCAGTGAATCTCGTCAGCAAACGTCATATAAATTTAATCTTCGTTTAAAAATACATACGAATAACTGGATACGTGTAGAAAAGTAACAAAAAAACACGCACCGCAGTAATCAGCGTTACATTAAGGTGAATAAAAATGCAAATCAACGCTCCACGGAATCGAACTCGGGACTGATTTACGACGGGTACGTGACCCGGTGAATGCACCGCCCAGCCTATAGGCCCACGGGTAATAGTGGATCGGGAATAAATCCAAGGGGGAGGGGGTGTCGTAAAAAGCCCGTCGACAGAAATGGCGGAAAGACGGCAGTAAAGTATTTTTAAGAGCATTATAAAATGGCAAATCGATGTTCGAGAAATAACATTTCTGATGAAGACATACGAAGTCTCGATTTTGATTTGATTTTAATACAAAATTTAATACATTTCATACTTTCATCTAGAACTTTTTTAATTAGTAGAATCGTAAAGAAAATTATTTAGAAATTCACATACATAAATATCTACAGATATTAAATTGATTGTGTCAAAAATTACAAAAAAAAAGTTAATCACGGCAGAAAATCTAATTTTCTTTTCGTAACAATCTCTTTATTCATTAATTCTAAAACGTACGTATGTCAACGTTATAAGATCTGACCATACATAATTATTATAACAAAACACAATTATCTATCTACTTGATATAAAAAAACAAACTACCCCTTGAAACATTAACATTACACCGTTAGTAAAATACATTTAAAACATTGTACAGTATAATTAAAACATTGCTTTAAAAAAAACAATTAAAATAAAAAGAATTTAATCCTTGTTCCATTGTTTAAAGTGATTATACAGAAACACACACATCGAATCACCGCGCATGTGTTGCCGACACACCAACACGCAGCTTAATCCGACAAGCTTTCTAAAGCCATGGATTCTTTAAGCTCGCAGTACAAAGCTGTGCAGCGTGCTTTGGCTTCACCGACACACTAATGTTGGGTTATTTCCAGCTTAGCATTACGAAAGCTTTTAATTCGAAGCTAAGATGCTGTGCTTGTCTTTGCAGTGTTGTATACACATAATATAATTGGAGTGTCTATTTGTTTCAAAAGAAAAATTCCAGATTTCGGGAAGAGGATGTGTTTGCGTTGCTGATAACGAAAATCGCATTTAAAAAAAATTGTCATGGTAATTTCCGAAACGGCTGGGCCGTTTACGACCGGACTTTCACTGAAGGGTAGCTGACATAGACGGGCATATTAGAGGCTACTTTTTTAACCTTAATGCATGGACGAAGTCGCGGGCGACAGCTAGTATTAATCCGCTTACACGAAGAAAATTCTCCACGTAACTTTGTGCTTAATGTGCAAAGATTATGAAATTCCACTATCGTATACTTATCTCGCTTTCAATATATTTAACAGTTATAAATTGTTTACTTTACTATCTAATAAGTCCAATTTATTTATACATTTACACTATTCTTTACATTAGCGACGTTTCAAAACGTTGAGTCAGCTTTGGAGTCCAATTATGAGGCTAAGACAAGTACTTTGCAACTTTTGTCAGGCCTCAAGTAAAATAAACTAGAATTTTAGATAAATAAATAAAAAAAGCCTTTTATTCCATGCCCTTTAAAGTTTACAAAAAAATAGAAGATTACATAGATATAGAATTTTAGATAGAAACATTATAAAACTTAGAATAAATACATTCGAAACAATAACATAGGTACATTGTAACTTAGTTCTATAGTATACTTGTGAAGCATGTAATAAGCTTAGATTAAGTTGTATTTGATTCGTTAGCATCGTAGCGTAATAATAGACAACTGGAGCCTTTATAACATCCCTTTTTAAAACGAGATTATATCCAGATTTTGTACTTCAATAAATAACCAATTAAACTACTAATTTACCTATTTTTCTACCAACAAAGTTATAATTGTCAACAATTTCCTTCGTATTTGTCTTTCAAACAATAAATTTCCGCATAATGTTACGATTTAATGTTACAACTATGTTTTCGATTTACTTATGACTAAATTAAAGCTGACAACAAATTATTTGACAACCGTGACATTTCCTCTCGTTTTGTTAAAGTAGTAATATTTAAAAAAATTGATATGACGGCTTATTAATCCCGTATAAAACTGCTCGTTTATCAGCTACCTCACACTCCAAGGCTATAAACAGTTACAAAGTAACGACGTTAAACATTTATTTATAAACCCACCGAAGGAATAAAACTTTTAATCACTCCCAAAGCGCTCAATAACCATGAATTAAACTCAACGGAGCGTCATTACAGCGTCTTACTGCCGGCCGCGGAGCCGTCGGAGGAGCCCTAAAGCACAATAAATACGCACCCAGGCCGTGCCCGTCCATCATTTGGACATTAACACCCGCTCGTAATCAACTACACCTATAAACCATTACTCTAACTTAAATAAACTACTGGTGCAACCGCGACAACAAAAACATATTTTAACTCTGCATTTAATAATAATTAAAGCTTTTAAATAGTAATTGTAGAATAAAATTATTTTAATTAAATAGAACCGTTTAACACGCGGACACGATTGCCGATCGATAATAAACGGCAATATTTAGAAGAAAGGGACTTACCTTTGGCACATGTAAACAAATGGATGCAGGCCAACAAGAAAATCCAGTTACCGACTCCAAAGCGATACATCCCTGTCCGACACATGATTCAGTACACTACAACAACACTACACTATAATTTTTAATTCATAGTTATCACATTTTCACTTAAAATTCCACAAATATTGTATAATTCGTTGATCGAAACAACGCAGATATCAAACCGAATAATCCGCCATGTTCAGGCAGGCACTGCTCACTGCTGCGTTCGAAAACCCGGCTCAAACTCAATATCGAAAGGTCAACGTTCGTGAGGGATTGAAGTGAAGTTGTCCCTTCTGCAACGCAAGTTAGGGATGCTGAGGACAAAAAAAAATATCTATGGATGTTACTAAATATAGACACCTTTAAAATCTGTGTCACCAATTTCAATGAAATATCGTGAATGTTTTTTGTTGTTTTTTTATCATTTTCTTACATTTTGAACTTCCGTTAAGAATTTTATTTAAATTTACCCTAATAAATGTTTTGTTATCACTACAATATAGGAATAATAAAAAAATTCATTGTTAATTAAAAATCTTTTTTATAATTAAAATCCAAATTAAACATTTTCGCTTGTTTTTGTTTTCTCAAGGAAATTAAGAATGCATTCTTGTTTTCTTGACAATGACAGTGACCTGACATGACACTGACATTTATGTGACACCGATGTAAAGCTCGTAACCACAACTAGTGTTGCCAATGCTATGGGAATTGCCGTGTTTTTCGGCTTTCCGGCCATCAAATTACAAATCTACGGAGTACGGCCCACCGTAGCTGATACTGTGGCTTTTCGAAAATTTACAATGATTCATTGATTTTCTTTAATTAGCTCATTTTTAAATAGCTTTTAAATTAAAAATAAAAAGGTATCGATCATTAACAATGATTTGTACCAGAGAAAATGAAATTTAAACAAGTTGTTTTCGATTCCATAAAACAAACAAAGGATCATTTTAACACAGTTTATTGATATTAACGACTTTAAAGTAGCTAATGCTGAATAGTTTTCCTTTTTTACTGGTGTACAAATGCGACTTTTTTATACGATGTACATGGCTGGGTAAAAAATATTCATTGGCAACATTTTACAGCAAATGTTAAAATGTTTATAAAATCATTAAATATTGAATTAAACTAAATTCGAGTTTCATTTTTATTTAAAATGGAACTCATATATTCGATGAGTCGGCCGCCTTTAAGATACGAACCGCCACATTACGAGAAGTATGTTAGATTACAAAACAAGTAATATATTGTAGGCAGTGAATTAAAGTGTAGTATTTTCCAGTCATGCAGATCCAGACACAGTGAAGCCGATTTGCACGATATCATCGTGTAATATTATTGCTTTTTCATCAGCAACAGAGGTACTAGACGTGTGTGGTAGCACGTGGAGTGGTCACGTCTATGTTTGTGACATAGACACACCATGGGAAAGTTATAAAGTGGCCAACACTACTCATCCTGTAAGCATTTCAAACAGTTACTTGTGTGTGATCATCCAAATGATATATATATAAATAATGCCCGAGTGTGAGAATATTATTTTATTATGGATTTCCAGGTGACCGCTCTGGAATGGGACGCAGAAGGGAAGCTGTTGCTTGTAGGGACAGTAGTTGGTGATGTGTCTGTTTTTGCTCAGTATGATTATTTGCTTAATCATTGGACTCCTCTCTATTCTGCCAGCTTTCCAGGTGTTTATTCTTAACTAACTTCTGTTGGTCCAAATTAAAAAAAATAGCTATTGGCTGTATTACTGTATTGATGTAGCATTTCAATGCTGAAAGAATTGTAACTGTCCCATAGTTTTTGAGTTTATTCATTACTATCTTTTGCCCAAGTGACTCCATCTGTGTAGAATTAAAAAAAATACTACGAAACATGGCCTATGTTACTCACTGACAACATAGCTTTTTAATAGAGAAAGAATTGTTAAAAACGGCCCAGTTTTTGAGTTGTTTCATTACAAACAAACAAATATTTCTACTTTATTATATTAGTATGAATAATTTATACTATTTGATACATTTCTAACTAAATTAATTTTTTTATTTGAATCTATAACCTGCAGTTTATAAGTAATGTGCTTAACCACTGGGCCAAGTGTATAAACCTAGTAAGAGGCTTTCATTCTGTTATTGAATTCTCAGGTGAAAACATAATAAAAGCTGTATTTTTCCACAATGGTAGAAAAGTTATTGCACTTGAGAAGAAACCTGATACACCAATCAGTGATAGAATACAAATGATACGATCGGTACCAACTCTGAAAGGCTTCGGGTGAGTCAAAATCACTAGAAATTACTAGAAATTTATGCGGAGAAACACAATGGCCTATGTTAATGACACTGTTTTAATATAAATATCTTGATGCCTTCACATATTGGTAAAGATATTCAAAGCTATGTGTGAAGTCAACAAACCAGCACTTGGCCAGTTTGGTTGTCTATGGCCTAGCCACCCCTTATAAGGATAGGCTCCGAGTCCCTCAGTGGAGATAGATATCTCACATAGATATGTGCAGTGGTCTCTTCCATGGCCTATTCTGATGACCATTTGTTTGTAACCTTACATTATTATAAAGAAATTTATTTACACCAGTGGTATAGCATGCGAAGGAGCTTGTATAATAACGGCTACGGGGTTAGTGGGTGCGTTGACCCCCGCCCCGGATTCCAACATGGCCCTCGTCGCTTCAGACTGCCTCCGCTCACCCAGGGATCACATCGCTACTGCCTCATTTGCACATAAGAGTAAGTGTTACTCAAACTGTCGCCGGTGACTGTCCGCGATGTTAACAATTAAATAGGAAATACCCTTAGTCTTATAAAAGTTAATTATAATATTTAGGGCCACAATTCTTGTAAATTGTCAGATAACAATCCAATGTAGAAAATATCGGATTTTGGTACTCTCTGACAGTGACGTCACTTTTAAGCAATCTGAGCCTCTATCAGTCAGTGGTGGGACAGGCATTTAGAGTGTATATGATCTTGTGTTAGACGGCAGTATCCTGATAGCGGCGGCGTGGCGCGGCAACGGGAAGCGCGGGGTGCGGTGCGCGGCGTGCGCTGTATTCCGCCCCCCCGGCGCACGCGCAGTCCCCGTACAAATCACCTTACAACCCCTACCTACGGTATATCTACTCGACAGTGATTCTGGTTTGTATACATTTTCATACAGTGTTAACTAAATGTGCTTGTAAATTGTTTTTTTTTGTACTGTACTATCTACGTCTGTTTGGTAGGGAAGGGGAATGACGACGAGCTGTCCTCCCCTAGCTTAGATCATTGACTGACGATGCCATGACCTCTTCATTCTATAATACAGAAAAAGCTAGCAATGAAAAATGTATTAACAAAAGTATTTAAAAATTGAGTAATCGAAAAGTGGTTTCAGTTAGAGCGCCAATAGCCTAATGGTTTGTGGTATGGACTACTATCTTGCGGTCGAGTGTTCAAATTCCGCCATTCGACTGTTGTAAACTATATCCTAGCACAAGCCTAGAGCTTAGTTGGAATGGTTAAAGGAAATATTAGTAAATTAACACAAATCTACTAATAATTAAAAAAAAGGTTTAATTATTTTATTAAATTGATTTATTTGAGTCTTTTACAATGTTGGTATTATTTCAGTGTCCATAACATGGTGTCTCCGGGAGGATACAGATTCGTTACTGATCGCTGGCTCAACTCTCACCTTGTGGAAGTTGACAGAGCGCTCCTATCCTGTACATAAATTGCTCTGTAAAGGTAACTAGCTTTTATCCGCGACGCCGTCCGCGTGGAAAGCAAAAGTGAGTAGCCCATGTGTTCTTCCAGACTGTCCTCTACATGTATGCCAAATTTCATAAATTTCCGTTCAGCAGTTTAGGCTACAAACAAACATCCATCTAAACTTACGTATTTATAATATTAGTAAGAGAAGGTAGACCCTGACTAGGAATATAGAAAATCTGTACAGGTGTACATCTTCATACGTGAATTAAAACTAAATCTAGGACTTTAGATTGTATTTTAAATGCTAAATTTTTTCTTCATTGCTTTTTAGGTCCTGTCCAAGGTAACACTACACCCGGCGGAGGTCCTAAAGCACCAACAGACTGTTTTAACACTGTGGTAAGAATTATTCTTATTTTTTCGACAAAAAAAGACCAATTTTTAAGAAATTTGTCTGTTATTTCTACTTTAATGTCTACTAAAACTACTAAGCCTAAAGGATAGGAAGAAGTAAATTTGAGGGAAGGGGAAAACCTGGGTCTGGGCGTCCCTCCGTCTATTAAAAAAGAATTATCTGCTTTTCTGTCAGCTGTTGCTTTACTATTCATGTATTCAAGCGATTATTTTGCCACTTTATATGAAAAATAATAACTGTTGGCAGGTGTGGCAGCAGACGGCGGTGTGGGGGGCGGAGGGCGGGGCGAGGCACGTGGCCAGCGCGCGGCTGCCGCTGGCCACGCCCCACGTGCTGCTGGCCACGCCCACCTCGCTGCACCTCCTCAACAGGGACAACCAGCACTACGTCAGTCACCTAACAATATACTACCTGTTTGTAACCTAAGAAACATAAAATAATCAAATATAGCCTATGTTACTTGCAGATATATTACCTTTCTAATGGTGAAAGAATTTTTAAAATCGGTCCAGTGGTTTTTACGTGAATCAAATACATACAAAAATGCAAAAATACAAATCTTTCCTCTTTATAATATTAGTATAGATAGGCCTAATTTTAGTCCCTTTCCCTTTCCACTCTTTTCTTAAAAGGAAAGGATGTAAAAGAAAAGTGTACTTGACGGTGGAGGAGACGCATATGAAGGGGAAATGTCCTCTTTATGTGCGTCTCCTCCGTCAATGAAGGGTAGGCAGCGCTGCAATTGCGGATGTTTATGGGCAGCGGTCGCTTGCCATTTCGGTGGATTCAGGCCACTTGTTCATTTAACACCTTATATTATTAAAAAAACTATATTTTACTAAGTAGCTGTTCTCATGCGGCTTTATCCGCAAAACATAAAAACTTTAATTTATTTAAATTTGCCAAATTCTCTCTAATGTTGGCAGCCCTTTCCCACTTGAAGGTTTCTTTGCAATGTATTTACCCCCTAATTTTAATAGCATCAATATATGTTCGGTACAGATCGTATGCGGTCATACGAACATAATTTTGTATTTCGCGCTCCGGGTTTAGTGCGGGTAAGCGCGCTTATTTTATTTTTCTCGCACGGGCGGGTAGAAGAATAAACCCTCTCCACTACGGACGGGCGCGGGGCCTGCGGAGAGGGGTGCGAGAAAAAGGTCGGAATCGAGCAGCCAAGCGGAACGGTCGCGAACACTTGTGCGGATTAGAGTTGCTCTTCTGATAACGCGGAGACACAACAGGTGTGTCGATTTCGGTAGCGAACGGGGTCGCTAAATTCGGTTTCGCGTTCGAAATTGCTGATACATCTTCAGGCAGCATCGCTGGGCCTATAGACTTGACTGAACCAGACTGACTCGATTGACATTGACTGAGACAAGGCACCTGCAGGAGGTGACGCAAATTCATCGAGCTGGTGAGTACCATTTCCCCATTACGTTTACAATATTATGCCCTCCGGTGCAATCGTAGTTCAAGGGTAGGTTGTGCCGCGGGACCCGAACCCGTTTGTACGGCACAATATATATAGGCTATAAAGCGTGTCCGAAGTGTAGGGCTTTTTATAAAAAAAATATTCAAAATATGCTGTGATTGTTGACATCCTACATAACAGAATTGTGTTTACGTTTTATAATATTAAAATCGGTTTTAATAAGGGAAATAAAAAAAATCATTAAAAAAACGACTATTACGTAGATTATAATGTTTTTTTTTTTCAGATGTGTACTCGTGTTGTCGACACCGGTCTCGATTCGGACAGCTCAACACCGGCTAAGAAAACTAAATACGGAGAATTTGTGGTAAGTTTAAAACAACTATTCTGGTCCTTTTCAAGCATGATAATAAAATCAATATGAATACGTAGCTTGTGTGTACTAGGATTTTTTTGCACCATTTTTCAATGAATCCAGAAACAGAACACGGAGTTTTACAGACTAGAGAAATAAAAAATCATGTACTTAATATTATACTCGGTCACAACTAAAAAACTTAATCTAGATCTAAAACTAGGATGAAATATAAAAAAAAACACAAATATCATTAGTTAGCCATCTGATTCCAGCTAGCAGGACTACTGCTTAATGCATGTCTTCTATGTGGTCTTGGTATTGACGGCGAGCCCCACAGTACGAGTATGTTAAAGCGGGCTCTACCATTGTTAAATTGACTTTTTCAGAATCTTTTTTTAAGTGTTCTCATACATTTACTTTGTCATTATTCCTCTGTACATCATCATCATCATCACCAGCTCACTATATGTCCCCAGAGGGGCTCGAAGCTTTTTTTTTCTCACTAGGAAATGCTTTTACGCATCCCCCCCCCCCCGTTGCCAGGGGGTATGTTAGACTCGTCGGCCAAGAAAGAAGACGTGGCTGGAATACCCACTAAAAACCCAGCGATGTTCCTCCTGTCTGCCGATGGCTGGGTCACGGTAACACTCTTCCACGACCCAGCCTGCGCCGTCCGCAATAGCGGATCCACTTTAAGGGGGGAATGGGCCCCCATCCTTCTTGCAAGGGGCTCGAAGCCTTCCAACCACGCTGGCGAAGTGCGGGTTCCTCTATGCGAGGTGTTTTTTTTGTCCAGTCGTGGGAGGGCTCTGTGCGCGCGAGCCTGTCGTGCGTGGACGTGTCGCAGCTGGGCGCGGTGTGCGCCGCAATCGACACGCACTCGCAGCTCTACCTATTCAAACTGTCGCCCGCCGCTGATATACGTATGTACCATTTTTTTATATTATAAACGAACAAAAGGCCTAATTTACAGCAAATTTACAGCATTAGTTGATCTTTCAACTTGCAATGTACCTGCAACTTCTTTGTTAGGTTTTTTGTTATAATATAAAGTGGCAAACGAGCAAGCGGCCTGAATCCACCGAAATGGAAAGCGACCACTGCCCATAAACATCCGAAATTGCTGATGCGTTCCCTACCCTGCATTGACGGAATACGCACATAAAAAGGACATTTCCCCTTCCTATGCGTCTCTACCGTCAAATCCACTTTTCCTTCCCATCCTTTTCTCTTAAGAAAAGGGTGGATAGAGAAAGGGACTAAAATTAGGCCTCCGGCACCACATTCATCAGACTGTACGCGGAATTGCTCCCACTTCACTCCTGTCTTCTCTGTGGTCGCGGTATCGGTGGGGGCGAGTCGACCCATGTGCGAATATGTTAAAGCAGGCTCTACCACTGTCAATATATACGCTTATATTTATACTAGTAATTCCCGTACGGCATCATCCGTATAATAAAAAATGTGTTCTCGTCTACAATTGTGATATTTCCAATTGCTGTCAAAATTCAAATGAACAATTGGCAAGGAAAGGCATCCTTTAATGCTGTTAGCTTGAAGTTTTTTCCAAATTATTTACACCCTAAGTTTAATAAGAGAATTATAAAGAGGTGTGTGTTTACGCTTTATTATATTAGTAGCTAAAAGCTATTTCACCTCCAGCCACTACCCTGTCGGTGCAGCACACTACCCTGCTGCTGGAATACGCGATGGTGTCAGGGTACGATTGCAGCGACGTGCTGATGACTTTGAAAAGCAACATAGTGGAAGCTGTATATGACAGGTAAATTACAAAATTACTACATATCAAAATGTCTACATTTTAAGCTACACTAATATTGAGAATAACGAAATATGTACAAATATAAATCAAGACAAACCTTGGACTATAAGAATCTAAATTAACATAGAACAAGTAATAATGTTATTTGTAGATAATGTAAATATATTTGTGTTACAGACTGACGGAGAACTTCCAGCGCCAGCCGCAGACATTCCAGCAGTATTACTACCACAGCTGGCTCAAGCTGAGAATAGCGCTCTGCGGGTCGGTATCGTCATCATATGTTGCCACCGCCACAATTATAAAGTGTTCACCACAATACAGTTATAAAGTGTTCACCATAAAACCATTATAAATGTTCACCACAACACAGTTATAAAGTGCTCCCACAATAGAATTATAAAGTGTTCACCACAATACAGTTATAAAGTGATCACCACAACATAGTTGTAAAGTAATAACCACAACACAGTTATAAAGTAGTCACCACAACACAATTATAAAGTAGTAACCACAAGACATTTAAAAAGTAATCACCACAAGACATTTATAAAGTAATAACCACAATACATTTACAAAGTAGTCACCACAATAAAATTATAAAGTGTTCACCACAACACAGTTATAAAGTGCTCACCACAATGCAATTATAAAGTAATCACCACGATATATAAAGTATTTATAAAGTAGTAAGCACAATACAGTTGTAAATTAGTCATCAGAACAATTTTTATCTACTCAAGTAGTGATATAATGTGTGTGTGAGTGCGTGAGTGCAGGCTGGTGAGCGGGCTGTGCGGCAGCGGCGCGGCGCTGTGCTCGCAGCAGCTGGCGCTGGCGGGCTGGGCGGCGGTGTGCGCGGCGCTGCGCCCCGACGACAAGACGGAGCCCGCGCTCGCCTCGCTCGCCGTGCACACCGCGCTCGCCTACATGCCTGACGAACATGACGAAAAGGTACACATCTATACAAATGATCACTTTTATGAATACACCGATTGTTTGGATAATAGGCAATATGCATATGTCGCCAAATTGGATTTTTTTTAAGTAAAGAAGTTTAAGTAAAGATTTTTTTTTAAGTAATTCCGCGTTTCATCTATGAGTTTGAAGCCAGAGGCCCAACGTTAATCCCTTTTCCGTCCGCACGTATCCGTTAATGCGAATGTCTATGGGCAGAGGTCGCTTCGCCATTTCGGTGCCGCTTGCTCGTTTGCCACCTTATAATAAAACTAGCTGTTCCCTTGCGGCTTCATCCGCATGAAATTGTGAAAATTTTATTTTAATGTTTACATTTGCCAAATAGCAAATGTCAAAATGACATGACATGACAAACCTTAGAAATCTTGCTTCCTTGATGTTGGCAGCAACTTATGGTCTCTTTCCCACATTAGGGTTTTTATCCAAAATATTTACCCCCTAAGTTTAATGGCGTAAAAATATATAGCCTAAAGCATGACGTAAGTGTAGGGCTTTTTATTAAAAAAAAGAATTATTCAAAAATATGGTGTAATTGCTGACATCTTAGGCAACAAAGAAGTGTGTGTTTATGCTTTATCATTAGTATAGGTAAGTACATTAAGATTTATTGATAATTTCAGAACCTGGTAGCCCTGGAGGCGAAGGCGGAGTCGCTGTGGGAGGGCGTGGTGGGCGCGGCGGGGCCCAACAGCACGTGGAGCATGCTGTGCGGCGTGCAGCCGCTGGGCCGCCCCATGCTGCGCGCGCAGCACGCCGGGCTCACCGCGCTCGCCGCGTTCGCCGCGCTGCCCGCGCCGCACCACCTGCACCACGCCTACAGGTCAACTATACATATTCGATTTTTTTGCTTTAACTACCCGTTATCCCTTTTTTATAACTCACACGAGAAGTAAAAAAAAATTGGAACATTTTAGCTGTAACAATTTTTACACCAACATTTTCCTACATGTTTTTTCAAAAACTGTAGAATAAAAAAAACTTTTCACCTTTCATTTGTTTTTCATGTAAAAAGAACGATTCGAAATAGTCGAGGTCGACGATCTCTAGTAACTTTCATACATAATATACGAATTAAGCGACCGTTACGTGGTACGTTTACTTGTAACTGGAATGAGAAACACAAAAAAGATAATATTTCCCATATGTACCCTTATTTTCGTTAAATCCACACACACACACACATACACACTAAAATGCGACATGTTAATATATTTAGTTCGGATGTATGGTGTGAGGCGGCGGGCGTGGCGGTGCTGCGCAAGTTACTAGTGATATCGCGCGCGTGCGGCCGCGGCGGGGACGCCGTCAGCCGCCTGCTGGCGCGCCTCGCCGCGCTCGGGGGAGCGGCCCCCAAGCCCGACTTCATCGGTGAGAGACACTTCCACTTCACATCGACTTAAAACACTATTCTTGTCAATAAAGTTGCACCCATCGCTATAATGAATCATTGCAACACTGATATTTAATCTACTTTTAAAATTTAATGATTGTAACAATTACTCGAGCGTTTAAGCAGGTTTAAACAGTTGATTTGTCTGACAGTTCGTGGGTTCGAATCCCGCGATATCAATATTCTATTTTTCGATTTTATGTACATAGTTTATTCGACCTTCTTACGGTGAAACATCGTAATGCCTGCACATATCGAAAAAATTAAAAAATATGTGTGAAGTCAACCCGCAGTAGACCATCGTTCCGTTCAGTGGAGATGTATAGTGAACTGGTGATGAACAATTACTATGGAAGCTCACTTCTGACCCTTAAAAGACTGATTTTTCCATAAAATTACAAAATGTGTAAGAGCACCCTTTCCTGTTTTTTATTAAAGGGAAAAATCGTCAAAAAAAAATCAATAAGATGTTTATATTTTTGTGATATGCTCCTTTTTGTTTTCTGACTAGAATCAGCCCAGAATAACATGTAAACAGCCATATTGAAATAAAATCGATAGTTGGTTCCCAAGCGGTTTAAAACCCTGGTATCAAATTTGAAACTTTAGTTATTTAAGTGTTAATATTGTCAAAACTATGTGCCTTAAATAAAGACACTATAGCATCATATTTTGGGTTACCAAATGCTGAATATTGTGTTCGAATGTGTACATTGTATAGAGGAGTGCGCGACGCTGACGGCGCTGCAGCCGGCACGCGTGTGGGACTCACTGCCGCGCTGCGCAGTCAGCGCACCACACGGACAGCCCTGGCCGCTACTAGTCAGTATAACTCCATATCAAAACTATCAACAGCTCGTGACTTATTCTAATATAATAAAGCGTAAACAAACAGTTCTTTGTTATGTAATATATCAGCAATCACAGTATATTACTGAATTACACTTTTTCAACAAAAATCCCTACAATATATGTACAGTATCCAGATAATGTTTGTGCAGTTGGAGTACAGCACAGTGCCGGAGACGCTGCGCTACGTTCCGGAGCCGCCGGCGTATGCGCAGTGCGACGGCACGCCTTCGCTCGCTATGGACTCTATAAGGTGAAAACACTTACCAGTTATCTATTTATCTAAAATAACTCCCATCTTCCTTTAAGGTTCCTTTCATTATGGTTACACTGCATGCATCTCAATCCATTTACACAGTCACACTTAAATTGAATTCTGCGATTTTTGAATAATTGTATTTAATCTCCATTCTCTTATAAATAAATCGTTTTTCCGTTAAAAATTACTCATTTTGATATTTGACAATTGTTAAATGTCAAACTGAATTAATTAGGGATGCGAGTAATTGAATCGGAGTAAATTATCCGATTAAAAAAATCGATTTAAATATTTTGCAACGATGTTAGCGATTTAATGTAATAAATATAATACGTGATATTTTAAAATAAAGCTTCTTTTTTTGCTAGTGATAAGATGTAAATTTAGGACAGTAATGTGGTATTTGAACGTGTGATGTTTGGAAGGTATATGTACCTGGGCGGGGGACGGCACGCGGCGCGCTGGCGGCACTGCGGGCGCTGCGGCGCGCGATCTTTGCCCGCTATGCTGCCCGCGCCGCTGCCCGCAAGGAATTCCCAGCAACGTGCCTACGACGGACGATATCTTGCCGCTTGCCGGTCAGAAAAATAAAAACAATATTTGAAATTGTAAAACTTCAGAAAATTAAACTCCAAAACAGTTTCCTCTAGACTTCGCTAATATCCCAGAATTCGAAATCGTTTAAATATTTTGAATTTTCGTTGTGTGAAAATGTTCCTGAAATAAATTTTTTTTTTTTTCAGATGTGGTGGGAAGTGGACGCTGTACTCGAATACTTGACGTTTCTTTTTTTTCGTTAATACATCTATATCTTCTCTACCATAATGTTGCGGAAATGCACCATACTTAGTTGTATAGGATGTCAACAATCACATGTTTTTGAATAATTCCCTTTTTAATAAAAAGCCCTAAACTTATGACTCGCTTTACGCTATATCTTTTCACGCTATCAAACTTAGGATTTTCTAAAATTGGAAAAACGATCATGCTGGAAAGGGACAGAAAAACGCCAATAGCAGCAGAGAAGCAAGGCAGCCATGGTTACTCAGGACAAAATTGTAGTCAATGTCAAGGACCTTCGCTGTCATTCACGCATTTGAATTTATACATTTGCAAGTGAAATTTTTACGAAATGTAAACAATAAAATACAGTTTTTAAAATGTAATGCGGATGAAGCCGCAAGAACACAGTTAGTTGTATATATATTTAAATATGTTAGTCATAAGTACTTAGCCTTTATTCAGTGTTGCCAAATAAATCGATTCAGTGAATATGTTTGCTAAGAAAATGAATGTGGAGTCTTGTTATTAAATGTTTTGAATTCAGTTTTGTGTTTTTATTTAAAATAACCCGTAACAGCCGTAGCAGAGGTCTGAAATCTAAATGTTAACAATACTAATTTTAAAAATGCTATCAATAATAGGAAACAACACAAGACCATGAAACCATCAGTTACAGCCACTATACATACAACTAAATAAGTGATAGAAATAAGAAAACTACTAGAATAAAATTTGCATTTAAGAATGTAAATTCTGTAAAAGCGGTTTTTACTTTGACCTATTTCTGATATATGAGTTGTTACAGCTGTACGATTTAATCAACTTGAATTATTCAATCTTATTTAATTTCTCACTTTTATAATGTTTTATATAAAAAACATTTTATAATGTTTTGTCGTTTCATTTTTCGACATTCCAAAAATGCATTTACATTTTTTAATATCTGTGCATCGGTTCCACAGGTATCGATTAAATCAACTTTTGCCCTGCGCAGCACAACCGTTTTCTCAACTCGACGTTGCATCACTAGTGTCGTTGCGAGAACATCGAAGAAGCGTTTGGTTGCGACTGCGTTGTTATATTTTATTGAATTTTTAAATATCATCTCGCAACGATCCTTTAGTTGTGTTATACAATTTAATAAATACTTTATTGTTATTAAAATGGCAGACAAGAAAGGTATTTATGAATTTTGATTACATTTTCTCTTTGTTCTTGCTATTACTTCGAAGGTTGACATATGTAACGTCATGGGGCCTTGAAATGCAAGTTTTTTTTACAACAATAAGTTGTTTTGTTGCCCGTAAAATATCAACATTATGTATAAAACCGGGGAATTGATTGTAGGATTGTTGCACATTTTATTTCAAGTTCATTTTACTTCAGTGATGAGATCAATAGTTGTAAATCCAAGATGGATGACATTCTTTTGGTCTTACAAGGGGGGTTTAGAGGAATGTTCTATATTTAGGGTCTTTCTTCATCTTAAAGATGCTTAAGACGTTATATTTAATACTTTAACAATATTAATAATCAATTGAAAGTTCTTAAAACTCAGTTAACCTCCTATGATACAATTTATCTTAAAATTGTAATTTTTGATCACAGATGGTCATCTTTGAAAATATTCACAAAGTATCTCGAGTAAAATAACTAATAACTATTCTGCATATTTGATTTTATATGCAGTACACTAGTTTGCAAAAGTATTATATATTTTTAACTAATAAAGTAAGTAGTACTAAGTAACAAAAACTAGAAAGTACATTCATAATCATTAATTGTCTTAGTAATGTGTTAAAATTCGATATTTTTATCGTAAAAGCTTTAATATGCAATCAATAAGTATCAAAAAAGAATTATATTGTTGTTAAATGAAGGTATTTCAACAATTTCTAAGTATTTAAACTGAAATCCAGGAACTGCTAATCATAATTGTATTTAAAAAATCTAGGCCTTTTTCATTGTATCACTTTAAGATGTTAAAGCAATTTGTGCTTGTGGCAGTCAACATTTTCAAAAAGACAACAGTTTGATTAGAATTTGCTGTACATTTTCTGTATTCCACATTAATAGACAGAAAAAATTGGACTTTTTTTATGAATCTGTTGTCCCTACAGAGTCATCAAGTATTAAATGATTTTCTATACATATCTGATTTTTTTATGATGTTTAAATCAGCGCTGGACCATGATCCCACCTGTAAAGTGTTGATAAGGTCAAAGGGTGATAAGTGCAAATTAAATACCAACCATTCACCCTTCTCTTGACGGCACCCACATTATAATTGGATGAAAACACTGACGCCAGCAGCTCAATATTCACTACCTTAATTATATCCTCTTAAAACAAACTCTTCTAGATTTATATTAAATATAACAATGTGGCCTTTATAATGTTACATGTGTCAAATTCTTTTAAATTTATCATAAGCTTGTTAGTTAATGAGAAACAGCCTTGTCTTGCTTGGAAAAATCCAACCATAGACATCGGTCAAAATGGTACTAGAGGACAGTATATTTTTTTACAAGGGATACTAAGGACATGCTGTCCAGGAATATTATTTAGACTTAATGATAATATGATTCCTGCTCCCCTCCACCCTTGGCCCCTACCCTTCCCCACCAGAGCCCCTTCAACAGGAGGCGCTAGAGGTGCGCCGGCAACGACGCGCGGCCGTCGACTAATCGCTACCATGTAATGACACCATATAGACTTTTTCTTTCTTTTTTCTTTTTTTTTGGAAATAGTTAAAGAGAGACCAATATATGATATGTGCGTATCGGCGTGTGGACGATCGTATGTTTAAATTTAATGTAACCCTAATGATAGCTTGATTGTTTAATTCCTTACATTTAATTAAAAAAAAATAATATGAAATATTAAATTACAAGTTTTGTATATCTTTTTAAAGTATAAAAGATAAAGTATAAAGTAACAATCAAGTTGTTATTGAAAAATTGGCAATTGAACATGTTTGAAACCAAAAAAAATATTAGTTTTTTGTTTTTTAAGTAATATTGTATGTAACTTTTCTGGTAGGACTTGGTGTATTTGACTTGAAGCTAAATGGTTGGCTGTATAGTAGATGTTTTTGGCTTGGAATTTTTTGTATAGTATGAAAGTCCTTTCGGATAAGTGAACAAGATTTATCAAACATGTGCTTTTGTCTGTTTTATTAGTTAAAACTAACCGTAAAGGAATAAGTTGTGTAAGTTATAATGTGAATTGTAGTTTTGGTATTGTAAAAAAAATATTTTTTAGAGCATAATAGTTCAGACTTTTGTGTAGCAAAGTTATAGCAAATTTAAATTTAGAGAAAAAGCTACAAGTCACATGTTTAAATAATTTTTTTAATTGTTTTTATGTGTTTTGCTCTTTATGTTCATTATTTTCTATAAATATTTAGTTCACAGCTTATTTTTTTACAATTTCTTTTACACTAATTTTTATTAGTAATATTGACCTTCAAAGACAGTTTTTTTTAAATTATGGTCGGTCAATATTATATTTAAGCTTTTTTGTGCACCAACATTGCAGTAAATATTTTTTTAATTATAATAAAGTTACTGCTATGTTTTCAAGGATACCTATTTCTTTTTTTTTTTTGTTGTAATAGGATCTTTGTTTTTGTTTTGTTCCAGTTATTTAAGATATAATTAAGTGATAAGTAAAAATATGTGGACAAACTTAATTTAGTAGTTTTAAAAAAAAGATAGAGTTACATTTTTTACCATAGGTATAGAAGTTGAGTTGTCCACAACTTTTACTAAAAAATCTAACAATCACGTTTTTGGTTCCATAAATTAGCACAAAATAAATAAATATATGCTGTTATAATCATTATTTATCTATTTTTTACTATGGAATCAATCAGAATTTACAATATTAATATTAAGATCGAGTGTTCTACTAACTAAGAGAATAAAGCAAATGTAGATAAATACTACACCTGGTTTGTTCTGGAAAACCACAACAATCTTTAATTAAAAAAAAAAAAAACTTGTTCCAATTTTTTTTTTTACAAATTGTTTTTGTTTCACAAGTAGATTTTTGTGGTGCATTTTGTGTAATTTAATTTGAGGTGATGGTCAAACAGGTATAGTTTTTATTTTCAAAAACATTGCAAATGAAAACTTTACCGTTTAGTTGTATTTTTAACACAAGTAAGTTACAATTAACATAACAGATTACACAACATGAATGTTTTGTGGTCTGATGCTGACCATTTTACCCTTTCTCTTCATTATTGGATCATTTACTAGCTTTTACTCCCGACTTTCGTGCGGAATTAACTACAAAAATATTTTAATCCTATCTTTAATTACATCAAGGATAGTGTAGCTTCACAATATTGGGTTTTTCAAATGATTTCAGTAGTTTTATGGAATATTCAATAGAAATAAATCCTATATCTTTACAACATAAAGGGTCCATTGGTCATTACTGAGTGTTGCGGGAATGTCATATTTGTTAGTGTGATAGCATAAGGAAGCAATGGTTATTACTTGCATATACAAGTAATCTCCACTGTTATTATCTATTGCTAAACAGAGGCAAGAGATAATTGCATGCATAAGCTTATTTCAAGGACAGGGAAGTATGCAAGTTTATGAGTGACATCAACACAAATAATTCCATCAAACACTTAGTTTTAGGATCACTGAGTTCGAAAAAAATGTTTTTTTTAATAATGCTCGATCAAAAGATTTCTTTTACAGGGATCCTGATTAATTCTAACTTTGTTTAGTTAATATGAAAGTTTGATGTTGTATTAAATTAAAGGAAATATGACAACAAACTGGCCGGTTGCAATATGATAGTTTTTTTTCTATGTGTTTGAATAGAAAAGGATTCCATATTTAAATGGGATACTTTTTTTAAAGTTTAGTTCTTAATGTTTAATGGTGACGGAAGCTACCAGGATTTTTGTGTTCTGTTTGCAACTTCTGAAATGCTGTAATCCATTGTAAGCTATTTTAATTTTGCTGTTAGTGTTTTGTTTTGTCTTTGTCTCTCATACTTGTTTTTAGAGTAATATTTGTTTATGACTAAGGTATGCGAACTGCTGTAGTATATGTTTTGTTTTGTTTGTTTGCACGTTTCTGCGTCCTTCACGCACCCATCATAGATATTTTTCTTTGACTCGCTTTTTGCATAAACGCTTTTCACTTTTACCGCAAAATGTGGATACATCAGGCATATGTGAATATTGATTTTACGAAAAATAAAAACCATAAAATCTTGGTACGAAGTTATTCTTGCTAGCTATTTTAATATAGATACAAATAATGTTTATTTTATTTTTCGATCGATGTTATCAACGTGTAAGACACGATAAGCGACCATTTTTGTGACGGGTCTTTTGAAACTAGCCGGGGCAACATCAAAATAACAAAAAAAAAAAAATTTGTAAAACTTTATTTGAAAAAAATTGTTGCGCCCGTCTAGTGACTCATATGCAGGTTCTATGTGAGATTTTTGTATATTATTGCATGACGTTCCGCTTATGGTTTTCATGCCAAATCAGTAGATTATAATTTATTTAAATGTTACAGTGAACCTGCTTGTGAGAATGAGCTCGAGTTCCATTTATAGTGAGGGGCCTGTCGTTTAATTAATCCGTTCCTCTCCTGACGTGACACGCCCTAACTACGACTGGAACACGATCGCTGACTATAATAGTCTAGATATAACTAATGTCTTTTTTTAAGGTTCCTTTTCGTGTGATGATTGTTTTGTTACCTATGATGTTCAATGAGAAATGATCACACACGACCCGCACCGCACATCGCTTCACTAATCCCGTCTTGTTTTCTCTGTTAGAGAGGCGCGGCCGGGCTGTGTGGTCATTAGTGTAAGGAATGCATTGTAAATAACATTTGGTAGGCGATCAGCACTCGCACACCGTGTTGACTTCGAACCTAACCTACCAAATTAACGTTGCAAGCTGTCGGACCAGTTTAGCACTTTTTAAATCTGTGCCGATGGTAGTGGTCACTGCAGAGGGTTTTTTCAATGTTTTTGGTATATTTAAAGATTTTTTTTTTTTGGAAAAACTCGAGCGGTTCTGTAACGCGTTGTATGGGCATCGCTTGTCGTTAACACCGGCGTTGGCGAAATGTGTAGGACGCGAACTGTCTATGATATTTAACATCAAACGCCTACACTGTGGTAGCGATTTAAAAATGGCGGGTATTTTAAAATTGTTTACAGCTGTCAATGTGTAGTCTATGGTTCCGCCATTTTTGTTCTCTGCCACACCGCTACGTCTAGCGTGAATGAACGGGCTTGGGTTGAGGCGCGCCGCGGCGCTCGCATCGTCAGACAGTCCAGCGCAACCATATCTCGTTATTTCATAAATAAAGAAATAATCAGTACTGTCTAATATTTGATATATGTCTTTTACGAGGGCAACTAAATTACTAAGTAATAAATATTACGTTTAAATATCAAAATCGTTAAATAAATGTGTAAAATAAGCATATAAACATTTGGATGTAATGATAATATTGATAATTATTACTTAGATCATATCTAGCACTGTTAGGAAAACACAGCGGCCCCATTTTACAAACTGCCACTTAGATTCTATTCACTAAACTGTACAATGGCGTAATTGTCGTGTAGTGTTTGCTGTGACTTATTGCTACGAAGCCGGTGCAAGCATTTAAGAATTAAACTTGCACATGTTTCATGGTGATAAATGTTGCCCTCGTAAGAGTGAGATGTGGTTGCGGGGCGTGTCAGGCGGGGTTGGGGGTTGTTCCGGCGTGACTCGGCAAATTGTTGCAGTGACCCCGCCTCTGGGAGCCTACCCGCAGCCTCAGCCACCGCAGGGACCGTTCCTGCCGGCGCCCCCGCATCAGGCCGCACCGCAGTACGGTGGTAAGATAACATTTTAATACCCCATTTAAGATCACTGCAGACTGCGATTTCTGTGATGTAATTTTTATCGTGTAACTATAGCCTGTAAAATTACGTAATCATTACGAAACTATTGTCTCAATCAGGAAGTAGGAAAAAATTATAAATTCTGTCCACTCTAAACTAGATTAGCTTTGAATATCTACTAGTTATACAGTAGAACCTCGATAACTCAAACCTCAGTAACTTAAAAACCTCTATAACTTCAAAAAGTAATATGTTCCCTTCCCATCAGAGCTCAAAACCTCTACAACATAGACCCTTGATAACTTAAAATTTTTCGTGTTTCCCTTAGACTTTAACTTATCGAGGTTCGACTGTAATATAAATGCACTTACTGGCATAGAAACCCGATGTAAGTTTTTTATAATCTCATTTGTAAGAAAACCTTAAGACTGGCTATTCTTGAAGCATAAATCACATTATGCTGTGTCACGGAGTTTCAAGCCGCTCTCAATTGTGATAACCTTACCTTTGTTCTTATAAACCCAATAGTTTAAGACTATTATGTAATTTAAAAATGTTTGCCAACGTTGCCTAGGAAATCCAGTTAGTTGACAAATATATTATACATGCGAAAGTTTAGATGGATGGATGGATGGATGAATGTTTGTTAGAGTTTGTAGCCTTATCGGCTGAACGGATCTGGATGAAATTTGGCATAGATGTAGTGCAGAGTATGGAAGAACACATAGGCTACTCACTTTTTTTTTTTTTAATACCACGCGGACGGAGTCGCGGGCGAAAGCTAGTATATAAGAAAAAATCTTTTCTTACATTCATCCCGAACAAAAGATAAGCGATTGATAATGTTTTACTCTCATAAGGCAATCATAGGTAAATTATTGCTAAAATGGGATATAGATATTAGAAAAGTTCAGAAAAATACAAAAGGCAATCCTCATAGTTATATTTTCATTTAGTACTAATTTCGAAATTTACGTCAAAGGACGTTTGTAGACTAACCTGGTTTACAGTAATCGATTGCTGCGACCTGTTCCGTTTGACCTACATTACTACCATGTAGGTACGCGAGCAACTTTGACCTCTATTTGACATCCAGTCTCGTACCGGTTTGCGTATATTGTTTCCTGGAAGCAGTTTGTCTAGGTTTCCCCGTCTTTAATTTTTATCCTTATCTAAGCCGTGAACACTTAATAATTGCATCTCTTTTCATTCAGTTGTCCTTCTCTGATATTCGTCTTTTGTTTAATTCAACAGGGCGTTTATTCTACTGTTTGAAAGTAATCTTATATTTCATGCTAATATTATAAATGCGAAAGTTTAGATGGATGGATGTTTGTTAGAGTTTGTAGCCTAAACGGATGATCGGATTTTAATGAAATTTTGGATAGATGTAGATGATAGTTTGGACGAACTCATAGGCTACTCGGCTTTTTTTTTAATTCCACGCGAACGGAGTCGCGGGCGAAGGCTAGTTTTTAATAATTACGGCATATTTTTGCGGTCTTATTGATTTAATTATTGGGCTCAGAGATTCTCTCTGCATTGTATTTGACATGTGTGGAATAAGAATAAGAATACTCTTCTCTCCAACGTGCCAACTTAAAACAGCACCGGTTGTAGAACCGCCTTGAGATTTCTACGTCCCCTTTTTACCAGCTTTTTAGTGGAGGCCTAGCACGCTTATCTGGGACTAGTGATCTTTCTGTCTAGCGCTCTTGGTTGCCTAATGCCAGCATACGGGGTAACATGTTTATTATTTTATTCCAGTGGCAGGCGGTGCTCCGTACAGCGTAGCGTTCGGTGGCGCGGGCGCAGGCGCAGGGGGAGTGTACGCGCCGCCCCCATATGACCAGCTCCAGCATCATCAGGCGATACCTGCCCTCAGCCAGCAGTTACCCGTGAGTATTGAATCAAATGACAGATGTGTCACTTCTTCCGTCTCCTCAGTCTTACACCGAACTCAATCGATCTGAGGATCGCTGTCCCTTAAATACATGGTATTTAGATTGTTTAAATTTTATTATTAACTTAACTATTAGTTTTGTATCTTCCCTGGCGTTAGGGTTATCTATATTATAAAGGGGAAAGTGTATTTTTGTATCGAAATAACTCAAAAACTACTGGGCCAATTAAAAAAAACTCACCATTATAAAGCTATGTACTGAGCAACATAGACTATAATTTTTTTTAATTTCACGTTGGCGTAGTTGCGAGTAATACTCTACTAGCTGTTTCTGGATATTTTATCTCCGTGAAATAAATAAAAAAACAGCCTATGTTATTAACTGATAATGTAGCGTTTTAATAGTGAAGGAAATCGGTCCAGTAGTTTTTGAGTTATTTCAATACATACAAAAATACAAATTTTTCCTCTTTATAATATCAGTATAACTAACATCAACTGAAACAATGAGATGCGTTACAAATGCACTGTATTCCATGTTATAACATTATTTGCAAAACAATATAATTTATACTTGCTTTGTTATGCTAATTGTAAGTTTTTTTACGTGACGTCAACTGACTGTATAACCTCCAATCTTGTATAAGTAAATTAAACCGCGTGTTCCAATAATTAACACGACAATAATGTAAGATGCAATTATTTCCATCAATCGAATCGGGATTTTTTTGCCACCGAATTACGCGTGTAGCGGTGTACTTTTGAATCTCTCGAAAGTTTTGTTTTTATAGAAAAATCGCAGTAAACAGAAAACTACTGTTCCACCACAAATCTACTAAATACGTACTTTACGTGACTCCAGTGGCAGATTGCAAAAAACGTAAAAATTCGTTGCCAGCATGCCGAGTGTTAAATAGTATGCAGTTCTTAAAGCAACATTATTGTCTGATAAATTTACGATTTTATTTGAAATATCGTTTCTGAATAAAGTCAAAGCATAAAGGCCAAAGATCAAAACCGTTGAAGGTTAAGATTAAATTTGCAATTTAATAAATACAAAATGACTCGAATAAAAATTTAGGTTTAATTTGTTTGACAAATGCACATTGTAATGTGTATCTTCTATAAAGAAGTAAGAAATAATCTCTTAAAAATCGGTAAATGCATCATGAACCTTTAGAATTTAGGTTTTTCTGATATTTTTAAGCGTCGGTGGCTCAGTGGTTTAAGCACTTGACTTGCAATCCAATGGTCTTGGGTTCGAATCCCGTTGTACCAATGTGATTTTAGATTTTTCATATGTACATAATTTACCCGACGTTCTTACGGTGAAGGAAAACATCGTGATGCAACCTGCACATATCAGCGAAGAAATTCAAAGATATGTGTGAAGTCAACCCGCAGTGGGCCAGCGTGGTTGACTATGGTCTAGTCACCCCTAACTTAGGGTAGGCTCCGAGCCCCTCGGTGGGGACATAGTGAGCTGGTGATGATGATGATATTTTTAGTCATTCATTCAAATTGTTTTAGTATTGTAAAATAGCTTTAATGTTTCTCTCAGATGTACAGTCCAGCGGCGGCGATGTACGCGGCGGCGGCCGGCTACCCCGGGTACATCGGCTACCCCGTGCAGTACTACCCCTACTACCCCGCCGCCATGCAGCCCTCCATACAACCCCTCAGGCCCACCATCATGATACCGGTTAGTCAATATATCTTTAATAGTAAAAAAAAATATATAGAAACAATCTATAATTTATAAACGTTAATAACAATAGAGATATTAGGCATCGAACGTTGTAACACGAAAGTTATTGTTTATTTCTGCTTCTAGAGTCTTTTGTAACAATATTGTAGGTTAGGATTATTTTTGAAGACAAAAATGGCCACCAACTATAAATTACTTTAGGTTTGCAATATTTGAGCACCCATCTAGGAGGAAATCTTGTTAACATTATAAATGCGAATTTTGGTTTTCTAGGTATCTCAAGGATTGTTCTTAAATTTGATGAAAGGTGGAACATAGTCTGGAAGAACACATAGGCTTCTTTTACAAAATAGTGTGTAGTTTAAAAGTTATATGTGAGTTGTGGTCCGCAGAATGGGTTCGAGGCGAGCGGCAGGTTCGAGGGTCTGGCGCAGACGCTGCTGCCGCCCGCGCCGCCCGGCGTGCCGCCCTCGCCCGCGCACCTCGCCGCCCTGCAGCCGCACCAAGTGCTGTCAGTACACGCCTTTATAGCCCCCCCCCCCCACACTTACATACACCTAGCATACAGACTCCAATCACTTAAATAGGCTCCGCCCAAAGCCCCAAACTCTTACCCATACATACCCCTTACATCATTACTAAGTGGTTTTAGTACCTGTAACCCCACGAAGTGCTGTTGCACACGCCCCCACCCGTCCCGCTTATAAAGCCCCGCCCCTTAACATCGGCTCCGCCTCTTTTGTAAAACCAGGTCCAAGTCACCACATCCCGTAGCATAGATTTAAAAGTTGTAGATGCGTTGCCTACCTTTAATTGACAGGGAAGGTCTACAGAATTAAGGAATACATAATAGGGAAAATACTTCTTTTTCCCCATCTTGTTTTTTAAAAAATGGTGGGAATTGAAGCCACGCCCCCTTAAAATACGCTAGTTAAACATGTCACTTGTAAATAAGCTGTGTTTGCTATTCTATTAATTTGTCATGTTTTTTTTATAGGTGGCGTTAAAGTAGTCCCTCAACGAGCAGCGCCGACGGCAGCAGACAAGCGAACAAGCAAACAGCCAGACAACTTGGCTCTAAAGTTATTTATTATATCAAAATGTTTACGGTATGCTTTAAAATTGTATTTAATGATCTAAAAAAAAACTTTTCGATATTTTGACGAATTTAGTCACAAAATAAGTATTAACGTCACAAATTAAATGTATTTCTTAGTGAATAAGTTTTCCAATGCTTCTCTTTAATAGAAAAGCGATTTGTTTTGGATAAAACCTTTAAAGTATTGTAAAGAATTTTATAATGAAAACGGTTACATCGTAGATGTCACAGATGTAACTGTTTTCGTAGTTATTTTAAATGTCTGTTTGTTCGTCGGCGTTAGCCTGATAAATTTAACTGTGATGTCTTGTTAGGGTCCGTTTTCGCAGATTTGAGAGCAGTTTATTAGCTAATTAAATGACCTTATATTGGAAGGTTTAATTTTACTACACAATTATATTGCTTTATTGTGCAAAGTAAAAATAAACCTCATATCAATGGAATAGAGTTAATTTTGTGAAAACTGCACTTAGTCTGTGAGAAGTGACTCTTACTGGTTTTTGTGTTTGCCACTTTGACTGTTTAATATTTAATCTATCGCTCTCTATTTTAGATTTCTCAAAATAATTATATGTCTAATTTGAAATTTAGCATTTTGTTAGCTGAATTTTTTTCATTATTGTTAGTTGTAGTGTGAATTTAAAATAATAAACCGCAGTAATTATAACTACCACACTTAAGCAGTCGCTTAGTGTAGATTAAAACCCAATCAGCACTAAGGACTAGCAGTACATGCATGTTGATGGAAATCCAATACCTGGTTATTAGTCAAATGGTATTTTTGATACTTATATAAATAATTTGCATATCAATGTAAAATTCATCTTTAAAAGAAACTAAATATTAGTAGATTCCACATTTTTTATTAATAAAATAACTCATAGTAAAATAACCTGGTAAATACGATCACAATACGAATTCCCGAAAAATAGGCATTTTTACATTTGTCATATTAACTGTTCTATTTAGATTTTTTACTGTTTTGTACTAAGTTACGTATTGAACATTTTTATAGAATTTTTTTCAAGTTTCAATTTAAATTTATTTATAATTTTGTCATTAATTAAAAGTAATTTTTTTAACTAAGCTATAATACATTCAATCATATAAGTATTGCCTTTTCTGTTATTTAAATGTAGCAAATTATATTAATAGGTGGGCAGAGGTTACAAAAATGTGGCAAACATGAAAACTTTAAATGTATATCGTCAGAATGGTCGATAACTATAGTATTATGCGGCGTGTCCGCTCTACGTTTAGACTACGTTACTCTGTGCTGTCCGGACTGTCTGAAATATAATCTCTGGTCCATAGAACGAGGTCCATATATCTTTATATTACAATTTTAGTAGTTTATTTTCGTTTAAACATTTCAGAGTAGTTTTTTAATATTTAGCTATGATATTGTCTATAATAAAAATCTTGCAATTCAAAGTTTTAAATCTGAATTATTTTTACAAATCTTTTTAATAAAAAGCATAGTTAGTCAGGTCAGTACAGAATAACAAATTTAGTTATGTAATTGAAAATTTAAACAATGAGGTTGTGCGTGACGTGCGAGTGAGAATGTCCGTGCGAGTGAGAGGGAATGTTGGTATTAGATTTTTTTCCAATGATTAGACACGAAAATAGATTACGTCTTTATTTTAAAATGTTGAAATCATAAAGGGAATAGTGAAATTACGATATATGTTTTTTTATCATATATTATTAAAATGAGACGTAATTTTTTTCGTGTTTTCGAACAAAGATATATTTTGTTTGGGAGGTTGGTTGTATATTAGATCTGATAATCTAGACAGATGGGTATCAAAGAATCTCAAATGTGCTTTATATATTTAGTTAATTGCCTAATATCATGTTATATACTCTGTAGACAATCACTTTATGTCAATGTGTAATTAAAAACAAAACTCGTAGCATTTTGTGATATATTTTTAAAGAGGAATAAAAGCATAATCAACTTAATGGACTGATTTAATATACATATTTATAAAAGCTATTTTTTTTATTAAAAAAAATGTGTCGTAAAAAAATATAAGCAACGGAAGAAAAATTAGAAAAATCTAAAATTATTTTCCAAAAAAAAAAATTAGTCAAATCAGGAATCTGGTAGTTTTTAGTAGTTTTCTCTAAAGATACTTTGGTAGACATTTTAATGGTTATTGTTTGTTTGTATTGTTATATATACATTTGTTTGTGATGTGTGTCAGAATATATGACATGTAGTTAGGCCGGACATATGTGTGTGTATGACTGATCTATGTACATGATTGTTCTAACTTAATACAATAGTCAAAATAACCATTTACCGTTCAATTTCAAATAATTTCACAAATTATAATATTCATTTCTTTAATATGGCAGCTGGTTTGCATTTATGATCGTAAACAATTTGAGGTTACGTTGTGTCAAAAATCCCGCCATTTTACTGACAGATAATTGCATTTTCGAATCTTAGTTCTTTGTATTAGAATGAACTGGCATGTTTTTTCTAACTGGTGCGAACCTAGTCACAGTAGATTAGGTAAAACGCGTTGTTGCCGCCTGTGACGTACGGTCTGAGTTGCCATGTACACGATACTAGATTATATATACGATTTTTTTTTAATTTATCGCATTTTTGTTTGTTCAATTCAATCATGTTAAGACTGGAAATGAGAGTTCTGTGGATTATTCTTTGTAACACTCTGGTGTTGCGGTAAGCTGACATTGTTGACGAAAAATTGAAAAAAAAGCTCGATAACCAATTTAGATTTTTTTGTATAGTAAAAAGCAACTTTTAAGGAGAAATACGCACAATAATGAACTAATGAATGTTCCAGGAAGTTGCAAGTTGCATTTTATTGTTCAACTAACAAAGGCCGGTGTTGCCATATTTAATGTTATGTGTCAGTTTACCCACACACGAGTTTAGGGACTGTAGTGTAAGTGAATTTCCGTTGTGTTCAAAACCCCAGCCGCTACAATGTCGCCTTATTTATTTAAAATCAAAATAAATAACATTTTTTATCTGTAGAAGTGTTTTGACAGAAGTTTGACATTTGGAAATTTATAGAATCTCATCTTTAAAGCAGCAAACTTCTGTTTTGACTCTACTACGATGTAAAAATAACTCAAGTATAATGAGATTGTTTATTTGAGTCCGAGATCTAGTTTGTATAATTGTGCAAGATTTCTTAGTCAACAGTATACATTTCTTGTTTTTATATCCAATCAATTTATCACTCGGATGTTGTGACATTTCGATGCACAAGAGGCGTATAGCAGTACGATAGTTTCACACGAGGGTAGCATGACGCAGAGCAGCAGAAATTGCAGTATTGATATCACTATCAAAACAGTACTGTTCAGACAATAGTAATGTACTCTCAACTGCTCTGTCTCTGCTGTATCTTCACGGCAGCGCTGAGTGAGGTGGGCAGGCGTGCTGCTTTCAGTTACAGCATATTGTAAGTGTAAGTGGGTTTTGCTCAAACGCGTGTGAATCTGGCGACTTCGAGTCACGTGCAATATATAGCATAATTATTATTTTGTTTCCAATAAAATCATATAAAATTCCATTGTTTTCTTTTTATTTCACTTTATAATAGTCTAAAGTCCGATCAAACCCTTAAATGTATTCATACATCAGTATTTTCTTCCTTACACAATATACTATTTTGAAAATAACTTTTTTTACATTTTTCTCTTGACTACAGCTATGTTCAATTTACTACCCGTTTCAATTAATGGCATTTAAAAAAATGGAGTTGTAGGTCTAGGAAAAGAATTATCACGAATATTAGTGTTTGGGTGCGATCTCAGGCAAAAATAATCAAGTATTAAATATTTTGAAGTATAATTGAAAGAGACAAGATCTGCCAAAAAAATTCCGCATTCTGTTCGATTTAGTGACACGTTTACGAGAAAGTATTCGTATCGACTCCTATTTGTATATGTCCCCGTACATTTCAGGGCGACGCACAATTCTTGAAACCAGTACCTCTGTACTAGTCTGAAATAAGTTATTTCGTAAAATTATAAGGCGACATCTACGTAGTGAAATAGTTTTAGACGACTATGGCGCCCTCTATACACATGAATTGATATCCCCGTAAGTATTGCAGAAGCAAAATGTTTCTGAATGTGTTGATAAGAGGAACATTCTTGCACTGTTTATTGATTTATGCGCTAGGGTTTTTTAATAAAACGTACACGAAGCTAACAACAATACCATTTATTTGGTTATACAGGTTTTTACATGTAGCAACAATTACGATTATAGGATTATATTGGCTAAATTCACATATGTAAGTGATCGAAAATGTTTCACGTTAATACATCTAAGACTAAAATTTCCCGAACGCTCTAATATTCAATAAATTTTAATAACATTCAGTGAACACAAATTCAACTACAACACGAGTTATACATGGAAGACATTGAAAGACGTTTTACATCAATAATTTAAATTTTAAAACGACATTGATAATGCAAGTGTATTTTTTTATTCTCTCTATATAAATTTAATTTAATAAAATGCATAAAGCACAATAGTAATAAAAATGTAGCAACACTTAATTCGTTGTGCACGACGCCATCTATTATTGCAACTATGACAACAATAAATGGCAACGTTGACGCATTTTTACAAGCTTTTTAAAGCTTTAATTGTATACTCAAATATTTAAAATCACAATAAATCTGTGCAAACTACAAAACTAAATAATATCTAAATTAAATAAACTACATATTTACAGTTTAACGTTTATAATTTGACAGATAGTTTCATTCGAATTTTGAAATTATTATAGTTAGCTACTTCGATATTCAATAGTTACTTAAATATACCAAATTCTACATAAATTAGTTAAAGTTAGTTAAATTATAAATTACAATATGCAACTTACTGCCAACAATATATCTCAAGCTGTAAACAGTACCCACACGCACATTCTTAAATCTACATTTTCTATCATCATTTTCACATTTTGTATTAAATATACAGAAAACTTAACAAATACCTTAATTTACATTTAAATAATAAAAAATTAAATCGCCTAAAAATACTATGAACAAGAAAAATAGATACTAACATGTGAAGATCACATCAAAGCACAACATTGCAAAAAAACAATTCTAGCGTTAACATACCTTTATATTTGGATATTTTAACATTTTATAAATATTTTTATATTACGAGTCAGGAATACTTTTTCACCTTCTAACATTTCTATATATTTCCACTGTTTATGCAATTATTAACAAATAGATTCTACAATAAATTAATTCCATTCTACCATTCATACGTCTTATGCTTCCTAAAAGTGACAGATGAAAAAAAATCAAACTCTATTCGTACTTAAATTAGATAATTTCAAATACTCCAATCTATTAAGATACAGAACTTTATTTATTTGTGTATTTTATTACATAATAATCATAGATCGTCTATACTTAAATTATTAACGACACTAACTAACATTTAAACACGATTAGAACGTTCATATTGTACGTTTAACAAAGTTCAGTTGTTCTGAACTTTGAAAAATGTACTTCGAAAATACACTTTCATAATCAATGTAGACTACGATAATAAATATAACATCAACTTTATAAAAGACGGCTGCTCTCTTGCGGACAACTGACTACGTCAATATTAGACATCTAGAAATAAATTATAATTAAATGTAACAAAAATAATACAATAGTCAACACAAATGTAATATTTAACAAGGAAGTAATAGCAGTGATCGTAAATGTTTAATATTCTAGCAATTAGAATCTAACTATATGAGTGAATAAATGGGATACATTATAAATCTAAATAAAGCCTAGTATGAAAATACCGCGTTGAGTTTCGAAAATATTGCTTCATATGATCTCGCTAAACAGTGTAAATTTTCTAATTAAATATGGTCTAAAGTTATTATAAAATGGGTAAATAATATCGACTTTTCGTACAGGAAGAATACGATTGAGCATCTCAAACGATTTAACAGGTTCTAAATTTAAAAAAAAAATCCTTGACATAAACTATAGTTGTTTATTATACAGACACGACTTTCATTAGAGAGTTAATCCAAGAAATAATAAAAGGAAGCATAGACTAGATTTATCTTTTACGGCCTTTTTCGTTTATAAATAATGAAGGGATCACGATAGACAAAAGTCACAGATTAAAAATAAAGAATAAAAAACCGGTAACGATATAGATAATAAATATAGTGATGTGTCTAATCGACAACGATGTCCTGTCCGAGGCGATCCATCTCAGAGAGCAGGAAGTCGACATCGCGCTCAGTGACGGCGGCGGAGGAGATGATGTTGCGGAAGAAGTTGGGACGTCTGTCGTCAGGTTGGTAGCCCACCATCAGCGTGCCGGACTGCATCATGCGGCCCTTCAGCTTTGCGCACACCTGGAAAAAAAAATATTGCTTGAAATATTTACTAACCTGAGATTAAAATATAGACTATAATTAAAATATACCACTATAGAAATCGAAAATAATGTAATTCTGTCAGTCAGGGAACATTTTATTTAACAAAAGAATATAAAACATTCAAAGCGAAAACTGCATTCATCAGATTCCGTAAAGCATAGTTCTTCGTATCTCACCTTGCCTAGCTTGATCTCCTTGTCGCGGTTGTGGGGGAGACCACGGAGCTGCTTGGGCAGGTACCAGAAGGAGACGTTAACCATCTCCGGCTCCAGGATGAGGTGGAACTTGTCCGGCTGCTCGCGGATGCGACGCACCATGTACTCCGACAGTTCCATGAGACGGTCCATCAGGCGCTCAAAACCGGACGTACCCTGGACATATAGAACTTTTGTAAATTGTGCTTATTTATTCATAACTACGGTGACTTGAATTTCTATTCGAACAACACTATAGAAGACAGTTATAAGCCACAAGTATTCGTATAGGTCGCACTATTTTGTGTCTATTGTCTATGATGTATTTTTGGACAGAACTATAAATATGATAGTACATCACTATACACCTTTCTATTTCTATCAATACCTTGCCCCTCCACTGCAGCCAAAGCTTGAAGATGTCATTATGCCTGCCGCACTGGATGACCTTGTCCCCGGTGTCATAGCGAGGGTCATAGATCTTGTCCGTCATAAACAAGTATTCCGCCGCCATCTCGTTGCAGCTCAGCAAAATGCCCTACAAACATGGAGATAAGAAAATCTTCTTAATTTCTTTCAAATGAAATCGTTTCGATATACTATACTAATATTTTAAACAGGAAATATTTTTGTTTTTGTATTTTATATCCTATGTATTGAAATAACTCCAAAATTTCTCGTAATGGGCTATTTTTTTTAAATATCGCGTGAACGAAGTCGCATAACTAGTGCATAAAGCTTAAATTCAATGTAAATATTTTGTTGCAGAACAAACATCTGCCGGAGACGATAGCGACACCCTTTACTAAAAATATGAATTGCAAATTGTATGTTTGTTTGAAAAGATTGATATTAAATTAATATGATCATAGACAAAATTTATGAAGTTTGATACACGTCGAATAATTTTGTAAACTATTGTCTATAGTATTATTAGTTGTAATTTTTTTTGTCAAATATTTCAGTTTGCTTTTACGATTACATTTTTATTTTGTTTGCATGTGAGGCATCTTTTAGACTATAACTATATTTGTTTTAAATCATTTATGTTTCGTTTTAAATCATTCAGGAAGTCATCCAGTTTGTTGTATACTGAAATGTAACTTATAAGCCACTGTTAAGTCAAAATTGCGTTACACAGAAGTGGCTTATCCTAACAGCTAAACAATTGTAGAATTTATTCTGCTTGTAATAAGGTAAATATTTACTCGGTTTCGTATAAGTTATTCTGACAACATTATGCCTTGTAAATGTCAGTTCAATATGCGGAGCAATAAATTTGCAGACCCCGCCTTCTCGGTTGAATTTGGCCGTAGTGTTGTACTTTGATTTATCGATAACTATAACAATTCATTTTATTTTATTGTATGTTTACTCTGTTGAGTTTAAATAACTTTTAGAAGGGGGTTTACCAATTATCTTTTTAAATTTAGGGCATCAAATAAGAATAGCTTATTAAACAACAAAGATTTTGGGTTGCCTTAAAAAATATACTGAAGCATATTTGGTTTTATAGGAGATTTTTTAACTGCTATATTATAACTACAATGTTCATTCTTTTTTCTTTAATTTTAAACAATATTTCTTACGTAAAAGATAAGTAAAATGCAAGTATTACTATAAGAATAAATCAATGATTTTTAACTCTAAAGTGTAATTTTGAACATTTTTCGTAAATATCGATATGTTATGTGACATCACTAAAGCCAACTGACATCGGCACGCGGCACTTTTAATTAAATTCCTCCCGACACTTACAAACATATGTTGCCAATTTCAGCCCCAACCTTCTTTCAATATAGAATACAAAAACGACTCTATCTTTAGTTAGTAAGGTTTAAAATACCTTTTGCTATCAGAGGTTCTGTAAATAATATTTCGTATCGTTAAACGCAGGGTTTGCTTTTGTAGCTTGCGGGAGCTTTCGCTTCCAACAATTAGCTTTTAATAAAAAGCAACTCAAAACATTAAAGACAGGATTCACAGTACTGTGCTAATATGTTTTTTATTGTTTAAGGTGACAAACGAACGCGGCCACTGGAATTCGCCAAAATAGCGAAGCATTTTCGATTTTGTCTACCTTTAATCACTAGATGATCCTATGCTAAATTCTCTTCCTTTTACGCACGTAAAGGGGTGAAAAGGAAAAGGAAGCTAAAATTAGGCCTTCTACAAACTTACTTTAGGTTTTTTTCATTCCACGCGGACTAAGTTGCGGGCAAAAGCTTTTTCACTTCCTTTAGGCATAGATGCTTGTCATGTTAATCGCTGATAGGTTTAGGACGAAATACCGATGCCTCGACCATACTACGAGAAGGACTAGGATAAGATAGTGAAGAGATGAACTTGTCTCACTAACCTCATGGCGGAAGTGCACGGTAGAGCACTGCAGCAGCGTGCCCATCAGCTTGTGTGGGTTCCAAGTCACCGAGTTCGCTCTGTATAAAAAAATCTAATTAAGTAAGCAAATTAATTAACGGCTTTCAACTAAGTAATAACATCATATCTAGTCATAAGTTAGTGATTTACCATGTATTTAATTATAATATTTAAATTAAGCTAAATCGATAGTTTTTTTTTTATTTAAGAACTCTTTTCTTATGTAACTTCTAGTTATCGTATCTAAATAAACAATTAAAGACGAGACTCCGAATAAAGGAGAAAATAATTGTAATTTTGTCACTCGGTTTCAAAATAGACCCTCATCTTTCACAAATGTCTACAATTTGTGAGTTGCGAGTGAATTTAAGTAAAACAGTGTTTTATCTTCTATTGACACAGTTGCTCCGTTCTGCATACGTTTTAGGATAATCTCCACTTTTCAATGTTTAAGGGTCGGTGTGTGAATGCCGCCTATCACACCGTAGTGTAACACAAATCGTGTTTAGGTATTTTTTGTACATTCAGTAAATTAATAGGAATATCTAACACTTTGAAAAATATTCATTTATCTTATTATAAATGTTTGTGCTTATTATCGTTTGATTAAAATAATTAAAAATTAATAAATAGTCAACATTTCAAAATCTGTTATTAAACGTCGAAACCGAACGTATTCGTTTTAATCTCAAGGGCTTTGTATCTTAAAATGTTTTAGGAAACTACTAAAATAATATTAATAATTACGTTACGGTGTGACAGTCAGCCTGTTTAAAACACACCCGGATGATAAACGAGCGCAGCCGAGAGCGCAGCTATGTCGCTCGGTCTTTTTTGTTTTTTTGCTAAGAGGGTGCGAGTTTTAATTGATTGTTGGAGTTTATGGCTGATAAGGGTGGCTTAGATTGACGGATATACTGTGTGGGGCTCGCATCTGAGGATATAGTAAGAAGTAATTCTTTTATTTTTAATTAAAAAGTCAAAAATAATAGTAAATTATCAAAATTCGCTTTCACTTTTGTTTACTAATGATTAATATTTAACGGTTTCACGCATCTTTAATCTTAATGTTAATAAAACCATTTTAATATCAAATGAATTCAATAAAAATATTCATGGTACAAATATAACAAATACAAAAGGATAAATAAAACATTTGTTAATATGAGGAAAATAAAGCTAAGAGAGTGCTACATTCGTAGCGTCGTCTACGTCTTGTAGCCATGACATGGAGTGACGTGCGAACTTTCAGGCTGCGCAGCACTGCGCCAGATGAGAGCTTTTTAATCCCTTGTATAGGGCTGCCACAAAATTACATGTTTTTTTCTGTTCTCAAATCTTGCTTTAAGAACTTTTATGTTAGTTACTACGAATTTTGTTGATTCTTTTCGAGTGTTATATAATAAGTTTTAGTTACTTTATTAATAGCTTAACATTCGTAGAACATTTTCTAAAAATAAATCTTTTTACATAAATAATATCATTGCCACTTAAGAAGCAGAGAAGCAGTAGTGTAGAGATAAGATAGATTAATTATTCAGCAATCGCATGGTAAAGATTTTTTGTAATAAGAGATGCCAGCCCTATCGTACATGTGATACGGTCGGCGCGCAAGGCTGTGCGAACGGATTTCCCTCCCCCTTACCTCCCGCCGCGCGCAGAGCATCGGCATTTAGCAGCCATGATTGATGGCGGCTAATGGCGGGAATGGAGGATTAATTTGCTGAGCGGATTTAGATGTACTTCAGTCTCTATGGCATATAGCTCGAATAGGGCAATTATTATTTTCTATATTCAAGCCTAAGAATAGCTACAAAGGAAGAGGAAGACCGAAGAAAGTATTGATGGATTAAGAAAGGAGTGGATTCAGATATGACGGCTGATAGAGATGTATGGAAGAGCAGCACATACTGTACCGACCCTCCATAAGGGATAAGAGCAAGTTAATAATGATTCAAGCCTAAGACTGAATGAAATGAAAAAAATGCTTCTGAATACTTACCGCTCGATACCAGTAAGACGAGGGTGACGGTACTTCTTAGAGAACAGGAGACCTCCTCCCCAAGCGGCCTGTGAAGAAACTTCTTGTTATATACGTCTTATAAAACAAATACTCTACAACTATTGAGTTAACTTACATCAACGTGCATCCACATGTCATATTTCTGGCAGATATCTGCGATCTCGACGAGGGGGTCAAAAGCTCCCAGCACGGTTGTGCCCGAGGTCGCATTGACGAAGAATGGCACCTGTATTGGCAACACCATTAGCCATCTCAAAGAGTTTTGAACTCCCGAATATCCGACTCCAAGGACCATGATAAATGGAATTGGAAAAAGAACGCCGATATTATAATTACCGTACCGCTCTTTTCATTGACTTCGCTATATCATCAAGAGCAGGCACACAACTTTGCCTAAACTATTTTTAGGTTTGTGGACGCTCATACAGAGACTACGTTCAAATACCACACGAATATTGACATCATCAGTCGTGATAATCAATTATTTTGACCCTAAATACTTACGTTGCCGCGATCCTTGTGGTAGCGTACCAGGCGCTCCAGTTCCGTCGGCAGCATGCGACCGCGCTCATCGGACGGCACGCACACGCAGTAGTCGGTGCCCAGACCGCATACCGAGGCGCACGACTTCACAGAATAGTGGCACTGCATAAGAGAACATTTTCGTTAGTTGAACAAGAATTTGATCTTAGGAGAACTTATCGGTTGTAATTTCACAGTAGAATATGTGACCTGATCGGAAGTAAACATGACGAGGTGTCCAGGAATGCTGGAGAGTCCCTTCTCCTTGTACTGCGGGAACTTGTGGTGCCGCGCCGCTAAGAACGCGTACAGGTTCGACACCGAACCCCCTACATTAGATAAAGTTGCATTATTTTCTTTTCTCTTTCTCCATTTATACCTTATGATGGGCATTGGCACAGGGACAGTTGCTTCATCCTCTAAATGTGATGTGAATCGAAAAAATGTGGAAAATATATAAAATACTTCAAATACCAATATAGGGTATATTGGTAGCTGTCCCTTCCCCTAGATTAAGTCTACATCATCTTCTGATGATGCCCTTGCACCATATTTTATCTATCAATTCCAGTTTCTCACCCGGTGCCAGGATAGAGTCACCGCACTTCCAGCCGATCATGGAGCGCATCTTCTCGAGCACGACATTCTCCATGAGGATGAAGACGGGCGCGATCTCGTAGGTGAACATATTGGTGTTCGCGGCAGCGGTCAGCCACTCGCCCGCCAAAGAGATGATGTCCAGCCCGCACGACAGCTGGTTGAAAAAGTGCGGGTGACCTGACACAAACGTCAACATTACTTTCAGGATTTTTCTTAATAAATCGATACTAAGATACTAACTTAGTGTCCATTGCATAACAAGCAGGCCACAATCTTTTAGTATTTGCAGCGATGTAATTTGACTTTCCATCATACTTATTTTTTTTTTGAGTTTGTTGTCTGCATAACTGAACGGCTCTGGATGAAATTTGGAAAAGATGTTATACAGTCTGGAAGAACACATAGGCCACTTGTTTCTGTTTTTTTTTTTTAAACCACGCGGTCTGAGACACGGATAAAAGCTAGTCGTTTATAAAAAGCATAGACATTTATAATGTCCTCAATAAGGTGGGTTTATGTTCGACCACAATTTTAGTGGTTAATACAATAAATAGAAGGATTTGATTTGTTCAAAAATCTCTCTTATAGTTTGATCTGGCTATAAACAGTTTGTTGTTTGTATTAAATGTCCACCGCGCCGTAACCGGAAGTAATAACGCGCGTCGTTGCTCTGCACGATTGTGGAACATCCGGCGGGAAATGATTTCACCGCTAACATTACATGTTGAAAGCAACATTTTTTCACTTTACCCGTTTTGTTACAAGTATAAAGTTTTGAAGCAAAATGCTCTTAATATTTCTTTTATTTAATCGATATCTTCAATTTTCGTAATCATTTAATTATTACGTGTTTAGTTATCCACAAAAAGACCCTTCTCTTTTTAAATGTCCCCGGAGGACACGTCTCTATATTATTTATGTGTCAATCTTCCCGCCTTTTCCGGCACAGATAATATTTTGTAATATTTCGTTTTCAGATAACAGCAAGGGTGATGGAGTATAAAATTGGGGCTTGTTTATGTATTTTTTACTTAATACGGATCTTCATGTTTATATATTTAATAAATATATCTTTTGAAAAGATTTTAGTAATATTAGTTAATTATTTACCAAATCATTAAACCTAAAATTAAATCACACTTTTGTTAATTTATTTTCTTAATAAAAAGAACAATGCGCACTTAAATTGATAATTTCTATAACTAAAGATGGCAAAGTTATTAATAAAATCGCTTAAGGCATAATATAATAAGTTATCTTTGACAGATACAAAGTAAAAAAAACTACAAAATGTCTAAATGCAAAGGAATCGTTTGACTATGTGGTTAGTAATCCCTGTTTACCCTTCTAAACGACGGGACGATAGTATTTGTTTTTTTATAATGTAATAATGAAGTGCTAACACAGAGGCGGTTGCGACGGTCCCCAGGGGCGAACTATCACGCTGCGCAGCCCGGGGTGGGTAAACAGAATTAAATCAAAACTGACGGGAATTTAAATAATCTGCATTATCCTCTAAAATGTTATCAATAAAGGAAATTTGTTACAAAAGTTAAAACGTATTTATCAAAACAAAAGGTCAATATCTCTTTTAACAATAAGTAATAAAATAGTACTGGAATAAAGACAATGAAAGAACTAATAAATAAAAAAGATATTTTCCGTTCTCATAACATTCTTGAATTAAAAACTATTCGAGTAAACAAACATCCGAAACAAATTCTATAGACTACGGATGAAATATAATGTTTGAATTATAAACTCTATATAAATCAGAGTAAAGTTTAAATTCATTTCATTCAGTTATAGATGGGGCTGCCACAACAAAAATAATATTAATTCGTCAAGAGGAATTTAATATAATCCCCTCGGTGCGCGGCCAGATGGGGCCGCAATTAATTCGGGTTCGCCAAGTCAGGTGTTGCTATAATTCCCATTTAATCTGCATTTTAGAGGGCAGCACTGGTGTAGGGAGATTTTTAGTGTAATGTGTGTTTGTACTAAAATTGGTTGTTTAATTTTTATTTACATATGATTAGTTTTAGTTAAATTTAACTTAATGTAGTTATTAAAAAATGTCTGATATTTAGTCATGATTTTGTTTGTAGAAAATATGGTTTTTATGTTTTGTCTTTGAGTATTGATACCAAAATTATAGTAAAGGATAGCGTTATATTATCTCGCCAGCGTGCTATTTAACTTCTTAGTTTCAATGCGAAAGTTTGGATGGATGGATGTATTACCATGTAACACCGTAACCACTGCATGGATCTAGAAGAAAGGTATAGATGTAGAACTTAGTCTGGAAGAAGTCATATAAGCCACGACAACGACGCCGGGGACGACAGCTAGTCTTACTAACGTAATCTTTATTGAAAAAAACATAGTCTTAGTATAAACCTTTTATGACATATCTTAACGGCACGTCATAAACAGAAAATATATCGGAACAGATAGCCCTTGACACAAGCACTCTTCGAGTCAATACAACAACTTTTCAAGCCCACTTATCTCGCACCGCAACCATCCCACGGGAACGTCCCCTCTGTGCCAGATACATTTCCTTCCTATCCACAGATAAACAAAAATAACGAATCATTTCAAACTCTATTTGAAAAGCCATAAGAGTTAATAATCACAATGATGTTTAACACGTGGCGCGCTGTCAAACTGACAGCAATCAGTCGCCATTGTGGCTGCGTTCCGTTTATGCAGAATTTAAATTGAATTATAAAAAACGCAAGAAGTAAAGGCAAGAATTGCAATACCAGTTGCATACAAATTATAGTGTGTCTAAATAATTTAGATTAGTTTGACAATTCACTTCAAATTGTTCGCTGCGTATTTTTGTTGTCACTACGATACCTGTCTATTAAGTACGGCTTTGTCTTCATACAAATTGAATTCCATACTTCATATGCGTCATTTATCAAACTTATATCGACTTTTTAAATTTACCTTTTGAATATTTTCTCACAGCCTTTAAATTTCTTTTAAACTCTAGACTTATAAATTTATAATTTTGCTAATATATTACGTTTATAAATATCAAACTATAGTTGAACATCTCCTCCATTGTAAACTTCATCCCACAAAGCCAGGGACTCCATAAAAATCAATCCATAACTCCAAATCCTAATCTATATTCAACAATGGACGGACGGACAAGGGGATGATCTATCAAACTATGTTAATACGGGTTTCAATAGGACGGGAGATTGGCTAGGAGGCGTGCGGGTAGGGTGACCATGTGAAAGAGAAAAAAATAATAAGAATCCTCGTTTTAATTAAAAATCTTGCCCATATTTCATTACTGTACCGGAACCGATGTTTGCTTTTTAGCTTTTATCTGCAAATATTAATGAGAGCAGGCGCACACCTTTGACTATACGTCGTTGTTCGATTGTCGATTGTTTCGCAGCCAATTCAACTGTTTAGTTGAACAACTAAAAATCGAGTAGTGTGCCCACCTCCATATAAGGTCATGGGAATCAAAACGAGACTAAACATTTGTGCTATAGTTTAGTTTAAAATGTGCGCGCTCTCTGAATGTCAATAAATTACAGTTTAGCACTAATTTTAAAGAGCCAAAAACACAGAGCGTAAAGTTGTGGTTTGATTTTTTTCAAAAATGATCGTATCAATGATACAGCTACTGATACTGATCTGATGATACTACTAAAAATGTGGTCACCCTACAGCGGTGGCTTAATCCAATGATTTGCGTGGCATTAGGGCCGCAGAGCCTCTTGTAAATCAAGGCGGGTGCTGTATCGGCGCGTTATGGCGCACTTATTGTTTTTACTGCTTAGGGTCTCTGCATATAAATGGCTAGATAGATTTTATACACACGAACGTAATAAAAAAGTAAAGCTACGATTTTTTATTGATCCTCGTAGCAAAGCCTACGAAGAGCACAATTCGTAGATTGTTTACGAAAATTGCTACGTTGCTAATATTCTTATTTGACATTTAATTCCGCAACTAAACAAAATAATGTCTAAACTTCAGCATTATTCTTGAACTTTCTAAGTTTAAAATATACACAAAAAATATACAACTTTGGAGTTGTTTTTATCTTGTAATGATTTATGAAGTCAAAGCCAAAATGAGACACAAATAAAAGTCTAGATATAAATATTAAAAAAGCATCGCGTTTTTTGCTTTCCTTTGTATTTCGAATCATCATTTCGCTCTCAGCATCCGGAGATTGTCTCTGAATGGGAAGATCGATGCCCCACCGGCGTCGCCCGCAGCCGGCAGCGATTACATACGCGCGGCCGAGCGTGTGATGCGACCCGCGGCCCGCGCCACTCTACACGCACCCTAATCTCGCACATCACAGATCTTTGACGGACGGATCATTCGGAATGCTTTTGTTTTAATAGATCTTTGATATAATAGCTGTGCGCTTTGTCGATGACTCTACCTCCCATTAGCACCGACCACTTCCCGCGCTTGTCTTCTCTGCAGTTAGTTAACATGACGTCATAATGCCATCGGCAAAGTTTCTGTGCATTAGTATAAAAAATGTTCGACTTTTAATTAAGGTTGACGTATAGGTATAACTGTGCTGGATTATATTTATAACCCAAAAAACGTTTTAATGTTTCTTTACGTAATTATGTATTCACAAATAACTCTTCTCTTGTTGTTGGTAATTAGATCGTTGGTGTTATAATTTAAGAAAACAAGAAAGGTCCGCTAGAAAATGGTAACAAGTTGGATCAATTTTAACTGGCTATATGCCTTAAGATACTTACATACATATAACAAAAATATAATTAGAACAATTATATAAATTGGATGTTATTCATGTTACTAAATGTAACAAAACATGAAATTAGTATCCTAACTTAAGTTTCTGAGCACGTAGCCAACAATATTTGCAACTAGTGCTCGCAGGAGCCGAGGGATGCGGGGGTAGGGCAATCAGGGTGTATTGTATCCGAGCCCCGGAACCGGCATCAAACAATTCAATTATGTCCACAAATGGTCCGCGATGATCGCGCGCCGTTACTTACACTTGCCCGAGCAGAATACAACCTGTTTGAGGGTTACTGCATCCCGCTACTGTTTTACTACTAAGTTTTGTTGCTATTTGAAATGGAATCTCTCCACTAATACGAAGTATTTTGTCTGAAACTCCTCAAGTCTAAAATTAGCTGGTATTTTGTTTGATATTTTTATGCAGCAAAATGTTAACGAAGTTGTTCACAAAATCATAGTCTGTAGACCGTGGGTAGGCTCGAGTCAGCTTTCCAGTGAGGAAATAAAACTGACATGAAATGTGGTAAGGAAGAAATGTTAACGCCAACTCACCAGTCTTCACCTGATTCTTGAGCGTGATCTTACAGTCCTCTAGCAGTTGCTTGAGCGGCAGCGGGTGCTCCGGCAGCTGCAAGTCCAACATCTTCTCCATCTCCTGTGGCATCTTGAACTCCAAGATCTAAGACAACAAGAAGGATATTCAATAATTAAAGAGAAGAATAAAGTTAAGTGTCAATACTTGTACTGGTAACAAAAAAATTTTTTTAACCATACCAATATTGTTCTCCTTTCAGATAGTAATGAAAACTAATAAGTCCCACCTTCTCGTTCCTATCGTTGACCTGCTGCACATAGTCCAGAAGGACATCGACGACGCGCGCCAGGAACTCCCGCGTTTGCGCGTTCGCGTCTTCGCGGTACGGTAGGATGGCTACGAAAAAGGTTTACAATAAGAAATTTGAACTTCAAAGAATATACCGCATCTTCGCTAGGTTCAGATTTCAATAATTGAAAACTTTATAGCAACACGTAGAACATAATGCTACGGAGAGCTAAGCGTTTAAAATAAAGATAAAAAATTGATTTTAAACTGCTTTTTCGGTGTCCCGAGTTTTTTTTTTCGTGATCTAAAGATGTATAAATAAATGTTTAAATGCTCAAACAAAATGTCTTATTGTAAAAATCTTTTTAGAGATTCGTAGACATCGCTACGTGCTTTCAAAAGTTTGAATTCATTGTCGAAGCTCATCCAGGCTTGTTCCGTAAGCTTTGTCAGTGCTTATTCCTTTTGTTGGGGAAGCAAGGTCTAATGTCAGTGTTAACCCCTCGCCCGCTGCTCCGAAAGGCCTTGATTAAAAAGTCGCTGCTTTCAATAACAACCCCTACTATGTTCAACAATTTGAAATGCTAGGGTGACTATGTAATAAAAACGTAAGTATTATAAAAAGATATCAATATGTATTTTAAATTACTTTGGAATTTTATTGCTTAGGGTAACTCGTAGCTGTAGTATGAAGGCGTATATTGTTAGTAATTAAAAATTAATATGAAAAAAAAATGGTGTAGTCTTTACATGACATGATTAAACAATACAAACTTTAGGACGATTTTTTTTTCATACCAAAATTATGGCCACCGAAGTTTAGACACAGTTTTCATCTACGTCATATTGTAATAACAGTCAGTCCACAGATGTCTTTGATTTGTTATTCGGACACACGAAGGGGATATCGTAATCAATTCTAGTATTTGTACAAATATAATCTAGATAAATATGATATTAAATTCTATAAAAATAGCTTTCATAAGTATTAAAGTACCAAGGATAAAACAAGCATTTTATATTTCTTTTTGTTACAAAATTTACCAGCGACCTTTGACTAAACTATCGCACATCTGTTTCATCACGCTTTCATTTCTATGACCTTATATGTACACTATTCGATTTTTAGTTGTGCAACTAAACAGTTGGATTGGCTGCAAAACAATCGACGATCGCACAACAGTTGTTAGTGAAAATTATGCGCCCGTTCTAAGACTTATTTTAGTATTGTAATTCGTACTTAATGTGGAAAACAACAAAATCACTTTACATAATCCGACTTACTAAGTGCTTTGCCCTAAATCTGTAACCCTTGCGCCGCCGACGTATGGCGTCATAAGCCCAGCTAACATTACCTCCACTGTCAGATGCAATAACCCCTCATGAATCTGTCTATATCTATACTAATATAAAAAGGAAAGATTTGTATTTTTGTATGTATTGAAATAACTCATAAACGACTGGGCTGATTTTTAAAATTCCTTCAACGTTAAAAAGGTAATTTATCTGTTAGTAACATAGGCTATATTTTTGTTATGTTATTACGAAAATCCTGAGATCGAGTGCAGATTTATTTTTAATGTTTTTACAAGAATATGCAAAAACATAAGCACTAAGCCTTTTTAAGAAAACATTTCATAGTGATATTTGAAAAAAAGGCGCAATTCTAACAGCTTTTCTCTGAACAAATATTGAGTGCCCCATTCGAAGGGTATTTAATTGTGAAGCATTACATCACATTCCAGATGTTGCTCTCAACTCCCGACATTTTAAATACATACAAGCGACATTGAATCTTATTAGGATTTATTAAGGTTAATTTTTTGTTGTTTTAGTGAAAAGTAAAATGTAGGGAGAAAGATTTGTGTGAACTTGTGTTTCTGACATCGTAAGCCGATTGTCATCTCGATGTGCTTTTTGAGAATATACCCTAAAAGAAAAATATTCTTATAATACCATGTTTTGGAATATAAACATCTCATAACGAGGTATGTTAGAATTACTATATACTTTATCTATTGCAAAATGTCCAAGTAAACTGAAATTTTGTTAACAAATTACTACAGTTTTCCATAGTTAAGGCTACTAACTAGTTAGTCTTTTTGGAATACAAAACATTACCTTTTCGGTAAATTTCACGTTTTTTTTGTTATCGTCAACTTTTGAGATTATTTTTTTAATTAAAACAAAGCACCTTCTACTATCCTTGCAAAAATTAAATATCCATATATTAAATCCCTTATTTAGCATTTTAACCATTCGTACATTCCTTTACAGGCATCGCTACATTTGAGGAATGCGTGGAATTTCACTTAAAGCATCCCGGGGGCATTACCGCGCACTACAATGCAAAAAGCAATAACACAGCTGCGCGAGGGTTGATGGCATTCTGTAACGATTGATTAAAAATTGAAGAAGAATATTTTAGTTATTTTAACGGATAAATACACCGTGATGTTAATTTTACACATAATAAAAAAAAATACACTTAGGAGAAACGATTGATAGAGCAGATCTTGTGGGCTTAAAGCGGACACACATATTTGACTAAACAATCACACGAGAGTTGTGCGATTGTCGATTGTTTCGCAGCCAATTCAACTGTTTAGTTGCACAACTAAAAATCGAGTAGTGTGCGCATCTTCATATAAGCTTATAGGAATCAAAGCGAGTCTAAACTGTTGTTCGATACCAGTTGAAGGTGTGCCCGCTCTTAAGCTAGCGTTGGATAACGCTTAGCATAACTGTTACTGTAATAACAGCTACTAGATAATAATCAGATAGGAAGTATAAACTTTAATATTTACATTTAACTACTTGTCTATTAAAGAAAGAAAGAGAGAAATCCGTTAATTAAAAAAAAAGAAAAGAGATTCATTCGGCTTGTGCTGCGGTGTACACCGAAGCGCCGGTTTTTAATGAATCCTAAAACACAAAACGCAGTTTTACAGAATAGTAAAAGAAATATATATTTACTAAAATGAATTAATTTGTTTAGCAAGGGCAGTACCAAAACAGTGCTAACGTCCTTGTTATCTTCTAATAAAAATAAGATGTCTATACTCCGCTGTACCATTGAGATCCTTTTAAATAAGGGATTTGGAGTAAAACCGGGCTCATTACCGCGGAAGAGGACGGATCAAGTTGTCCCGAGTGCGGGCTATTTATGACCCCAGCGGCGGTCGGAGGGTTGGCGCTAAACTTGACTAATTATTTTATAGTAACTTTACTACGTATATATGTTTTACGTAATATTTTAATAGTTTAATCATAATAATATTATAAATTCGAAAGTTTAGACAGATGTTTGTTAGAGTTTGTAGCCTGAACGCCTGAACGGATTTTGATGAAATTTGGTATAAATATAGAAGATAGTCTGGAGTCTGGAAGAACACGTAGGCTATTCACTTTTCTCTTTTAATTCCACGCGGTCGGAGTCGCGGGTAAAAGCTAGTTATAAATAAAATAAAACGCTTTATGCTATGAAATGATTAAAAATAGTTAACCTTGACTGTGATATTTAATAATTATTAGAGTATTTAACAATAGAACTGAATTCGTTAAATGATGTTTATATTTTAACTAGTTTTCGCCCGCGACATCGTCCGCGCGTGATTAAAAAAAAACAAAAACAAGTAATCTCTGTGTTCTTCCAGACTACTCTCTACAACCATGCCAAATTCCATCGAGATCCGTTCAGAGGTTTAGGCTACAAACTCTAACAAACATCCATCTATCCATCCATCTAAACTTTCGCATTTATAATATTAGTATGATAAGAAGTAAGATTTTTTCTTTAATACGTGAAAATCGATTTAAATTTGCTTAAACTTATCAATTAACAAAAAACATGGAAGATCACTTCCCCGACACTAATCCTCACACCCTTCTGTTAAGGGTGAGTTTTACCCCCGCGTGTGGCGCAGTATACTAAGTTATTTTCGAACTTTCAATGCGGGTATGTTTAAACATGACATACCAAACTTAGAATGATATTTAAACACTGTTAAACATATTTTTTTATAAAAGCTAGGAAATAACTATAAAATCCGATACAAGTTACGATATATGATTGGTTACTTTAAGAGCGCACGCACATATTTAACTATCGCATATTATTTAGTCTTGCTTTGATTCCTAACCTTAAGTGGAGGTGCACACTGTAATTGATTTTTAGTTATGCAACTAAACAGTTGAATTGGCTGCGAAACAATCGACAATCGCACAACAGTTGTGCGATAGTTTACTCAAAGTGTACGCACGCTCTTATAAATTATTCTCGTTGTATCATTCAAAGTAAATAATCATAAAACGTAAATCCACCCCTAAAGCCAGAGACAAATAACCGCAATCTCTTTAGTCTATAGTCGTAAATAAAAGAAAACAATCAGTGTCTATGGGCTATGAGGCGGGCGACTCCCAGTGGCAGCGGTAAGCCCCGGAAATAAATTATGCCGCGCGGTTCAAAGCAAAACAAGATAAACTGCAAATGTTAGCACTTTTATATTATAGTTTAAATACGTAGTACATTTTAGTTAAATTTTAAATACTATAGACAATACATTATAACTAAAATATGCCGTCGAGAAGTCAAAAATAATGCAGCGATCGATTTTTCATCTAGCGTTCCTAGCTTCTACTCCTGGTTATGTACACAAACACAGCTTAGTTCATACTGCAAACAGTTTCTACATAACTGTTATTTAATAAACTTTCAATATTGAATCCGGTTCTTTTAAAATATTAAAATTTTAGTGCATCCATCTGCCACAAAACATCACATTACGGGTCAAAAAAGTACAGTGATTAATCACTGTTCATTCCGCTGTAGCACTTAAAACTGTCACCAAGTCGCAATTAATTATTCTGGTTATACAAGCGACAGAAATCAAAGCGAATTTGCCACAATATAACATTTTGATTCAATTAATAATGTTGAAGGCAATAACTTTAGCTCAATAAAAAAACTCACGAAACTTATTATAAATTTATTTCCGATATAACTACTAGGTTTTATAGAGTGATGCTACAAGATTTCATGTAAATTTCCTTCAAAATAAAAGATTTCGACAGCACAGAATTACAAAATACAAAAATATTTTCTATAGGACTACATCTATACCAAATTTCATCGAAATCCATTTAGCCGTTTAGGCTACAAACTCTAACAAACATCGATCCAACTAAACTTTCGCATTTATAATATAATTATGAAGTAAGAAATAAAATTGATAAATACATTCGTGCAGTAAAGTGTCATATTACACAATAATCCTTATCTCTCTTCCTCTAGATGGCGTTACGTCCGCGTGTGGTCAGGAAATGACGCGCGCGAGCGTATAATGTCGCAATCATGGGGCGGATTGAAATCCGATACGCATATATGTTACTTCAGATGTAATCGTTTTAATAGAAAAGAAACAGAAGATTTATGTTTAATAATTATTATGTGTGAAAGGGATTTAATTACATTTGTATTTTATGTCCTTGTAACTTGCTGTAATTAATTTATTGTTAATTATATATTTAATGTTATCATACCAATATTATAAATTCGAAAGTTTAGACAGATGGATGTTTGTTAGAGTTTGTAGCCTAAACGGCTGAACGGATTGCGATGATATTTAGAATAGATGTAGAGGATAGTCTAGAAGAACACATAGGCTACTTACTTTTGTTTTTTTTTTATTCCATGCAGGCGGAATCGCGCGCCAAAGCTAGTGTATGTAATAAAATATAGACGAATAATACAATAAGATTTTTATTTTTAATTTATTATTGTTATTTATACTTACAATCGTAGTACAAGTTGCCGACGGCCGATGTCAGCTTAGGAGTGCTCTGACCGGAAAGGGACGCCATCCTTTCTCCCTGCACACAATAATACATTATATTAGTTTTATGCATTAAAATATTAAATTGCATCTCTTTACAATAATTTGAAAAGCGATCAGTGTGAGAGTGGGCGCACCTTTGAGTATCGACCAATTCAACTGTTTAGTTGCACAACTAAAAATCTAGTTAAGGACCTAAATATAATTTTATAGGAATTAAAGCGAAACTAAACAGTTTTGCGATAGTTTTGTCAAAGATGGGCGCGCGCTCTTACTAGTTATATTGCATTATATTCGGCGTGTTGATGAAGCAACTTTTTTTTTTAATTCATTTGAAAGTAGTCGATATTAGTTTATTAATTTTATTTTTGAATAGATTATTAAAATACAGATATTGCTTCTTTTTATAAATGTAATCGGTAGAGTTTATTTATATTTTTATGGTGATAATTGTCTGAATTAAAAACCTAGTTAATAATAGTTAAAGCCAAATGATTTATTTCGCGTCACATTAAGTACCATAATAGGTGTGGAATTGTTGTTAATTTAAAGTTAGCAAACTAATACATAAGCAATGGTTAATAAATAAAATCTCTATTCTACAGCATTGAATATTAAGCAAATTAACCGATCGTGCTGAACAAAGAAGTATGAAGCGAAAAATCAAAATGGCAGCCAAGATGGCGACTGAAAATGGCGACTATAATGGATTTGTGAACGAACCAACTGGATATGTTCAGCTATTTGCTTGCAGTACGAAAAAAAGCCGTCCAAAGTTAGCTTTGACATTTCGCTAACTTCTAGTTTTGATATTTCTAGTCTGTAAACAGAAAAAAAAATATCGTTAATTGAAAATTTACTTTGATTCCGAACGGCTTAATAAAATCGATTTTATATCTTTAATGTATTTTAAAATATAAAAAATTATAATGACTTTCGTGCGCGGATGTACTGCGCATGTGCTAAAAAATCCATATTGTTACGTCAAACATACAGATAAAAACATTAAATATATGCAATCTAAATATTTCAAAGTATTATAAAATGAATATAAACGTGAATAGCGTATTCTAAATCTAATAAACTCTACATATACTACAAAATACATAAAATACATATATACAAACCTTAGTGGAACTGTTGCTAAACGATGTACTTTTAATATATATATTGTAAGTTTTTTTAGTTATATAACCACTACTTGTAGGATATATTTTTAGTTGAGAAACAGATTACTATATGAGAGAAAGGGTCGTTGAATAAACAATTTAAGAACGAACTGGGTTCGCGAGATTTATACTTTTCGTATATGTTTAACATATATATAAGGATTTTTAAGGAATTATTATATGTTGAACAGCTGCTGCCTCTTCTGGGGCAGGTTTGGAGCTAGACTGAAAATCCAGCGAAGGCTTTCAGGGGCTGTGCTCGGCGCACGCGCGCTGAAAAGGTCGTAAGGTGAGCGGGTTGTGTGGAGGCCGGTGGGGGGCTGGTCAATAACGGGAAACAGGTCACCCCCATCCCCAAACCCCGGGCTTAATGCATTTATGGTTCAGTACATAGATATCCATGTAGCGCAAGTTCTATCTCATCGCTAATAATTAATTTAACTTTGTAGCGCATAGACATTTCAATAGAACGTCTCGTTGTTAATGCTGTTTTATTAAAAAAAACTTAAGGTATTGATTAGAATATTTATTTAATTCTTTCATCTTAATAAATAGTTTAAAAGCACACATTTATTTATTAAATGGGAATAAAACCATAAGCTAAACTAGATTTGTATAAATTACTAGCTGTTCCCATGCGATTTTAGCCGCATAAAATTATGAAAATTTTAATTTTATTGTTTCTTGTATTTCAAATTAATTATCCCCCAAGATTAATAGCGTAAAACGTGTCGTAGGAGTAGGGCTTTTTATTAAAGAAAGAATTATTCAAAAATATGGTGTGGTTGCTGAGATCCTACGCCACAAAGTAGTGTAGGTTTACGCTTTATTATTATATTATTTATTTATAGACATATATATTTATATTATTATAGATTAATAAATTTTCGTATGAAAAAAATATAAATAAACTAACACATATCTTTGAACACTATTGTTAGCCATCAAGAGTCGACAGAATTGAAAATGACAGAACATAACTATGCAATTTTATTTAATGCCTACGTCAGGAACAAAGGCAGTGGTCCTCGCCCACGCAACACCCGCCCGCCCACGCAACCTTCGCCCACGTAAGCGAGGACTGCAAATAATACTACTACCTTAAATTACGACATTAGTTTTACATAAGTAAGAAATTGTAAAAATAAAGGTACACACGATATAAAAATGTTAATAACGAATATTTATTCTGATTTTTTTTTTAATGTGGAAGAAAAACAGGAAATTTCCTAACTTACTACAGCCACTTTATTGTGAATTGGCAAAAATTTACTGTGAATTGAACTATTTAGTTAAATTATTACCCAGTTTTAACAGTTTGGCCTTCAGTGAAATATGTCTGTTAGAACTGAGAGTATGTAGCTGGTTTTACGTGTTGTAACTGACATTCGCTACAGTTTTAACTGACGTCAGAAGAGAGCGTCTATCGCGAGCTATACTGCTATGAATTTAATCCTAAGTCTTCTTTTACTGACTAAATTCGATCGACATAGATATATAAGTTTAAAAAGCTATATTATTAAAACCACTAACAGAAATTCTCACAATTCAAGAAGCTTGATTCAATTATGATATGAGCAAATTGCAAAATTCTTAAGCCGCCACACTGCAAATAACTTAAAACTTATCATATTTCCAGAATATTATCAGCGGCAGCGGCATTTGCTTTCAACAATGTCACCCCCTACTCATACCCTGGGGGTTCCCCCCATTCCGCCCAACGTCGTCCATTTTGGTAGGGCGTATGACGTCCGTGGGCGTCGGCACGCCCCTGCCGATCGATACAGCCAGGCTTACGGTTGCTCGTAATTATATCGTTAATGTCATATTACAAATTTACGATTTATATTACATATTATATATTATTATATATTCATAGGGACATTACATTTGTTTTATTCTTAGTTTTTTAACGACACAGTTTCTTTAAATCTAAGAAGTTTCCATCTTTAAAACTAAAAATAAAATGCTTTAGTTATACGTATTTTGTAGCAATGTTTGTCTGTTATTAACATTTTGCGATTAATTGCCGTTGTGTAACAAAATGAAATAAAACAGTAGTTAACTATAATAATGATAATATTCATTTGATTTCAAATATCAAAGATTCAATATAGTACAGTAGTAGTATATACTCGTATTAGTAGTAATTATTTTTACATGGCTGGCCGGGAAAAATTTTAAATTAAAAATACTTAGAGTGGACGCATAGCTTTGATTAAAGTATCGCACCACTGTTGTGCGATTGTCGATTGTTTCGTAGTCAATTCAACTGTTTAGTTGCACAACTAACAATCTAATAGAGTGCCCCACCATATAAGCTAATAGGAATCAAAGCGCAACTAAATAGTTGTTCGATAGTTTAGTCACAGATGTGCTAAGACAATATTAATTACTTGAGAATATTCTGGTTACTTCAACTCAAGTTACATACGCATTTACTTTTATCTCCTTTGTCGTAATATTGAAAAAATAATCAACACCAAAGGTAATCTTCCGGTGGCTAGAAAATCAGCACCAGGTGTCATTTGATAAACGTTATCAGGTAAAAGCTTGTGGAAAGCTCGTGTTGTGCGCTATCTCGAGTGCACGATTTACTTGCACAGAGTAAGAAAAACATTAAATGAATTCTATTAATAAATTTTTGAAGCTACTTTTAAAGTGTGGTAGAACAGACGGCAGAGAATTTAATGCCACAAAGTTCTTGTAAACACACACTATTTCGTGGCGAAGGATGTCAGAAATCACACCATATTTTTGAATGATTCTTTTCTTAATAAAAAGCCCTACTTACGACACGTAGCACTTTCTAGTATTTTTTCCACTCTTTGTTATAACCATAAGGGATAGGAAGAGGAAAAAAATTCGATGGAGATGGAGAAAAGGAACAGTGCATTTTTTTGTTTTTCTGAAATCTGTTCATTACAAATTCATTTTTAAGACATAACTTGAATCGCGAATTATGTTGTTGCAAGTTTTACTTATCATAGTATATTTTAGTATCTTTACTCTATAAAAATAAACTCTCTGGTATACAATACTCTATATGTAATGGTGTTTTATCAATGTATAGTTTATTGCCAGTGAGGTGAGTGCGCGGCCGAAGCGCAGTCTATAGACGTAAGTACTGGATTAAATAATCTTTTTACTAATATTATAAACACGAAATTTGATGTATAGATGTTTGTAAGTTGCCCTAATGATCGACATAGTTCGAAAGAAAATGGTATTTAAAGATGGATGTTCCTTACTAAATAACTCCAGAACGTCTCTACGCATATAGAACATAGTCTGAAAACAGTGGCTACTAATTATTTTTTATTATAGTTAAAATACAGTAATGGAGGAGCATAATACATTGATATATGAAGACACTAGTTAAGACGCTCTGGTAATGAATTGCGTAACTTTGAAACCTTGGAACAGGACTTCTAAAAAGATTAGATTCGTGATATTTTAGTATGTGTAACTTCAGTCCTTTAACTTTTAAATCGAAGTATAGACTCTCTTAGGTTAACTTTAGAGTACATTTTAGTGTCACAAATAATAACACGTTTGAATTCTACTGAAGAAAACCTTACATTAAAACATAATTGTATCTGAATTGCAAATAGATTGTGAATGAAATGAGAGCATGTTTCAATACAAGTATTTTGACAATGGAAATAGATATCAAATGCTCACAGAAGTAAACAGTTAAAAAGGAACCTGGCGAATCATTTCTAAGACAACGCATCTTCAGTTCTTATGTCAGGGGTAGCGAACCTTTGAGCATAAAGTGCCATTTTGAAGAAATATTTTATGTGGTCTTAGACGTGCTATCAAATAAGTTTAACTGATTATTTCAATTCCATAATCACACTCACATCACTCACTTCCTACTTTTAATTTTTTTATGATCATCGATGGGCTAATATTGTCGTGTGCCATTTAGACGTGACAGTGGTTCGCCATCCCTGTCTTATGGTATTGCTGACGTCGATGATGACGTCAGAATTCCTATAGCTCGTTTGTTTCTTCTCTTAAGAAAAACAATTGATGCGAATTTTTTTCACTTTTACAACCTATATATGTACCTATAACGTTTAGTTTATTTATTTTACCAGAATTCTAGATCCAATTTTGGATTACTTAACTGATATTTAAGCGTGGAATTTAAAAAAAAACAAAAGTAGTCTATGTGTTACGACTATCCTCTATATCTGTGCTAAATTTTATCGAGATCCGTTCAGCAGTTTAGACTACAAGCTCTAACAAACATCCATCTAAACTTTCGTATTTATAATATAACTTTCGCTCGCGACTCCATCCATTTGGAATAAAAAAGCAGAAGTACCCTATGTGTTCTTCCTGACTATGCTCTACATTTACGCCAAATTTAATCGAGATCCTTAGGCTACAAACTCTAATAAACGTCCGTCTAAACTTTTGCATTTACAATAGTAAGATATACTAGAGATCTAGACTAAGAGAGGCTTTACATATTTCAAATCAAATCAGAACAAATTCAATCATCCCCAAATACATAACGCTCGCAGGATCTGTGGAGGCACATACAAGTTTGTACATAACAAGAGTATATAAACGCGACCGATCAATACTCGGGATGTCCCTTTCCTTTTCTTTCATATAGCGACGTCTCTTTCAAACCAATAGAGCCTTCTCTCAACATGGAAAAGCTATAGCAACTCCTGTAAATGTGAACTTTGTTTTTGAGTACGATATCGATATGATGTAGTAATCAAATTGCTTATTTCTTACTTATGACTAGCTATTGCTCGCGACTTCGTCCGCGTGACATTAGAAATAGTAAAAATTTATATCCTACGAGCTGTTGCCTGCGACTTTGTACGCGTGGTATTAGAAAACATACAAACTATATAAATAACAAAAAGCTAAGTATCCCTCGGGAACCGGACATTTCTCGGGGATAAAGATTATCCCATGTGTACTCCAGACTTTGTTTTATATCTGTGACAAATTTCAATAAGATATGTTGAACCGTTGCAGGATGATTGAGTAAACATTAAAAAACTAAATTAATGAATCCCACGGGAACCGTAACTATTCCAGGGATAAAAAGTTGCCTATGTGTTCTTCCAGACTATGCTCTAAACCTGTGCCAAATTTCATGGAGATCCGTTCAGCCGGCTACAAACGCTTACAAACATCCATCCATCCATCCATCCATCCATCCATCTAAACTTTCGCATTTATAATATTAGTAAGTGTAAGATGTTACTCACAGATAAATTACCTTTCTAACAATGAAAGAATTTTATAAATCGGCCCAGTAGTTTTTGAGTTACTTCAATACATACAAAAACAAAAAAATCTGTCCTCTTTATAATATTAGTATAGATTTATGATTATTCTTATAATCAAATCTTATTATAATATAATGTTTAGTATTATGTAAGATCCCCGTTTTAGCTCTTTACAGTATAGTATAACGAAAGTAAGGATACTAATTTAAAATAGTTTAAAATCATTATTTTGATTAAGAAGAAAACAGGTCTATACGTATTAGTAATATTATAAATGCGAAAATATGGATGGATGTATAGATATACGGCTTAAAGGATCTTAATGAAACATAGGTTACTTTACTATGTTTTGTTTTTAATTCAGAGTGAAGTCGCCAGTAATAGCTACTCATAGTATGTTTTTTTTTAATAGTCACAATTCAAAGAACGTCTATTCTTTTTTCTGTTTCCAAATTAATATAATGTAAATGTAAAAGAAGACAATCTTGTCAAAACATGACATCAAATTAAGGTTACTACTATTTTTATTATTTTTATATTGTACTCCAACAACACTCCTTATGTGCGGAATCAAAAAAAAACAAAAGCGAATAGCCTATGTGTTCTTCCTGACCATCCTCTACATCTATACCAAATTTAATCAAAATCTGTTAAGCCGTTTAAGCTATAAACTCTAACAAACATCCATCCATCTAAACTTTCGCATTTATAATATTAGTATGATTAAATTAAATGTAATAACTATAGAAGGCAAACTTTGACGTAAGCGTAAAGTTTTGAATCTAGGGCGAATCGTGACGCACAACGCCCAACTCGAGTACAATCAGTAACACAAATAATTTTTAATCTGTGATAAAAAAATCACAAATATAAATTATCTTAATATCTGCAAAAAGAGGCATGTTTAAACTAATAAAATATTTAAATATGCTGTTTGTATTATGTGTTTCCACTAATGCCATAAACTCGTATTCAAATAATAAAAATATTAAAGTTTGTGTTAGCGATTGTACATACTCGTTTCTTTCCAAGCCCGGGGCTACAATAGCTCTGTTTGCTCCAGTTTGCACTTTGTCTTGGAAATGCGGAGTTCTACAAGAAACGGAAATAACTAAAACGAACTGGAAATATTCCAGTCGTCATTGCATTTATTCCGTCACGTAGAAATACATTATAAAAATAACTTATTATTTTTCTATATATACTGTAGCTAAATGAGAAATGAATAGTTATCGATAAACGATGTCTATTTAGTAAGGTTTTTAGGTTATATTTATATCAAATTGAAAAAAAAAAATAAAAAATCACTATAATACAGACTAAAGTAATTGGTATGATATTGGTAAAAATTACTACTTAACTTGACTAATTTGTAATACGTATTTTTTAAGATTAGTTATATCAATAAATCGTTAAGTAAAATTATATTAATAAATCGATTTTCATCGTTTTGCATTTTTGACCGACTTCCCAAAAGAAGGAGGTACTCAATTCGTCTGTATGTTTTTTTTTAGTTTTTTTTATGTGTGTTACGGCATAACTCCGCCGCTAGTGGACCGATTTTGTTAATTCCTTTTTTTCCCCCATTTGGGTCCCATTTTTTTGATTGATTTTTTTATATTCAGGAATCAGTATACAGGAGATTTTCAGACGAGAGTCAAAACTTTTCATGACTGACTGTCTTTTAGCGTCAAATTACATATCTGATTTTAAAATAGGAATAATCACGTATTTCTAGTTAATAGAGTAAAAAAAAAAGAAAAGTGAAACTACAAAAGCTTTCTGCTTCCCGTTAACAAAGCTCAATCTTTCCTTTGTGCAACATAGAACGGAAAAACAATAAAATCTAACTAAACAAAGACTTTTATTTTTAATCTAAGCTTTTGTTTCATAGATGAAGGCAAAAACGATTCTCACCCTTGTGGGCGTGTGTTGTTTTACGTTCGCCCTCTGCAGCCCCGAGGGCGGGGTGTCCGATGGGGTGGCAGAGGAACCAATGGCGCTGGAGGCTGCCGGGGAGGGAAAGAGAGAGGTTCAGAGGCCGGAAGTGGTCCTTCAGCTGAAATATGACGGTGGGGCGTTGAATAGAATATACCTCGCGCAGTTCAGACAGGGCCAGAGGGTGCCCTCAGTGCCGGCCCGGACCGATCTCTGTGCGGACCTTTGTCACGCAGGTTTTAGTTTTTTTTTTATTTCTTTTTTGTTTGTCTTATGTTGCGTGTTTAGCCAGCTCTTGTTCATTTGGCGCTAACATCTGTAGATCGGTAAGTTATATTTTAGTCTTTTTTCGTATGATCTATAAAAATTAAATAAGGACATTTTCTAGTTTTTTTTCTAGTGTTTTTATAACTGTAACTTTGCTTTTGATTTTTTTTTGGCGTTTAAAGCATTATCCTAAAACGAGAACTTACAATCTGGCAGAAAAAGCTTTTTATTATTAATTTGTTAAATTAAAACAAAAGAAAAATAAATAATTATCGTTAAGCTATAACTTTTTAGTTTTTAACTACATATTTTTATTTAAAAGACAAAATATTTCATTTATTTCTTCCAAGTAAGTTGAGATGCCGGCGGCGGGCCGTAAAAAAACCAGAAAGTAAAGCTTATAAAACGTAAGCGGTGAACAGGAATCTTAATATTAATAATTTTCTATTTCATTGCAAATTTGTAGTACTCTCTGCTTAACAGACTTTGAAAAAGACCATTCGATTATTATTTTTCCACGGAACATCACAGAGCTATAGTATGTTTTATTATATTTATTACTATTAGTTAAAAAACACTTGAACAAAAACAGTAAACCATTATTTTTTTAATACAAAATGTTTTTAGCATTTTTAAACGAGCGGTGGAAACACCTTTTTTTATCTTGTAGCTGAACTTTTTATGCTTTGTCCAGGTCTGGGCGGCACCGCATGCGGCTCCAGCTGCCCCCAGCTGATGCCAGTGGGGCTACAGAACGCGCTGTCAGACGGTAACAGCACCGATGTCGTATACGGCGAGCCCAGGGTCTACGTTTGTCCCACTCTTTGTGAGAACCATCTCGGTAAGCTACTTGTTAATTTATGAATATGTCTCTCTAAATACATTTAGCCTATTTCATAATATTAGGTCCTACGAAATTGCCGTTCTGCAGTACTGGTCACTTCAAAACAAAACAATTTTTATTTGGCTAAAGGTTCTAATTTTAAATTTATTTCATTTTAAAAACAGATTTCTTTTTCCAAAAGTAGTTAGTCATTTTTTTCGTCTTATCTCCATTCAAAATATACGTTTAGAAATATTTTATTAAAATTGACATTATGAATTTTATTAAATACAATTGTTAATTCCTAAAAAAAATGAAGATCATACGGTTTTACATGATTTTTAATTGGCACCAAAGTTTAAACAAGGATATTGTGAATGCTTTTGGTGTTAATTAATTTAGATTTAATAAAATGAGTCGTATGTAGGCGAGCCGCTGTGCAGCTGCGGTAGTAGAGGCGAGCGAGTAGCGCGGAAGGAGGTCGACTGGAATGGAATATGCGACACTTTCTGTATCAAAGATAGATACGTACTGGCGGGTAAGTGTTCACTATTTCCTTACAGAATACCATCATACTAGCAACATACATTTGACAGCCGTATACAGGCGTGCTGCAATACAAGGCGGTAAAAAGTAACCGCGTATGGCTTCCTTTCATCGTAGGTAGTTATCCTATTCCCGTAGAGTCAGCGCACCAGGTTTTCGTCCTCCAAATAACTCTATCATCCGTCACCTCAGTTACTCCCTTCTTGATTATACTTTCACGTAATCCATCCATCTTTCTAAGTCTACCTCTACCGGTGTACCACACTCATAACTATCGTCATTCTTATTGCATTTATCCCTACTCATAACCTTTTACTTCTTAATTTTTCGTAAAATAAATCAATCTGTAACGCTAGGTCATTTTTGTATTAAATTTAGTGGTGACAAATGAATCCTTATGCATATTATACTAGTGTTAACTTCATCAGGTTGTCCAGCATGTCGGGAGAACTATCAGTCTTCATTAACACCGGAAAACGTCGTGGTAAGTCGACTGAACACCGCCGAAAGCTGGTCTTCCTGGTGCAACGTGCAATGCCGCCAGGGGCAGGGTGGAGCCGCGTGCAACTGCGACCGCGCCCCGTTCCAATAGCCCACATCACACCAATAGGTCATGTAACACCAATTGGGATATCACACCAATAGGCCACGGAACGCCAGAATAACAACGATCACTTTTATACACGGGTAAATGCATTATTGGTTTAAAAGTATATTTTTTATATTTTAAATAGCTTCTTAGATTGTTTTTTTTTTCTTATTTTTTTAAATATATTCGACATATCAAAGTCTTAAATCATACTGTATATAAATAATAACTAATGTTGTTTAATATAATAAAGCGGACAGCTTGCTTATTTAATAATTAATAATACGAATTGTTAATAATTGCATTCCCTTTAAAACTGTTTAAATAATATGTATTTTTAAAATTGTAAATTCCAACTTTTTTATAGAGTGACAGTACTTTTTGTTTGTATTTCTTTTCTTTAGTATTTTATTAAACATTATTTTCATTATTTTTTTTTTTATTTTTTTCCTTTCATACCTACCAGTCAATTATAATCATCGGCTGATTTATTGAGATTTTGTAGCGCAAGGAAACATTGCAAAAGGAAATCGCGATAATTAAAATTGGCCGTTGATATAAAAATTTGTTTCGACTCCCTAAATTTTTCAATTCAAAAAATCGTATTACAGTAGTTAGTGTTGGTAGCCAGTATTATGGTTAAAAAAATACTATTATTTTTTTTTGTTTGATTGTAAATAAATTGTAAAATAGAGACCACTCTTTGAGGTTGACATAATTAGATCAATTAAGTCTATAAATTTAAGTCTTAAATTTCATCTAATTAAATAAAAAACAAAAGCTTTTGTTAATTTTGCACAGATATTATTCATTTTTATTTTATAAAAAGTAAAATTAAAAAGTTGCTTACCTAAAACAATCCATAAAATTAACAACACAAACTTTGGACTTGCATCTTTTAAAAAACCAACCATAGACTACATACGGTTTCCCGCCTTTAAGGAGACTTAATTAATCAGAACCTATGATATCACAAGTCCTTGATAAAATAATTTTCGTGTTAATTGACTACACAGAGTTAATAAACTAAAGACATCTCTTTTATTTTATTTTTTATTATTATTTATCTTTAACAGTTTAATTTTCAATAATTTTACAAAAGTTGTATTTTTTGTTTATTCTCATTATGTAAAATAATTATGTTTTTTCTCGTAGATTATAAATAATACTAACTTAAGTATATTTAAGAAGTGTAATCGTATTAATAATGGAATGAAAGAGAGAGAATGAAACTGTTTTTTATTTGTTTTATTTACGTGTGTGTGTAAGTGTAAGTGAAAATGATAAAACAATTATGGATGAACAGAGAATGATATTATGAGAGTGTCAAAATGAGATAGTTGTTTGTGTTTAGTGAGTTTGTGTGTAAGATAGTTTTGACTTAACTTTTTTTAAAACCTGTCATCTGTTATTTTTCACGTATTAGTTATTCGTTGAGTGAATTAAACCTTATACTAATATTGCTTTTATTGCTGACAAATAAAATTATTAAAATAATGTCCCTTCTATGCATTTTATATGGTTTAACCTGATACAATCAAAGTCATGACCTTGACTTTAATAGTTTATGTCGCAAATATTAATTCAGATTCAACGATTCTATTCTCAAATATATATTTAAAAAAATGTAATAGTTAAAAACCTTCTTTATTTCAATTTTCTATTCGTTGTATTTTTATTTGAATGTATGTGTGTGCGCGAATGAATAAGCAAAGGTTACTGTAACAAAATATGATAGTATGTCATGTTTAAACCGATGGGGAGATTTATTTAGTCGTTTAACAATTACATTAGCAGTCCCTGTGTGTAGTATTTTTATACTTTTCGACTGTCAGCATGTAGCAACTTGACATTAACAGGAAGTTTGGGTAAATATAAATAAAAATCTTGCCTTTGTTTTTCTTTTTTTAATTTTGCGCAAAGTTTCGGGTGGCTCGTGAGAGACTAAAGCCGGTTACAATCATATTTTGTTACAATAACCTCTTTAGTGTTAGAAATCAACCAAGAATTATCATAACAAACAATATCACAAAAGTCTTCCAATAAATATAAGTATAATATATTTATTAGTGTTAATATTATCTACAACTATTTAATATAAAAATAATACAGAGTAAGTATAAATTGACATAGATTAAAAAACGTAACATATTATTAATTGTTAAAAATATGTATCAAATTCTTAGATTTAATTGAAATAACAATTTTAATGACTTTTCTAATGCTATTTAGACAAAAATTTAACCCAATGTTTGAATAAAATTATAGTAAAATAGTTTTCATATCGCGCGCTTTATCTACGTATTTGAAATTTAAACGCACAAACATTTAGATTAGTATGTTTTGTCTCCCTTTTTAAATATACATTTTTCATCGAATATCAGATATATAAGCATTTATTAAATTAATAATAATGTATATTGAGGCTTTCTTTTCTTTAATGGTAATTCTTATAAAAAAGTAATAAAATAAAATATTAGCACATCATATTGTTAGTGAAATAAAAGAATAAGAAATTAGATAATAATATTTTAACCGTATTTTAATGTTTCTCATGTAAAAAACAAATTTGAATATAGTAATTTTAAGTATTGTTTATGTATAATAGATAATATATACGACATAGTTTCATATTCTTATCATTAAATATTGAATAATTATTCTTAGGTAAGGAAAAATCTGTTGTGCAGACAATAATATTGATAGATTACTTAAAATAATAAGTTAAAAATAATACGTATTTAAGGCTATTTTAAACTACAATAAAGTATGTCTATATAAGTAATTGTTCTTATACATTTAAGAGGAAAACAAATATTTCGAGAGAATGAAAAACCTAGTCATAAAAGTGAAAATGTCGGAAATCTTTTGCTTTTACTAAATATTAACTAACCACAAAGGCAGTCATAGAGTATTGTACGTTTTTCTTGATAATATTTCCCAAGGTCCATTTCTACACCTTTTTCTACCATTGATTTATATAAATAGATAGGTAATTGTTTAGAAATAACATCTTTTGTTTCGTTACGACGCGCCTTTTGATGTTAATGACGATTAGTGAATTCTCTTCACCGCGACCAACCGCAACTATCAGCACCAAAATGGCGAAAGTTAGTCACAAAACACCGCTGTTTATTGCCTATCCATATATAAAATTAGTTTACTACCTTTTTCGAATAAAGAAATTGTATACGTTCATCGTGTTCTTTGTCTTCCAAAGTTATAATTAGTATATTGTGGTTGTCTATGGATCCATACCAAAATACCGCTTCTATAATAGAAAAATATCTTGATAAGTTCGTAACCATGTTGAAAATGTTATTCGTAGTTATTGAAAAAAAAATTTGTTTCATAACATTACTTCTACGGTTTTCCCTTATTGTTAAATGTACAAAAATATTAACATCGTAATATCGATCGAGAGGCAAAAGAGACGTTACATCACTAGCTGTTATTAACTAATTCTTTTATTAAAAAAATAACTAACAGTTAAAACTTCACTTTGTGCGTAGTATAGTTCAGTTTGTATAAGACTTCATAGTTTTCAATGTAACTAAAAATTGTTCTACGTGTTTTAGCAATGTCTTTGTAAATATGTTGTAATTGTAAACTGCGTTGTAATTGTGTTTTAAATGTTATGTCCGCATTTATGTATGTATAGCTTATCTTCGAAATGGTTATTAAATGTCTTTTAATGCCTGTGATAAACTCTTCAATGTAGCTTAATTCCAAGAGTGTTACGCATTGCTTCGATCATTCAAATTAATAAAATTCTTTTACTGTATATATTCTTTTTAAATGTTTACACGTACCCAGAACAAAACTGCGACGATGGTACATCATCACCATCGCCAGCTCACTGCACGTCCCCACCTAGGGGCTCGGAGCCTACACTAATAGGGGGTGACTAGGCCATAGTCAAACACACTGGCCCAGTGCGGGTTAGTTGACTTCACACATATCTTTGAATTTCTTCGCCGATATGTGCAGGTTGCATCACGATGTTTTCCTTCGCCATAAGAACGTCGGCTTAATTATGTAATAATCGAAAATTACATTGGTACATGGCGGTTTCGAACCCAAGACGTGAAGATTACAAATTACAAAAGTGTTTAAACCACTGCGCCACTGACGCTCTAATCGATCGACATCTCTTATCGACGATGGTACATCTAACCTAAATCGTGATTCCTTTGAATATCGCCAAAAAACAAAAGCTGCTACTTGTAGCTGACAGTCAAGGGTAAGTACAATATAAGAGAATACTGTTAGAAGGAGTATTTAATAAATAGATTAAGGAGACAGTTGAACTAAGAATCTAAAATTTATGTTAGAAAGCTAATCTTAACAATGAATTAAAAAGAAATTGATCTTAATAAGTATGACCGAGAGACCATTTAGGCCTGATATTATAAAAAAAATATTTTATCGATTAGGAATAAAATTAGAATCAGGACAAGTACTACTTAATCGTAATATTAAATTACCATCTAAGTTGTACGTTATTATAAAATCTTATAAAGACGAAAGAATAGGGTACAGTTTTAACCGCAGTCGCACGCGGCATGGTGCTGTTAACTGTTGCTTCCGTTTTCGTAGAACAAAGGCAGAATAAAACGCGGTTCACACTTGGCTAGTATAGTTGGTCCGTAGCTCTGAGTGACTGGATTATCAATTAACTGACACCAGTAAATATATACAATTTATGACCTGACTGTCTATCTGTACTGGCCAAGTGTGAACCGGGCATTACGTGTAGTTGTAAAATATTTACAGATGATGGGGTCAAACGCAAAATATCCCGAATAAAAAAATCGGACTGAAAAAATACAACATAACTTGCTGAGGTATCATCAGGTAACCTTTTCATTTAAGCATTACTGTATCAGAAAATCTCACTGGGGTTGGCTTCTGTAATATCACTGCGTAAAATGGAATGGAACATAACTCTATAAAAAAGAAAAGCTTATGGTTTGTTGTGTTTGACAATTTGACAAGTTAATTAATCTTGACTTTACTGAAACTGTGGTATTTTATCATTAGTAAAACAAAATAATAATGTATTTGTAAATGTATAATGGCAGATATAGATCAAACTCATTGTAGATTCTGTGCCGAAACAAAAGCATCCAACAAACTGATAAATCTCATTAAAGATAGAGAAAAGTACGAAGAAATATTGCATAAATTGACCGCCTTGAATGCAGTTTATGTCGATTTTTCCAATAACAACAACTTATTACCCAAGAGTATTTGCTTCGTGTGTTACGATTCATTAAATAAAGCAATTGATTTTCTGGAAAAGGTGAAACGATCGCAGGAAGTATTGTTAAATTTATACATAACCAATGACTGTACAAAGACAGATTTGTCCGACGATGATAGAATGGGTTTCGACGATTACGGCTTACCAGAATCAGTTGAGGAAAATTCACCATTAATTAAGGAGGAGGCCAGTTATCCAGAGAATGCTAAAGTAGTTTTAAATTTGGACAATATTACTTATACTGTGGAAGTGAAAGAAGAATTGAAAGTGGAAGAATCAGATAAGGCTCCTGAGAGTAGTGTAAGTCCGTCCAATATAGAATTTGACAATACTCTGAATGTTCAAGATCTGCTTGGGGCGACCATATGCAATGTGCCATATGAATCTAATGTTACAATATATGCTAAAGAGGTGACAGATACAAGAAAAAGGATAGTACCTTTATGGAAAGATTATCCGTGGATTTGTGCACACTGTAACATGGAGTTCCTTGATTTACCAACATTAAGATCTCACTCCAAATTAACTCATGGGAAATGTAATGCTTTTGTATGTTTTGATTGTAAAAGTTATGTAAAAAGTGATTTTGAATCATTTTTAAAGCATGTTCGCAGGCATCGTAGAAGATTAAGGTAATGTTTATTTATGATTTTTCTATATTCATAAATAATAAACATTGATTAAATTGGTTTATCTTGTAAGATGTAAATAAGAACATTGAATAGTCTACATCTCAATTTTTTATCAGATTAACATCAACCTGCACTTGTTCCTACGTAAGGTTCGCAGAACATGTTCTTCCCAAATTTTTTATGATTTAAAACATAAGTAAATACATGTATTTCTTGAGATTTGATAAGTCAAGGGTATATTTCTTTGATCAAAGGTTAAATGACTTATGCAACATTATTCCAAAAGTACTAATTTATTCAACTAGCTTTTGTTCATAACTCCTTCTGTCCGAAATTTAAAATAAAGATGAAAAAATTTGCCTATGTGTTCTTCCAAACTATATTTCATCTGTGATAAATTTCATTGAGATCTGTTATGCTGTTCTTGAGATTGTAACAAACATCCATCCATCTAAACATTTATATAGACATTATAATTTAATTAATATTGTGATTTATTTTTATTCCAGAAAAAGATGCCACTATTGTGATGCATATATTTCTGAAGACTTACTAAGTACACATGTAGCGCAGCATCTTGTTAAGTTACAGGTCCCTTGTGACCTTTGTGGAGAGATATTAAAAAACGAAGAGGCACTACAAAAGCATTTAGGTGATTACAATTCTATAAAACCGAAACGAAAACCACGCAGGAAACGAGGTACACCAATCACAGTGGCCGAACTTACTTGCGAGTTGTGTAAAAAAGTGTACAAAAATCCAAACAGTCTAAGGGACCATATGAAACTACATACGAACAACCGCACAAGGAATTATACTTGTGACAGATGTGGTAAAATGTTCTATAACAAAGGCACCCTTACTTCCCATATCATGTCTCACGATCAAATTCGCCCCCACATCTGTAAAATCTGCAACAAATCGTTCTTATTTCCAAACATGTTGCGTAGACATGTTGACATGCATTCGGGAATAAAACCCTTCTCATGTGAAGAATGTGGACGCGGTTTTAGACTTCTATATCAGCTGAATGCACATAAAATAATTCACACGGACGCAATGCCGTATGTTTGCGAATATTGTAATAAAGCTTTCCGTTTTAGACAGATACTTAAAAACCATGAGCGACAGCATACAGGAGCTAAACCGTATGCGTGTCAGATTTGCGGTATGGAGTTCACTAATTGGTCAAACTACAATAAACATATGAAACGACGACACAACACTGATACATCTAAGAAAAAAATCACACCTGAAGGTGTGTTCCCGATTAACCCGCAGACTGGGCAAATTGTACAATTCACGGACCCTGATACTGAAGAATGGAAAAACAAAATAATGAAGCCAGGGAAGAGAGGGAAGAAAAAAATAATAAAGGAAGAGAGTGGAAGTTAATCAAGACATAGTGTAGAGGCTTATACCATTTAAAAAATTGTAGTTTATGATTTAGAGATGGCCCATTTTAAATTTACTTTAGAATATAACAAATTCTGATTGATTGCAAAACATCAAACAATCACCATTAAGAATGTGGACCCATTTCCAAGTACAAATTCCAAAAATGGTCAACTGGAAGAATTAAAATGGTTTATACAAATGATAGGAAAATGCTTTAAAATTGTATATTGCTAGGGAATTTTATATACAGTGCTAGAAACAGAAAACAATGCACTTAAACCAACAATTCTTGAATAAAAAAAAAACAATATGTGCATGTATATGAGCAGTGGTCACTCAGGTATTTTGTCGATATCCAGTGGCAGCTTGCTCAATTATCGCCTTATACTAAAAAAAAAACATCAAGAATCTATGAATCAATTCTATCTATGTTCAATTATTATAAATATTGTTTGTTTTATATTTTTATTTACTCTTCGATTATTTGTTAAGATTCAATAAACTACATTAATTTTTTGTAATGTTATTTGGGTACTTTAAGTATATGCAGACCACTTTCTTCACACCTGACTGTTACAGTTAGTAGCCCAGGCCTGGCTGATACTGTATTGGCGATGATGCTTACACTATGCCAGTCCACTGTAAGCTTTACAGTCGCAGTGTTGCCTGTGCTACGGCAATTGCTGCATCATAAGCAAACACATTTAAATAATTAGATAAGTCATAATGAACAAAAAATCTTCAGCGGTACTTTCTCTGAAAGGTAGTAGTAATACATCAGTTGTCAAATTAAATACGCCACCTAGTGTTCTTGTGATTACATGTAATAAAACATTTTACAAATTTATAATAACCTCCGCATTTTGTTACAAAACTAATTAAACATATCAAAATTGAATGTAAACATCATTAAATTCCTCTACATAATTGAATGTCTTTGGTACAAAGGCTTGCAGGCCAAAAAATTACAAAATATACTGCTTAAGGCCATTACTAATAATTCGATTTTGTGTTTAAACCGAATATCGATAGTTTACAGATGATCGATAGACGCTCATGTGCGTCACTATGATACCCGTCTATTAAGTACGACATTTATTTATACAAAATGCGATACTTCTTATGTGTCATTGATCAAATCAAGTGTCTTAAAAATAAATAAACAAATTATGTTTTGTTGTGGTAAGAATAAATGTAATCTATTCTATCTTTATTTTATTATTTGGAGTTGTTGAATATAGTTGAAGTTATCATCGTAAGAAATAAATACCTAATAATTAATTTTCCAATTACACACTACAGTAAAGTTTTGAATGTGATGCGAATATAATAATGAAAATGGACAAGAAGAGTGAATCTTACTACCATTGTATATTATGCGCCCAGCTAGAATGTACCAGTAAATTAATCCCATTGCAAGCAGACGAAGAGGTGTTTCACAAAGCTATTGTAAAATTGTCCCGTTTGAATATTTTGTACGATTACGACGAAACACTTCCAAAGAACGTTTGCGAATCGTGTAACTATAATCTTGAGAAAGCATTTGCATTCGTAGCAAAAGTTGAGAAAGCCCATAATATTCTATCTGATCTTTATAAAAACAAAAGTAACTTAAAAGAGCAAGAATCTGATATTTCGGATGATGATGATTTTTTAAATAACAAACATTATAGTATTTTTAAAGACCAACAGAGCTGTGTTTTGGAAAACATAAAGGTTGAATTTTCTGATGATCGCCAGAATCATGATTTGGAACAGAATGATAATATGCAACATAAACAGAGTGACATTTCAGAACATCTGGATTCTTCAAGATATAAATCTGAATGCAATGCTAGCTTAGACTTCGAAATTTACTCTCAATCTTCTAACAACTGCTCTGATATCTCAGAAGTAAACACAAGTGACCATATTCACAACAACAAAACTAAGAGTAGTGGGAGCACAGACTTGACATTAACCTGGAACAATTACCTCTGGACTTGTTCCGTCTGTGAAACTCAGTTTTCTAACAATGAAGAACTAAAACTACATTCAATGCAATACCACCAAATATGTAATGCATTAAAATGTTATGAATGTAAAAAAAAGAAATTGCATTTGAATGCATTCATTGTACATGTTCAAAGGCATAACACTCATCTCAAATTTATGTGCTACAAATGTAATTGTAAATTTACATGTACCCGTGCATTAAATAGTCACACAAGATCAGCTCACGGGCCTAAAACAAAATATGTATGTCCCGGTTGCAATGTTGATTTTGAAAGTTCAGAAGAATTAAAAGTGCATATGGATACATTCTATAGAGGAAAAAGGTCCATACATGTACCAGTTGAGTTGGTCTCTAATCAGAATAGCTTGTCTTGTGATATTTGTAAAAAGTCTTTTAAAAAAAAGCAATTGCTTCACAATCATTTACTCATACATACTGATAGAAAGAAGGAGCATATCTGTGATAAATGTGGTAAAGGTTTTGTTAATAATAATCAATTAAAATCCCATTTAATATCACATAAAGACAAGCGATCCCATGAGTGCAAAATATGCAAAAGTAGTTTTAAATCATTACGACATTTAAAAAATCATATAGCCACTCACAGTGGTGAGAAGCCTCATAAATGTGATCTATGTGGCAAAGGGTTCCGTTTGAAGAAATATCTCAACTCTCATATAATTATACACACCAACTCTCTGCCATATGATTGTTCATATTGCGATAAAAAGTTTAGGTTTAAAACTATTCGGGACCAACATACTAGACAGCACACTGGATTCAAACCATATTCATGTGAAATCTGTTCTAGAGATTTTACAAATTGGCCTAATTATAACAAACATATGAAAAGGCGTCATGATTTGAATATGGCTAAGAGAAAAACAACACCAGAAGGTGTGTATCCAATTAACCCATCTACTGGTAAAATAATAAAATATGATGTTCATGAAACTCTGGATTCAAAGAATCAGAATATCAATGGAAAAGTCAAGAGGATATCATCAACCCATAAAAAACTACAAATTAATGATTTTGATGGTGCCCAAAATGAAAAATCTGAAACAAAATGATTTCTAGTGAACTCTAATGATTATTTAACTAAAGTTTAGTATTCCAATTGCAATTCTATCTAAACTTCAAATAATAAAACTTAAACATTTTAAAAGGTGATTTCAATATGTGCTGTATGCTATATGTAAAAATTAAACAAATAAATCAAAAGTTTTATATGCTTGGCAAAGGAAAGTCTCTGTACTGCCGATATCATGTTTTTTCTTTTTTGTAATTATCTATTCCTGATTATATTTTATTTGAAAGTGGTAGTGCCCGCTTTAACACCTTAGCACGAATAGGCTGGCACGCCCGGTGTAATACCACGACCACACAGAAGACAGGCGTGAAATGGAAGCAATTCCGTGTTTCGTCTGATGAGTGTGGTGCCGGAGGCCTAATTTAAGTCCCTTTCTCTTTACCACCCTTTTCTTATAAGGAGAGGATGGGAAGAGGAAGTGGATTTAACGGAGGAGGAGATACATAGGAAGGGGAGATATCCTCTTTATGTGCGTCTCCTCCTCTGTCGGATAAGGGTAGGCAACGCATCTGCAATTGCGGATGTCTATGGGCAGCGGTCGCTTCGCCATTTTGCCGGATTCAGGTGGCCGCTTGCTCGTTTGCCACCTTATGTTATAAAAAAAAATATACATTTTATTTTAGATTTGTGTTTAGAATTAACAATAACGATTAATAGTAAGTTAGCATCAACTTGCTTATGGCCCTAATATCAGCAATAAAAAACATGTTACATCGCCAAATTATATTTTTTCTTGTGTTTCGAAATTATAGAAATGGCAACATTCACCCGTACAATCAGTGCCGGATTAAGCCATCGCGGGCCCTGTAGCATATTCTGTCAAGTCAAGGGGCTCTTGGATTGCTTGAGGTTCTCAAGTTTAGGGTATTAAATTAAAACAAAACTTGATTTTCATTAAACATTAGAATATTAGCGAAAAAAATAATCGTAATATACCTACTTACCTAAAGTATTAACTTAGTAGTAATCTACGTAATAACAGTAATTTTCTGAAGCAATATTCCAAATTTCCAAGTCCAGTAGAATGTGAGCTGATTTTTCGGTTACGCTTATTGTTTGTGTTCGCGAAATGTAAACTATTTGTACAATTTAAATACTGTAAGAGAACGTTGGTTGCTTAGTGGTTTAAGCACTTGACTTGTTATCTACAGGTCTTGGGTACGAATCCCGCCTTGTACCAATGTGATTTTCGATTTTTCGAATTTTCATATGTACATAATTTACCCAACGTTCTTACGGCGAAGGAAAACATCGTGATGCCTGCACATATCGGCGAAAAAAATCGAAGATATGTGTATGAAGTCAACCAACTCGCACTTGGCCAGTGTGGTTGACTATGTCCTAGTCACCCCTTATTAGGGTAGGCTCCGAGCCTCTCGGCGGGGACGTATAGTGAGCTGGTGACATAAATACTTACTATAAAGTGTAAAGAGCAAATTTGACAACAAACGCATTTACTTGAATAAAGAATAATATTAAAACCAATAAAACAACGACAAAAATAGCACGCGTTTTTTAATTCACTTTATAAACAAAAAAATTGGTTATTTAAGAAAACCATTAAAGATAGATATATGCTATCGCGGACTTTTCTGTAGAACTTTTTGAGATCTACAACTCATTCATACATAATTTTTATATTCCTCTAGTGTTTTATGCAGCGTAAGCCTAGAAAGTTAATATTTAGAATTTTTTAACGCCGGAATCTCGAAATACTGCTTGTTTGTTCTATAACTTTCGTTCAATAATTTGGAAAAAGATATTGAATCTTTAAATTAATTAATCAAAATCATTCCAATGGTGATACAAGCTTGAAGAATTTAATCTGCGCTCTATCTGTTCTGTACAGATTTAGGAGAAAAATGAAAATTTTGAAATTTGATAATTTGAAAAGATATATCAAAACCCACGTAACTTCGTTATAAATAAAGATAGAACGTTGAATATGCGACATCATATACCTCGTTATACAACCAAAATATTTTATAATTATAGTCTGTGGTTTACGAAATATCGATAATTCATCTTCACATTTTACTTGTACTTCTAGCAATCCCACAAACTTGAATTTTGAATATAGATAGAAGTCGACATATAATTAAAGAGAAAAATCTAAATCCAGTTTTTTATTACCTTTTAGCATAAGATGAAATAATATAAAAAATATTAACCATTAAAACTTGACTCCTGGAATGGAGTATTTTCAGTTATGGAAAGGTTCGAACTAAAGTGGTATTCACGACCATAATTTTAGTAGTATAACCTACAAAAAGTAGTGTGATTCCATGAAAAATATAAAAATGCCGAGTTTCGCTTCCCCTACAAAAATTTGATATGTCATGTAAAATTTTGTCATTTTAGTGTCTATTATGAAACCTTGGCAATTAATATTCAAAGAATATGTTAAATTCTTGAGTGCTTTGCTTTGGTTAACGTAAAAATAGGATAAACAGCAAGCAGTATTTCTTCAAAATAACAGCACCGTGTAATTACTAATCCTTCATAATAGACACTTACTAATATATCTAGGTTTTACATGTACATTTAACACAATTTTGTAGGGGAAACAAGACAGCATTCTTAATTTTTTTATATTTTTCATGGGATATAACTATTTCAGTTTCAACAATCATTTTACTAAAATGAAACATATGTCAGCAACAATTTTTTTTTTACTAATTAGTTTTTGCCTCCTTTGTCATCCTCAAAAGTTTTTTTTTTGGTTCCTCTTTATTTTCAATTACTTTTATTGGTATTTTCTTCGTGGCCCTATTTGTTTTGTGCATTCTTTTCATATGAACATTATAATTAGGCCAATTTGTAAATTTCCGAACACATATATCACATGAGTATGGCTTTTCTCCTGTATGCTGTCGCAGATGATTTTTAAGTGTCGCTCTAAGTCTAAAACTTTTAAAACAATATGTGCATTCATGTGGTCTGGAGTCACTGTGCCTTTTAATGTGTGCAGTCAATTGATTCTTCAGACGGAAAGAGTGTCCACATTCATCACATTTAAATGGTTTCTCTGCACTATGGATAGCTACATGCTGCTTCAAGATATATTTAGTTTTAAATTTCATCAGACATACTTTACATTGATGCCTGCGTTCTTCGTCATGCACAATTGTGTGCGCAACTAAATGCCGTTTCCTGAAGAAACAAAAGCCACATATCTCACAGATGTGCTCTCTTGTTCTTTCAATATGAGTTAATAAATGTTTATGGAGTGATTCCTTTGATGCATAAGATTTTTTACAAGTAATGCAAAATAAGTCATTTGTATTAGATTTTATGCCTAATGGTATATTGTATTTTCTTCGTTTATTTTTATAGAATGCCTGTCTATGAGTACTTAGTTCTTCTTTACTTTCAAAGTTAACATCACATCCCGGACACACAAAGGGCGATTTTGAAGCATGTGCACTACTTAAGTGTATATGTACATGATGTGCACACAAAAATTTCTTATTACACTTATGACACATTATTTTAAGATACTTCTTATGTCTTTTGACATGAATTATGAAATCTTTTAAATTCATCCTCCATACTTTACAATCATAGCATTTGTATGCATTACAACATTGGTGATATTGCATTGAATGTGTTTGAAGTTCTGCAAGGTCAGTAAACTGTGTTTCACAGTATGCACATGTCCATATGTAATCATGCCAACTTAACTCTTTTGAAGATACATCTGAATTATTTTCCACTTCATCACTGTGAGACATTTCATCAGAAGAGTCATGCTTATTAGCTGTAGAATTATAACTGGCTTCTGAGTCTGAAGATTCTGCATCTTCTTGTTTAAAATGTACACTGTATTCGGATATAATATTTTGTACATCACTTTCTTGATTTTCCGAAGAGCTACCTTCAGTCTTTAATTTCTTTTGATATAGCTCTTTCAACCTCTCCAATGCTTTGTCGACTTCATGAACGAATTCGAAAGCTTTGTCCAATTTTTCCATACAAGAAATGCAAATCATTCTCGGTAACTTATCAGCGTCAAGATCATCGTAAGAAATATGCAAACGGGTCAATTTTAATGCAGTTCTATGTAAAATTCCCTTGGTATGCAAATTTATTAACTTGCTGAAACATTTTATTTGAGCGCATAAAAGACAATAAGTTACGTCCTCCTTTTCCATGATGAGAGATATTTGCCATATAAAGAATAACACAGAAAATTGTCACATATAGGATTTATATGCTTTTACTTGGTTTTGCTTTTCTTCCTTTTTCTTTGATTCGCTTCGAGAAAGTTTTGACGCTGCTGTTGCAGTGTTGCCAGATTATATCAGACTAGCTTTTTCCCGCGATTTCATCCGCGTGAAATTTGAAAGTTCAATACTTACGTTTTTTTCGGTAACTTAAAAACCTGTATAACTTCAAAAAATCACATGTTTCCTTCCCATCAGAGCCTAAAACCTTCATAACATAAAACCTCCATAACTTCAAATATTGGTGTTTCCCTTGGACTTTAACTTTTCGAGGTTCTACTGTATATGGATAAAGAGTCTCTTGTATTTAAAATATAAATCGAGTCTTGAGAAACTTCTTTTTATTTAAATTGTTAAGATAGCAGTAGCTATATAGCTTTCTTACTAGAAACTTCTGAATATGTTGAAATAACCTAACTTTAATTTAAGAAAATAAAAACCCGACTAATCCTTATTCAGACAATTCTTCAGAGGAAGGGAAGCGGGACTAGTGAGAATAATAATCTTCCTAATAGAAGATATGGTGTGTAGTGTGAGCGTGCACATATTGGTTCGATACCTTTTACATTTCTATTGGTGTTGGAGAATGTTAAGAGGTTGTAAGTACAAGGTATTGAACGTTTTTCATATTTTTCAAGTGTTCATTTTGACGTGTTCCTTTATTGATATTTCAATTATAAAAATGTGAACAGACAAGAAAATATATTTTCCCTTCGTAAACACATACTGGTCGTTTCTATTCACCCCCCACCCCCCATCATCTATTGGTTTCCTTTTAGAACAAAATTTTTACAATATTCCAATATTATAAAACCGTAATGTTACGTGTTGCATCCTTTTTGTCATGTATCATAAGGTGACAAAAGTGCAGGCGGCCAGCTGAATCCGCCAAAATTGCGAAGCGACCGTTGCCCATAGATATCAGCAATTGCGGATGCGTTGCTACCTTTAATTGACAGAGGAGATGCATAGGAAGGGCAAATATACTCTTTATCTTTATAAAGAGTTATTTCCCCTTTTTATCGCGTCTCCTCTAAGCCTATTTAATGGTGGGTCAATACAAAGATTTTTACCATGAAACTTAATTTTTTTTTAAACAATGTTACATGCAACTTACATAAATATTTCACTGAAAATATTAAATATAATTTATAATTTAAACTATATAAGATAGAATTTGAATTGACTTAATTTGAATACTAACACTTTATCTAAATAAAATCCACTAGAAATTATTTTGTTTCAGATTTGTCATTTTGGGCACCATCCAAATCATTAATTTGTGGATTTTTATGGAATGATGTCATCCTCTTGACTCTCCCTTTGATATTCTGATTCTTTGATTCCAGAGTTTCATTAACATCATATTTTATTATTTTACCAGTAGATGGGTTAATTGGATACACACCTTCTGGTGTCGTTTTTCTCTTAGCCATATTCAAATCATGACGCCTTTTCATATGTTTGTTATAATTAGACCAATTTGTAAAATCTCTTGAACAAATTTCACATGAATATGGTTTGAGCCCAGTGTGCTGTCTTATGTGTTGGTCACGAATAGATTTAAATCTAAACTTTTTGTCACAATAGATGCAGTCAAATGGCAGAGAGTTTGTGTGAATTATTAAATGTGATTTGAGATAACTTTTCAAACGGAACCCCTTTCCACATTGATCACATTTATGGGGCTTCTCATTACTATGAATGGCTTTATGCTTTTTCAAATGTGTCAATGTTTTGAAACTACTCTTACAAATATTGCACTCATGGGATCGGTTGTCTTTATGTGACATTGTGTGGCATTTCAATTGATTTTTACTAACAAAACCTTTACCACATATATCACAAATATGCTCCTTTTTTCTATCAGTATGTATAAATAAATGACTGTGGAGTAATCGTTTGTTGTTAAATGACTTTTGACAAATATCACAGGTTAGGCTATTCTGATTAGAGACCAACTCAACTGGTACATGTATGAACCGTTTTCCTCTATAGAATGTATCCATATGCACTTTTAATTCTTCTGAACTTTCAAAATCAACATTGCAACCGGGACATACATATTTTGTTTTAGGCCCGTGTGCTGATCTTGTGTGACTATTTAGTGCACGGGTACATGTAAATTTACAATTACATTTGTAGCACATAAATTTGAGATGAGTGTTATGCCTTTGAACATGTACAATGAATGCATTTAAATACAATTTCCTTATGTTACATTCATGACATTTTAATGGATTACAAATTTGGTGGTATTGCATTGAATGTAGTTTTAGTTCTTCATTGTTAGAAAACTGAGTTTCACAAATGGAACAAGTCCAGAGGTAATCATTCCAGGTTAATATCAAGTCTGTGCTCCCACTACTCTTTTTGATTTTATTATTGCGAACACATTCAGAACTTGATTCAGCTTCTGATATATCAGAACTATCGTTGGAAGATTGAGAGTAAATTTCGAAGTCTAAACCAGCATTGCAATCAGATTTATTTCCTGAAGAAACTTCACTATGTTGGTATTCCACAATAACATTCTGTTGTTGTTCCACAATATCATTCTGTTGTTCCACAATATTATTTTGTTGTTCCTCTAAATCATTGTTCTGTTGTTGTTCTAAAATAACACCCTGATCCAAAACATGGTTCGGTTGATAATCAGAAAATTCTACTTTTACATTTTCCAAAACACAGCTCTGTTGATTTTTTAAATAGTCACAATATTCACCTTTTAAACAATCATTATCTGAAATATCAGAGTCTTGTTCTTTTAAGTAGTTATTTTTGTTTTTATAAATATCAGATAGAATATTTCGAGCTTTATCAACTTTTACTACGAATGCAAATGCTTTCTCAAGATTATCGTTACATGATTCGCAAATGTTCTTCGGAAGTGTTTCGTCGTAATCGTACAAAATATTTAAACGTGACAATTTTACAATAGTTTTGTGAAACACCTCATCGTCTGATTGCAATGAGATTAATTTACTGGTACATTCTAGCTGGGCGCATAATATACAATGGTAGTAAGTTTCACTTTTCTCGTCCATTTTCATTATTATATTCGCACCACATTCAAAACTTTACTGTCGTGTGTAATTCCAAATGTAATGAATAGGTACACGACTCTTACAAGGATAACTTCAATATTTAAGACAATCTGTTCTGTTTTGAAATTATACTACTGTTCGACATGGTTAAAAAAGAATCTTGTAGTTGATGTCGGAATATAAATATAGTTCGACATCGATTACAGATATGCTGAGCAATGTCATCTTGACAGTCGCTGCCTCGCTGCAGCAGAGTCATTTTTGATCAATAAGGACAAGCAAAGGCGAAGAAAGGGTGGCGGTGCATTGATAAATGTATCCATTTTTAACATTTTTGAGTTTCTACAAAAAATATCATTTGTGAAAATCTATCTTTGTTGTTCTCTTTAAATTAAAATGATCGCCGAACTTCGAAAGAAAATGGCACTTTAAGAATAAGATTAATAGAATAGTTTAAATAATAAGCGAATACTACTGGTACTCAGCTGGTTGCTTACAGTTTGTATTTGTAATAGACATAATTTTGGAAGGGCTTTCTGGCAATCCCAAAAAAATTATAATACATCAATCAATGTCATAACTACCAAATAAAACTAAACTTTGTCGGAGATTTATAACTTTATCGTTTGCTTTAATAAAATTAAATGTACTTTATGCAAACAACGAACGTATGTGAAAAAAATATTTCTATTACATCATGGAAAAAGAGGGCATAACTTATTGTATTTTATGCGCTCAGATAAAATGTTTCAGCAAGTTAATAAATTTGCACACCAATGGAATGTTACTTAAAACTGCAATTAAATTGTCTCTTTTGAATATTTCTTACGATGATCTCGACGCTGAAAAATTACCGAGAATGATATGCATTTCTTGTATGGAAAAATTAGATGAAGCATTCGAATTCGTTTCAGAAGTTGACAAAGCATTGGTGATGTTGAAAGAACTATACGAAAAGAAATTAAAAACTGAAGGTAGCTCCACAGAAAATCAAGAAAGTGTTGTGCAAGATAGTATATCCGAATACATTGTACATATTAAACCAGATGTTGCGGAATCTTCAGATTCAGAAGCCAGTTATAATTCTACAGGTAAGAAGCGTGACTCTTCTGGTGAAAGATCTCACAGTGATGAAGTGAAAAAAAAATTTAGATGTATCTTCAAAAGAGTTAAGTTGGCATGACTACATATGGACGTGTGCATACTGTGAAACACAGTTTACTGCCCTTGCAGAACTTCAAACACATTCAATGCAATATCACCACTGTTGTAATGCATACAAATGCTATGATTGTAAAATATGGAGGATGAATTTAAAAGATTTCATAATTCATGTCAAAAGTCATAAAAAATATCTTAAAACAATATGTCATAAGTGTAATAAGAAATTTGTGTTCGCACGTCATGTACATATACACATAAGTAGTGCACATGCTTCAAAATCGCCCTTTGTTTGTCTGGGATGTGATGTTGACTTTAAAAGTCAAGAAGAATTGAGTAATCATAGACAAGCATTCTATAAAAATAAACAAAGGATACACAATATACCATCAAACATAAGATCTAATACAAATGACTTATTTTGCATTACTTGTAAAAAATCTTATGCATCAAAGGTATCACTCCGTGCTCACTTATTAACTCATACCGAAAGAAAAAGAGCACATCTGTGAGAAGTGTGGCAAGTGTTTTTTTAGGAAACGGGATTTAGTAGAGCACACCATAGTGCATGATGAAGAACGCAGGCATCAATGTAAAGTATGTCTGATGAAATTTAAAACTAAATATATCTTGAAGCAGCATGTAGCTGTCCATAGTTCCGAAAAACCATTTAAATGTAATGAATGTGGACACAATTTCCGTCTGAAGAATCAATTGACTGCACACAGTAAAAGTCACAGTGACTCCAGACCACACGAATGCACATATTGTGGTAAAAGTTTTAGACTTAGAGGGACACTTTATATTCATCTGCGACAGCATACAGGAGAAAAGCCATATTCATGTGATATTTGTGTGCGGAAGTTTACAAATTGGCCTAATTATAATGTTCATATGAAAAGAATGCACAAAATAAATATGTCAAAGAAGAAATTACCAATAAAAAGTACATCTAAGACGTAAAGTGTGTATTAAACGAATGAAAACAGAGGGACCATGTTTTAAAATGGTTTTGACAAAAGAGGCTAAAAACTAGTAATTAAACATTTCTTGCTGGCAATGTGCCTTATTAATATAATGATTTTATTGTTGAGAATGAAATATCTATGTTATTAAGACTAAAAATATTAATTTTCTGATTATACACAAATTGAAAACATTTTACGATTGTTCAAGAAAAGAAAACAGAAAATTAACAGTAATAATTGCATGAATGTAGATTTACATTCATGCAATTATTACAGGATCTCATGTTTAAGTAGAAAAACATTTATAGCTTTGTTTCTTTTATTAAACACTAGCTGATCCCATGCGGCTTCGTCTTCTTGAAATTATAAACACTCTTCATTGTTTACGTTTGTATAACTTACAAATGTCAAAATCGTAAATGACAACTGAGGCTGTTGACATTGGCCAACAATTACTGTTACCATGGCAATTGCTTCTTGATGTAACTGGTTTATATAGTGCCGCAAGGCCAGTGGCATAGTGTGAACACTAAATTGCGCCAGTGAGTCTAAACATGACTGGTCGACGCAACAACCAACCGGCCAAATGTGACCGGGCATTAGGATTTTTTTGCGTTCTGGTAACAAAATCTTATCTATTAAAAGTCTCTGTCAATGTCAAAAACCTGCCATATGATACGATCTTTATCGGAGGTTTATATCGTTATTATTGACTTTCATAAAATTAAATGTCCTTTGTAGAAACACAAACTTGAAATAATATCTCTATTATATCATGGAAAAAGAGGGCATAACTTATTGTCTTTTCTGCGCCGAGATAAAATGTTTCAGCAAGTTAATTAATTTGCACACCAATGGAATGTTACACAAAACTGCAATTAAATTGTCTCGTTTGAATATTTCTTACGATGATCTTGACGCTGAAAAATTACCGAGAATGATATGCATTTCTTGTATGGAAAAATTAGATAAAGCATTCGAATTCGTTTCTGAAGTCGACAAAGCATTGGTGATGTTGAAAGAACTGTACGAAAAGAAATTAAAAACCGAAGGTAGCTCCACAGAAAATCAAGAAAGTGATGTGCACGATAGTATATCCGAATACAGCGTAAATATTAAACCAGATGTTGCGGAATCTTCAGACTCAGAAGCAAGTTATAATTCTACAGGTAAGAAGCGCGACTCTTCTGGTGAAAGATCTCACAGTGATGAAGTGAAAATTAATTTAGATGTATCTTCAAAAGAGTTAAGTTGGCATGACTACATATGGACATGTGCATACTGTGAAACACAGTTTACTGCCCTTGCAGAACTTCAAACACATTCAATGCAATATCACCAATGTTGTAATGCATACAAATGCTATGATTGTAAAATATGGAAGATGAATTTGAAACAATTCATAATACATGTCAAAAGTCATAAGAAATATCTGAAATTAGTCTGTCATAAGTGTAACAAGAAATTTATGTTTGCATGTCATGTCCATATGCATATGAAGACTGCACATGCTACAAAAACACCCTTTGTTTGTCTGGGATGTGATGTTGATTTTCAAAATCAAGAAGAACTGAGTAATCATAGCAGAGCATTTTATAAAAATAAGAGAAGGAAATATATCCCATTACGAATAAAGTCTAATACAAATGATTTATTTTGTATTACATGCAAAAAATCTTATAAAACAAAAGGAACACTCCATGCGCATTTATTAACTCACACTGAAAGAAAAAGAGAGCACATTTGTGAGAAATGTGGCAAGGGTTTCTTGAGAAAACGGGATTTAGCAGAACATACTTCAATACATGATGAACGTATACATCAATGTAAAATATGTCAGATGAAATTCAAAACATTAAGGATTTTGAAACAACATGAAAGCATTCACAGTACGGATAAGCCATTTAAATGTAACGAATGTGGTAGAGACTTCCGTCTGAAGAATCAACTCACTACGCACAGCATTATTCACACTGACTCCAGACCGCATGAATGCAATTATTGTGACAAAAAATTTAGATTTAGAAGTGTACTTCATCTCCATTTACGACAGCATACTGGAGAAAAGCCATACTCATGTGATATATGTGTGCGGAAGTTTACAAATTGGCCTAATTATAATGTTCATATGAAAAGAATGCACAAAATAAATATGGCAAAGAAGAAATTACCTGCAAGTGATACATCAAACACCATCATAAACAATTTAGAAAGTAATGATACACTTGGATGATGGAATCAGATTTGTTTAGGAACAGAAAGTAACAGCCTAGCTGAACGCTAGTCATGTCAAAGTATAAAAGTTATACTTAGTCATGTCAAAGTAATTTAAAAGTTTAAAACATTTTAACATCTAGATTTTAGGTACTAACTATCAAGGACAGGATCCTTATAAAAAGGAATCTATCCAATCCTTTAGTAGTTGATCTACGCTATTCAAAAGGAAGATTTAAATAATTTTTACTTTTGGGTACAGCAAAGTTTTGAACTAAGTTGGCAGCATTCATTTTATTCCGTCCAAGTATGGATTGTCTTTGTGAGGGGGCTAACATAGCCAGCATGTACCATATTAAGCAACATCCTTTACCATCAGAGGTTGTAATTAAGCACTGGTTTGTTCATTGTAAAGAAAAAAATGTCCAGTGATATAGGGTAAAGACAGACATGTTAACATACAAACTTTAATCTTTGTTCAAAGCAGAAATTCAATTAACCAGATTTATTTTTCTTCTCTTTGAGATGTTAGATGTGTATGAAAGCATTTTTGTTTATTTGAGACAATATTAATTATGTAAAAAAATTTTTTCACTGAGCTAATATAAGATTATAATCAGTGGAATTATGAATAAAAGAGATTGTGTAAATATATTTATTTATGTGCAAACAAAGCTAAACATCTAGGCGATATATTAGCATTAACAATCTTTCTACAAGTTGTATTTAATAAGCCATTTTCCCTTAAATAAACAATCCTGTCTAGTAAAATAAAGTTTTCAATAATAGGTTGCAACTGGTTTTGTAATAAAATAAATATGGCGGCCTTTTTAAATGTCACTGGTGGTAAATCACGCCAAATTGTAATTAATTCCTCGACAGCAGCTTTTGCATTAAACGATTTATTATAAAAAATTGATGATTCATTAAAACTGTCTATTTCTAAATTTTCTTCTATAAATAAGAATCCGTCAGTACAGGCATCTTTTGCGTAACTTTCAAAATTGTTTTGCACCGTCTTGACTCTTACGGCTTTACGTTTTTTTCTTTTTATCTTGTAGTTATCTGAAAAAGAAAACATTTAAATAAAAATGTATTGGTCTTTATAATACTAAATAAATTTTCCTTTCAAAACAATGAAAAACAAAATAACCTTTAAGCTACTTTACGTTTACATTATGCCAGTAAAATAGGCCAGTAGCATTCAAAGTTAGTGCTGGCATAATATGAACACAATCGCGCCAGTAAACCAATAAAGACCAAACCCGCCTGGTTTCTAAATATAAACCAGGCATTATCTAAAAGCTGGTTTACATTTTGACGAAACAAACCCCGGGTGTCGTTAAATTTTCGTTAGTTCATCCCACTAAAAGATAAAGCAAAATTCGTATCTAGTCAATTTGTTAACTTACATTTGGACGCGTATACTTGTAAAACGGCTCTGGCGACTAAGTTAAAAACTAAACTTCTTAAGTTATTTTGACCAATAAGCTGCGGTTGTGCTGCTAATCTTAAAAATGGTGTTTTCATGTATTCATAACCACTTCTTTTAAAATAAATTTCTTTCAGACAATTACTAAGAGGAAAATTAGAGAATTTGCTGTCCGACAAATGTTCAATTCGCATTTTATGGTAGCAGCACGGCATTAAGATCATAGCTCTGGCGTTTTCCATTTTTAAAAATATATTCATAGCGTCAATTGTTAAATCTGCACATGCGTGGAGACCTGTTATACAAAAATTGTTGCAATTTTGAAATTTATCTTTTAGAAAATACTCCAAGTTTATATGAGATTGCTCGGTAATTCTATGTTTGATATACTTCACGCTGCTAGTAGAGTCAATGTGGTATTTATTTTGTCGTTGCTTTGCAGCAACATAATGCCTTTCATTGCACTCTAAGCCCAATACATTGTAATGACTCATATCGAAAATTACTTGATCCAAATATCCCTGAAAAAAATATCATCACTTTTATAAAAATCAATGATACAATTTGCTTGTATATTTCCAGTATTGTAATTAAATGCAAACTCCAAATTTACCCTAATATTTGCCAAGCGTAAATTTTCATAAAATAATTTCCTTCGAACGTCAGTTACTAATGGTTGCAAGTTTATAAATTAAATGCTTTCGAATGATTTAGACGTTGATAATAGTGTGGTAAAATATCAATAAAAAGGGGGATTTATTACCAATCCTGATCCAAAATCAACGACGGTATCACATCCAATATTATCGCAAAGTCTTCTTATTTCCTTCGCTAAGCAAATAATTTCATGTCTCTTCTTCGGTCCTAGTGGTGCATTAATTTCATACTCAGTATTAGCTTCTACATTATTATAATTAGCTCGAAGCTTATCCAATTTATTAAAAAAATCATTATATACTGCAACATCTTCAGTTTCGCTTCGAAGATCAAAATCATGTTCAAAAACATCAATGTCTTCAAAATTATCGATGCATATGTCGTCTATGACCCCTTTAACAAGAACGTCAGTATTTGCAAAGTTATACAAGTTTTGATACTCTCCGAAGAATTGAGTGCACGCTTCAAAGTAGCCTTCGTAACTCTCAAAGTGTACCGGCAGAGACATTTTTAGAGAAACTGTAATTAAAACATTTAAACGTAATTATTAATACAAAAACTGCAGAACCCAAAAAAGCGCCAATAGCCAAAGGTTAGGGGTACGAATGTCCGAACACGTGGTCGAGGGGTCGAAACCCGGCATTCGACTACTGTCGTAGGTAAATAACCTAGCAAAAACCTAGAGCTTAATTGGAATTGTAAAATATAAGTGAATTGACAAAAATACACTAATATAAAAAAAATATATAAACTTAGCTTAAAGCATTAACAATTCATAAACGAAATTGATTCTTCATAAAACAAGTAATGTCAACTAATAAATTGCACTAATGGCATCGACATATCACGTTATCGTGGGTTCGAGTCTCGCTTTGCTCTATTGTCGAGTACCAAATGCTGGCACTAGCTTTGTATCTTTGGTAAGAGAAGTTAGGTTATTTTATTTTAAATTTAAAACTTAGGCAGCTAGGTTTAAGTGTAGTATATACACGTCGCATATTAAGAAGATAGTAGTGTGTTAGAGGACTGGAAAGATCTGTTTTGTAGAAAAAAAGGGTACAAGTCAGTAAGTACTAGACAAAAACAGGATCAATATTAAAACAGTCTGAACAAGAAAAGATGTTGGGGCATCTGATACGACATGACGACCTTATGACCACACAAAAGAATTTGTTTAATTCCAAAAACAGCATTCGACAGATAAAAAAGGTGGCATCATGTCGTATTAAGAGGTCAAAAGGTTAATACAAGAGAATTTCTTTACCCATAATATGACACGTCAAAATAATAACACAACTTATTATTACATTTAAGTTTATTTTTAAACAGTCTTAACATGTCTTTACTAAGCAAATAATAACATAAACCATCGAAACACACTACTTAATTTATATAATTCAACAAGCAAAGAAAGGACAGTAATCCTAAATGCCAAAACTAAAGCATATCCCGTTAAAATAATCTGGGATTTACATAAATTTATATCTGAAATATTACATCCATGCAATTCTAATTAGAATAAGACATTAGCATTTCGACAAATTTAAAAATCATATGTATTAATCAAATAATAAATATTTTAACAAAAACAGATAAAGCTAGACTTTTCAATTGTTGACCCTCCTCAATTAATAACCATAGAATAAACAATATACATTTCTAAGTACACTTTTAAGTGCCATAAACTTGCTTTGGAAAAAGTTTACTGCTGGGGTCCACTTATCTTTTTCCAAAACTCACCATCCTTCTGTATTTCTTGTGATGCACCTTCACCAATAACACATTTTCCTGCCCATATTTCAGGAGCTAAATATTTATGGCACGCTTCTATCAGATCTTCCTTTGTGACCGCCAGCACTCTCTCACGTTGTGTTTGCCAAATGTCAAACGATAATCCATAGAGAAACAGATCAATACCCTTCATGTATTCCGCTACAGGTTGATCCATCTGCTGCAATATTGAAAGTTTCGCTTCAAAAAGATTTTGATCATCCAAAAGATTACTGTTATTTTCCATCCATGTTGTGGTATTATCAAAAACATCCAATGTTTTACGTGAGTTCGGATCTCTGTATGAATAGAAGTTGAAAACACCATCCAAAGTTAATGCTGCTCCTCCTCCGTAAGCGCCATTTTGTTCCCTGACAATAGGATGAAGGTATTTAGATGTCAAAAACCTGGACAACACACGGAGTTTCGGATAATCTGGGTCGGTATATGGCACTGCTTGAACAACTTTGGCACAGTAATTGATTGGTATGTTCATCGAAACATGAATACCTCGGTTCTGTTTAGGCATTTGTTTTGAATCAACCCAGTTAATGCGGTTTATATCTTTGTTCTCCTCATTGTGGCTCAGACTCTTACAGAACTCATCGAGGCACTCTAATACATCAACATTAGTATTTGAGAAATGGAAAGCCCCTCTTAGATTGTATCCATTCAAAGTTTGTGTTGAAATAGAATCAACTATTGTTTGTATATCGCTGATTGTGTATTGTTTTTGTATACCCTGCATGTTTATCACATGTTGTATTCCTAACAAATTCTCTTTGCATTCATCAACAGATGATATTAGGGAGCGAGCTGATTGCATTGCGTATGTGTGACCATTGTCTATAATGCCACTGGTTAAAGATGAACAATAATTGTTTAAAAGCATTTTCATTCTCTCCTCATTCTCAAAATTTGGCTTACTGAAGATTTCAGACCAAATATTAAGCATTTTGGGTATATTATCTTCGAGACAGTGGCTCCCAATCAGCAAACCTTGTTCGTATTGTCCATGCTGATCTATATGTTCCGTCACATGAGTTAAGAAACTCAACCCAGATGTACTCATGCTAACATATTTGTCAAAGTCTCGAAAATTGTAAGATACTGTATCAAACTTGTCAATAACATAATTAAAGAATGGCAGCAACCGCTGTTGCTCTTCATTTAAACTTTCAGTTCCAAGAACTCCTTTAAAATATATTACTCCATTGGTATTGGCCTCACAGAGCTGTAGAGGAATTGAGCCAGATACTGTATGCTTCAGGGGAGGGGCAGTTTTATTAAGAGTTATCTCTTCTAGTTTTAAACAAGGCAACACATCCAGGTTTTGTTGCTTCTTTTGTGCTTTGGAAAGTTCCAATCCATCGTAATAAACTTGTTTTCTGTCTTCCTCACATAGTTCTTCCACTTTTTTCTGTAGTAATTCTTGTTCTGCTGTATTAAATACATCATCGAATTTGGGATCAGGTTGCATAGTCATTATTAATTTGTGTGTGTTACATATGAAGTATTTTTCAATCACAGCTTTCACGTAATGTTGATCTTTAAGATTCACTTTAAGTTTATCAAGCAATTTATTTATTTTTAATGCATTCAAAAGTGGTCCATTATGTATCCATAACGGCATTATATTGAAGAGTAAATTGAGACCAAATTTAGGTGATTGATGTTTTATAGCTAATTCAAATCCATGTAAAACACTTTCAATGTGATCCTGGTCGAAACCTTTTGTGAATATTCTGTGTATAGTTTCATATGCTATCTTTTCAATTGTTGCAAAGTTCTTTTCTTCAACATCTCTAAGTCCTACAGCAAACAGCGTATCTCTTATCTGATTGTCATAACCAGTTAAAGAATTATAGCCACCTGATATATTTTTCTCAATGAGACTCTTATAAAATGCTGAATTCGGACCAATTATCATGAGCTCGGAGAGTGCGGTCAGCATAAATGTCTCATAAATGTTGGTAATATCTGACATAACATAACCAATAGCTATCTGATTTTGTTTCTCTACAGGTCCACCATATTGATCCACTCTACAAGAAATTGACACCCTCTTTTCTTCTTTCCACCTTTCTTGTGGTGTCACAACAGTATTTTTAGGATCTAAGTATTCATAATGACTTAAATATGAATCATTTACAAATTTAAGGTTAGCTTCTAATGGGAAGTTGCCATAAGAATAAATTCTTGCATTACTAGGGTGGTAATGAGTAGCATGGAATCTTTTTAAATGACTGTGAGTTAACTCTGGAATACATAAGGGGTCACCTCCAGACACATAACCGTAAGTGCCCTGTGGTAATATTTGGTTAATAAATTTCTGACCAAATAAAGAGCTTGTTTCCGAGAAAGCACCCTTCATTTCATTGTAAACTACACCCTTGAATACTAAATTGGATGTTTTGTTTTGTAAATCTGAGTGTTCTAATCTCCAGCCTTCTTGTAAAAAGTCAAGTCTAGCTAAATTAGGCTTGAAAACTGCATCAAGATATACTTTTTGGAGATTCCTGTAATCAATTTCATTTTGAGAGGAATATGGATAGAAAGTGTAATCGGGGCCAGTCAGGGCGTTCATAAATGTCGCTAGAGACCTGTTAAGCATTTTAAAAAAGGGATCTCTTACTGGATATTTTTCTGAACCACAAAGAACAGTGTGCTCTAGTATGTGTGGGGTGCCCATGGAGTCAAGTGGAGTGGTACGGAAGCCTACAGAGAATACATTGTTAGAATCATCTCTTTCCAAATGTAGGTATTCAGTTTTAGTTTTTTCATGTGTAAGGAAGTATGCTGTCATGTTGTATTCCTTGATATGTTCAACTTCAGAGCAAATGAAGCCATGACTAACTTTTCCAGGCTGCAAAGCCAGTGATTCTTTTTTCTTTAAGATACTGCCACTGTACTTTCTATTGGCTAGCAGTAACCGATTCTGCACAATTCCAAATTGGTTGAGTCTCGAATACATATTGCTTGATATATTTTTCCTGCAATGTAACACAGCACTCACTGTATAAGTAAATAACAGTATTTATGAGTTAAGCAGGATTAATCACTTGGCATGTAAATAAGTTATGGCAAGACACTGGTTTTTTATCTTTTTTTTTATCAGTCGTACTTTCAGACACTCTCATAAATTAACGTTTTACACTTGTTTGTTCTAAAGTTTATAGTAACGAAGGTTAATCGATTTGTCAACGAAATTTTAACGTAATTAACCTCTTTACAATGCGATAAATCAAGAGAGTAAAATTTAGAATGCCGGAATAATTTGCAATGTCTGTATTTTTGGAATTTAATAAAGCCGGACAAGAAAAACAAAAGCGTAATGATGCAATATAACTACTTACAGAAGTCAAGTTATATCCGGTTAGAACAGGTGAATGTATTAATAATTCACTTTAAATAGTGCATAATGCAGATAATTCTTAATCTCAGTGAAATAAACTCTTCTGCGACCAAGTGAATTATATTACGAAAATGAAATAAGATTTGGGAAATGATATTTGACAATTAATGACATGTACAGCGTGCAGCAGAATTACTAATTTTCAAAGAGTAAATAAGACCAATTGTTAAAAATTAAAGAATTTCTAAACAAAAATTTTATCCTTCTCGATAATTTATTAAGATTATAGTTACTGATAACAGTTAGAAATTAATCAATCAATCAACAAGCTCGTAATTTGCTTTTAACTTTTTTGGTGTTTTCATAACAAGAATTATTTGTTTTATTGCTCTTTGATTTCGTTTGTTTTGACATTGACGTTAATCTTACGTCCTTTTTAATTTGCAGATCTGCACGTGTTTACGTGTGGACTCTGCAAGTCTTTATTTTAAACAAAAGTAGGATTAAAATAGATCAAAATGAGTTTATACAACTTCAAGAAGATTGCTGTAGTTCCTACAGCTAAGGTAAGTGCAATAAAATGATGTAGTAAAAAACTGTAAACTTTTGGATGATAACCTTAAATATTTATTAATTTTATTTTCAGGACTTTATTGATATAATATTATCAAAAACACAACGTAAAACGCCAACAGTTGTGCATAAACATTATAAAATAACACGCATACGTGCATTTTATATAAGGAAAGTAAAATTCACACAACAAAACTTTCATGATCGTCTGTCGAGGATTATTCAGGTAAGTTTATTTTTGTTAAAGCAATTAAATAATTACAACTGCAATTGATTTCAATATTCTCAATAATTTATCCAAATAGTGTCATCGAAATAACTTTTGACCAAAACAAACAAACAATCCCTTTTGAGATTCATGTTATATATACATTTCATTATCAGGCAAAAGTCTCCAATCTTTCAGACGTAATGTTTAAGGAAATTTTATTTTGGTAATTTAAACATATAAAAAATATTTTGGAAATTCGTATTCATACATATTATTATTTAAAATTATTGCACAATCAAATGACATAGATCTTCTATATATTGAAATCCAAAAGTTGCGATAATGAACAGCATTTTTGTATGCATTTCAGGAATTTCCAAAACTCGATGATGTTCACCCTTTTTATGCTGATCTAATGAATGTTCTCTATGACAAAGACCACTACAAACTTGGCTTAGGCCAGCTAAACACTGCAAGACATCTAATTGACAAGTAAGAATATTTTTATTGATATACTAGCTTTCCCTATGACTCTGTCCATCTATACTAATATTATAAAGAGGAAAACTTTTATTGTAATGAATAGGCTCAAAAACCACTGGACCAGTTTCAAAAATTCTTACACCATTAAAAAGATACATTATCAGTGTACTCACTGTTACTACATATTTATTATTTTTTAATATTACAAAAACAAGGTTGGGGGCAAAAGTTAGTGTGGTATAAAATAAAACAAAAGATAGTAGCATTGTCTTCCAGACTATGCCTCATTGAGATCTGTTCAGCCATTTAGGCTATGAACTCAAAACTATCCATCTATCTAAACTTTCACATTTATAATTTTGATAAAACAAAAACACCATAAGTAATCCTCCCAGAAAAATTTAAATATGCCTTAAAACAAAAAGGTTTGTTATATGAACAGTTCATTATTCGACTAATTGATTTATTTACAGTGTTGCAAAAGATTATGTAAGGCTGCTCAAATATGGAGACTCCCTATACCGTTGCAAACAACTGAAAAGAGCTGCCTTAGGTCGGATGGCCACTATTATGAAGAGGCAAGGTGCTAATCTTACATACTTGGAACAGGTACAGATTTTATGATTTTTTTAATAAAGTGAGTTATTAAAAAAAACAATGGGCCTATTGTTTTGGAAAAAATATATTTTTTTTTACTTTAAACACTGTTAAATGATTGTTTTCTCTCCTATAATTTACTCCAAAGCAATTGTATTCTAATTCATTTGTATGTTTAAATTCATTTTTATTATATAAAGTGAATTATGAGTGTATAAAATGTATTTTTGTGTAGGTGCGGCAACACTTGGCGAGGTTACCCTCTATAGATCCATACACACGGACAATCATCATTTGTGGCTTCCCTAATGTTGGCAAATCCAGTTTTATCAACAAGGTATAATTTTTATCTAATCACATTATAAACTGTCAAATTTCCTTTTGTCTAAATGTTACTCAAATGGTTATTCTTTGCATTATATGTTATGGTTTCTTGTTTGAAAGCTTGTTGAAAAAAATCACTTTTCACCCTTTTCTTATAAGGAAATGATAATAAGTGGGTTTGAGGATGGGAAACATCACCTGTCTCTGTGATCCTCTATCAATTAAAAGTAGACAATGCATCTTTGCATGATATGTGCAACAATCATTTGACTATTTTAGTAAAGCAAGGCGTGTCTACCACCTTAACTATAAAAATATTTGAATAATATGTTTGTGTTTTCAGATCACAAGAGCAGATGTCGAAGTGCAACCATATGCATTTACCACAAAGAGCTTGTATGTAGGACACACTGACTACAAGTATCTAAGGTGGCAGGTATGTTATACTTCATACTAATAAAAACGTGAAATGTATAGATGTAAGGATGTTACTATATATTTTTACAATAGTTTAATGCATTTTGATCACTGATATAGGAAAGTCTGGAACACCTAGACTTCCTAAGTTTTGTTTTTAATTCAATGCAGATGTGGTCTTATCGGAGACATTTTAAACGCCACGATATTCTGACCCTAGAAAGTAGATAGAAAATAGAGGCTACCTTCTAACTTACACTGTAAAACAGCACAACAAATCTGCTTACAGTTTGTCCCAAATTGATTGTACATCTAACCAAAAAATAAATCTATATGGATTAAGTCAAATATATTTTTAATCATGAGTCAAACTTCTAATGCTGTCTGGTTCCTATTTTTATCTAGTTTTGTTAATAACTAAACAAAAACATAGAGCGTCAGGTGCTTAAGGTTTAAGCATTTGACTTGTAATCAACAGCTCCTAGCTTCAAATCCCATTATCTACTAAATTAATTTTTGAATTTCATATGTACCTTTATCCGATACATTGACAGAATCTTAATGTGTGTATTAACTTCAAAGATATAAGTAAAGTCAACCAGTGAGCGTCCATTAACTTGGTGTTCCGAGCTCATTGGGGTCTGAGCTGATGTGAGGATGTGTCGCAGGTAATAGACACGCCCGGTATCCTGGACCACCCGCTGGAGGAGCGCAACGTGATAGAGATGCAGGCGGTGACCGCGCTGGCGCACTTGCGCGCAGCCGTGCTCTACTTCCTGGACCCCTCCGAGCAGTGCGGACACACCATTGAGGAACAGGTATACAATACATACTATTTATATATATACTATTATAATGAAATGTGCACACATCTTTGTTATGTCTCTTTAATTGTTATTTTAGTCCCTACCCAACCATTTCTTATAAGAAAGGAAGGGAAATTGGATTTAATGGCGGAGGAGACACAAATGTATGGACAGTAGTGTCTCCGTCTTTTGAATTAAGTTGGCTTGCTCGTTTGCCATTTTATAATAATAAAATAAGAAGAATGTAAAAAAATCCAATCCCAAATTTTCGAATTATTCTCTTAAGCTATACATTTTCCAGATATTATTAGATAGATAGATAGATAGTTTTCATAATTTCATGTGGATGAAGCCGCACAGGAACACTTAGTTACTAAAGTACTGTATTCCAGATATCACTGTTCGAGAGCATAAAGCCGTTGTTCAGCAACAAGCCGCTGATAGTGGTGCTCAACAAGATGGATGTGGTGAAGCCTGAGGAGCTGGCGGAGGGGAAGAGGCAGCTCATACAGCAGCTGGAGGAGGTCTGCGCTAAGGGAAACCTCGTCAAGTGAGTATTACACTTTGACATACAGCTAATATCTTTTTTTATTACGTTATTCTTGTTACACATAACATATTATCATACTAAATATAAAAGTTTAGATGGATGGATGTTCGTTAGAGCTTGTAGCCTAATTGGCTGAACTGATTTCGATTAAATTTGGTAAAGATGTAGAGGATACTCTGAAAGAACACGTAGGCTACTTACTTTTTTTTTGTTTTTTTTAATTCCACGCGGACGGAGTCGTGGGCGAAAGCTAGTATTGATATAAATCGATTTAATAGATATACAGTCGAATACTAAAACAAAATTTAAACTTTCCACTTCATAAGTGCTGTTTACAATCTGACGGACGTCAAAATGTTATTGTAGTTCAGAGTAATCTTATACTTGTTTCGATAGGAAAGATTTGTATTTATGTATGCATTGAAAAAATTCAAAATCTACTGAGCCGATTTAAAAAAAATCTTTCACCATTTAATTTCACGGGGATGAAGTCGCGAACAGTAATTTGAGAGTATTGTATAATATAATATTGTCGTCTTCGTCTAAAATAAAATAAAAGCCTAGTATATGTTCTTCCAAACTATGTTTTATTGCAAATTCGAGTTTTAGACTGACGCAGTAATAAACATCCATCCAAAAATGATTAATATTAGTATGATTGTTGAAATTGCAGCGTGGATTCCACTTCCGAGCTGCGCACGGTGCCTGTGATGCGCATGTCGACGCTGACGGAGGAGGGTGTGCAGGAAGTGAAGCTGGAGGCCTGCGAGCGGCTGCTCTCACACCGCGTCACCGAGAAGATGAGGACTAAGAAGGTCAGGGAAACTTGGAAATATACCAATTACAGTTTTATTGGCATGGATTACTTAGACTAGTAAAATCATTAATTGTATGGATTTACTAGTGCAAGTTAGTCTCCATATGTCATTTTAATGCCATTCCAGTTAGTACTACCGTCTAACTGTACTAGCTAAATGTGGACCAGGAACCATTCTATTTGTTGTTTCTTTATGTGATAATTAGCTTTCGCCTGCGGCTCCGTCCGCCTGAAATTAAAAAAGTAGCCTATGTTATTCCAGACCATACTTTACATTTGAGCCAATTTTCATTGAGATCCATCCAGCCGTTTAGGCTACAAACTCTAACATCCATCCATCTAAACTTTCGCTTTTATAATATTACTAAGATGTAAACAGTGGTCATTTGAATTCGCGGGAAAACGACAGCAAATTTAAGATGCGTTTGAGACACATAAAGAGAATATTTACCTTTTATCATCAAATCTATCAATCCCCCTTCCAATCCTAATAAGAAAAAAGTGGGAAGAAAAAGGGACTAAAATAATATAAACGTGGTCTAGTCTGAAGATATTAAAGCATGCTTTACCACTGTTAAAATGTATTTATAGGTGGATGGTATTCTAAACCGGCTTCACGTGGCGGTGCCGACAGCCCGCGACGGCAAGGCGCGGCCCCCGGTCATACCGCCCGCGGTCGCTGAACGTCTGCAGCAGCGCGCCGCCAGGGAGACAAGGAAACGGAAACTGGAGAGAGACATCGAATTAGAACAGGGAGATGACTATGTACTCGGTATGTACCCACACTATTGTTACAAATAATGCATCCGCGTGGCAAATTCTTAATTCTAAATGTCAAAATTACCGTTATCATAATATTCTTGCTTTTTTAATGTTAGCAACTTGTAGTTTATGATCCCTTTCCCCCATGGTTTTTTTTTTCAATTCATTTACCCCCTAAGTTAAATAGCATGAACATATATAGCCTAAAGAGTGTCATAAGTTTAAGGGCTTTTTATTGAAGAAATAATTATTCAAAACATATGAATGCTCTATTTCTGTCTTATTTTCTATCCATCTTTTTCTTTATTAAAAGGTTAAAATTCTTACTGGCCAGTATGTCACCTCTTTAGCAGAATATTTAATCTTTGTCTACCAAAGAGTATGGATATGTCATTTTTTACTCAATGCGTTCCCATTTAATGAGCCATTATAATAAATATTTACCCCTGAAAGTTTAAAAAAACCTCGTATTTTGAGTATGTGATATTGACGTTATTGTTCACGTTTCAGATCTACAGAAGAACTACTCCGAGATCCCGGAGGAGGAGCGACACGACGCCATACCAGAGTTCTGGGAGGGACACAACATCGCTGATTACATCGACCCTGAAATATTCGAAGTTAGTAACTATATACTATTCTATATACTTCTGTATTAATATTTATTATGTCCCACATTTATGATTCTTCACACTTGTTAATTTATATTAATCAAATAACATTAGTTAAGCAAAATACCATAAATATATATTTTTCAACTCTAGTAACTTTGTAAAACTTTCTTATTGTTTTATTTATTTTTGCTGAGAATATTGTCTATATCTTGATCTTCTGTTTCCAAAGCATTTTTTTTTGTGAGGAATCAATGTCTACATAAATTCAAGGATTAAAATCGATACTAACCTCATGTGTGTTACAGAAACTGTCCGAGCTGGAGAAGGAGGAGGAGGTGCGCGAGGCGGGCGGCCTGTACGCGGTGCCGAAGATAGAGCTGGACGAGACCATGCGCGAGATACGACAACTGGCTGTACAAATACGGTATTTATCTTATTTGCTAAGGTTTTTGATGTTTTCAACTACGTTTAATCAAAGCTTTGGTTATGCGAAATTTTAGGTTATGTTTTAATTGAAAAGAAAGGCTTTTGGATATTATTAATTTGTAGCTAGGATACAATTTCATCAACTTGTGAGTAGTAATTTTTTTACATGAGATGGCGTGTTTTTAACATGTATGTCTATTTATACTAATGTTATAAAGAGGAAAAATTTGTAATTTTGATTTTTGTGGATCTAAAGATTGTATTTGTATTTCAAAGTAGTTTTACATTTTTTTTTTTTCGATATTCTAAGAGGAAGCTATCATATTAAATTTGTTATATTCCAGCAACAAGAAGGCGATCCTGAAGGACGAGTCTCGTCTGACGAAGCAGTCGACGAAGCCGGTGATGCCGCGCACCAGCCGCGCGCGCGCCCGCGACCGCAGCACCACCAGGCTCAGGGATGAGATGGAGAAACTCGGTCAGTACACAACACAGCCGTCAACCGGGAGAAATTCCACGTACACTTTGATGAATATGAGGCCAGAGACCTAATTTTAGTCCCTTTCCATTCCCACCATATCTACATGTATACACGACAGTTAATGGACTATTGATTGACTGTTATTGACCGTTACTGGCCAACTGTCCTGGCCAAGTGGCCGCGCATAAATTCAAAAATTCAATAGGAAAACAATGTGTGGTGTGTCAAGAATGGATAAAGTTAAGAATGTGTATATTAGAGGAAGTTTAGGTGAAGGTTAGCGTGGTAAGGACATGTTATGCGTGACGATGGAGACATAAACCTGAAAGTGGATTGGATGGATTGAATGTGGATGGCTACAGAGGTAGAGGAAGACCGAAGAAAGTATGGATGGATTGTGTGAAAGATATGCTTAAGAAAGTAGTGGATTCAGATATGATAGCTAATAGAGATGTGTGGAGCAGCACATACTGTGCCGACCCTCCGTAAGGGATAAGGGCAAGTTGATGATGAATAGGAAAACAATGTGTTTTAAATTCAGTTGTTTATAATGAATGTTTACAGGTGTGGACATGTCGGAGACGCAAGAGGCGCACTTCACGCGCACGCAGTCGCGGTCGCGTTCCCGCTCGCTGTCGGCGCCGGCCGCCAAGCGCGCCCGCACAGACCGCACCGTGTCCCGCCCGCCCCGGGACACGCAGGGCGTCAAGGATGTCGCTGTATGTATTTACTAACACTACACCAAACAAGTTCAAAAACATACACCAATGTTTCACACTTCACTACCGCGCTACCTGGTGTCCCATAGTCACAGTCACAATTCAAACTGAGATACGTTTTGGCGGCAAAATTGAGATGTCATCGTATATAGTATCGGTGGAAAAATGTTGTTCCCTATATATTTCATGCTGCAGGCACAGGCTACATACACTAATACCACACTTTCTTAAATAACTAAGAAACACTTTCTACGTATTTTGGGTTTAAATCAATATTAAAAACTACGAAAAATTGTACATAACTGTATGACGATTGTTCAGTGGCTCAGAAGTATAGGACTTATTACCGGATCCTCGATTCGAATCCCGCCATGTACCAATTTGATTGATTTATCGAACTTTCTTATAGTCGAAGAAAACATCGTGATGTCTACACATATTTGAAAAAGTGTGAAATCAACCCACAGTTGTTAAAAAAAACTTAAAGGAAACTCAGTAGGAGCATTTGAATTAATAATTATAATGATTGAATTAACTTTTTACACTTTACATCATTCGGAATTACAACATAATTAGGTAATTCATTTATAACAAGATACAACTAATTTTCAAAACAAAGACGACATTTCATAACATGATAATTTAAAACATGCATTTATTTTTAAATATTCATTGTTTAGATGCAAAAGAGGGCAAAGAAGATGGCGCACGTCGCGATTGCGAAGAAAACGAAGCGAATGGGGCTGAAGGGAGAAGCGGATCGCTTCATCGGCACCAAGATGCCAAAACATCTGTTCGCGGGAAAACGCGGCGTCGGAAAAACGGACAGGCGGTAACATGCCTCGCTGCTGCCATATTACTGTTGTATCGCATTTTATATATCAATAAAGTTAACACAAAAAGAATATCTGTTTCTTTTTATAATAAAGTATTTCAACGATCGTACAAACAGAATGTGTAAAAACTACTTTGCAAGGACTACAGTGTGTTATTATTGAAATAAAGTTGAACAAAACATTTTGTTTTCTTTACTTACCATACTTTTTTTGGACTTGAATTACTTAAAAACTTGTCTGGGAAAGACGATTTCTAGGTCCCAATAATGACTAGTTGACCCAACTTACCTCTGTCCAAAGTTGCATCGTTTGGGCGCTAGAGGGCTTTAAAGTTTGCTAATCCTTTTTTCATTTTAAAGTTTTTACTTTTATTCAAATATCTCGTAAAGGCTACAAATTTTATTGGTATTTAAACCATAGCTATCATTTGTTAAATTTCATCTTTTTGTGACACATTCCTCTGTCAACTAATCATTAGGTGGCAAGAAAACTCGAACATCAAAACATATTAAATTTTTGCAACCGCCTATATTGTTTTTTTCTTAGATAGATGTTAATTTAAAAGATTTTTGGTGTCTACTTAATTTTAATTTGACTAACGTTCTTGGCACAAAACAGCATTTTCTTAGTATGTTCACTACAGGACGAATAACGTTTTTTGCTTTGCAATATTTTGTTGCGTTTAAGGTACCTAAGCATAAGATAAGGTTATGTAATGCACGATTATTTTAATTGCATTTAAACCCGGAGTACGGTGAAAATGGCATTTGCACCACGTTTCATAGGACATAACCAAATTTTGAAAAAAAAAATATGATTGTATTGTAATACCTCAAAACTTCTAGGCGGATTTGAAAATTTCTTTTCTATTATAAAGCTACGTCATCAGTGAGAAACGTAGGTTATATTTATTACTATTTTTTTTAGTTCTGCGTGAATGAAGTCTTAAGAAGCAGCTAGTAATGATTATAGTTGGGCATTTTTGAATCTTTTTGTAATTACAGTACGGCCTATGGCGCTACTAGTAACAATTTTTAAAATAGTTATAAACAGGATACTGTGAGTTATTCGTAGAATGTGACGGCCCTTGTTAGTGCCCTGGGAGTCGTCCAACCCCGCCCTACCGTGATCCCTTCCCTGGTGATTTATGAGGTCGAAATAAAACACATAAGTAGCAAAATGAATGGCACATTTATATTTAATTAATATTATTCATTTTTATAATTAGAGCTTTCTTGTTTAATTACATCATTTTAAACTATGCATTTGAACAGAGGGGGCGCCGGTGGCAGCGGACAAACAGAGAAGAATAAACAAAAATTAACAAATAAGCCTCGTTTTGTACACAATCTCCAGGATCAATGCAACAGAACAGAAAAAAATACCTTCGGTTTCTTAAAAATCTGAGCTTCAATATTGCGAATAAATTACACGTTCACATGTACCGATTAATTGTCGCATCGTGCGTTCAAACAAATCATTATAATTATATAAAAAAAAAACTTAAATTAAAATCTAGATGGAAGAGAAAGTCAACTAAGCTAAACTAAAGAGTCGCAAGTAATTAAGTGGCTTACAAACTACAATACGAAATACTAAAAAAATATTTTGAACTTTCAATAAGAATTTTTTTTAAAATTTATAACGAAAAGTACAAAAGGGGGAGTTCACCCCCGCTCCGGGGGTTGTTGGCCGGAGCACGTCGCAGTCAACTTACGCTATATAATACAGTTCTCCAACACGAAACAACTAGCAATATTGTACTTTCCTCATAATCTTAGCGATTACTTATCTAGTACATATTGTAATTGTTTCTATATACTTTGAAACAAATTTCGCGCCACAACAGTACTGTAAACACAAATTAAATACCTACGAAAATATGTGCATTCCAACATTGAGCTTCAGAGAAATTAATAACCTTGAGTGCGCTTCGTTCGTAATATAATCAAATTTAATAGCAATAAGAAAGCGCACATTTTGAAATCGAAAATAATCAAAACTGTCTTTTTGATTTTTAACATATGAAAAAAATTAAATAACCACATGCGTCATAAACTGTGAGATTAGGCCAAAAAGCACCCGATTATTTTTATAAACTCACATTTCATAAAAGACATGAGGAAAAATAATTTCTTTCAAATCAGCATATATATAAATATATGTAAATAAGTAAATATTCAATTAGGCGATTGTCATGGAAATACAGTAATAAATATAAATTCATGATCGAATTATGAACATGAAAATTATTTTGTCGAAATAACTTCATTGCGACAACATTTACTACACAAAAAACAATACATTCAAAATCAAAAATCTAACGTATATAAAATTTAATTTCCGTGTAGTAAATATTGTGGGCGTCGATCACAGTTACATAAGTACTTGATAAAACAAATAGCTACCGAATTAAAAATAAAAGTATATAAAAATAAAAAATAAAACTACGTCCGAGCGTAGAAACTAAGTCAAACCAATAAAGTTTCACTGGAGTTTCGGTACAAAGAGAACAATCTCTTAAGTACATTCTTAAGTTAGCAGCCGTTGTTTGGTCGTTCTTTATAAATGCATGTAATAAATAATATGGCCGCTCGCGAACACGCATTTATATAACGACCGGACGCAAATTACCACACGATTCACTTCAATAAACTCAGTTTTATGACGTCATTTGTCAAGTTGTTTTCTTCGCTAGTCGAATATTTTAAAATCGCAAATCGTGTGGAATTTCGCCGAGATAAACGCGTCCATAATTTAAAAACTCGTATAATAATTGAATAAAATGAAACTCCCGCAATATTGTCGAGGAACAGTACAGATGTCGGCGTCACCAATAAAACCCACTAACAGACTCACCTATGCATATGGCAGCGAAACGAAACATTTTTAAATCGTAATTAAAAATATCTTTTTTTCTTATATATTTATCAATTACACTATAATACCTATACATACGTCCTAGGCTAGTAATTTACAATTCCGTTTCGATTCTCTCTTATCCCGGGCCGGGGCATACAAAACTATCTCTACCTCTAATAATATACACACTTATAGCTACAGAGTCCGACACTGCTTAGCTGCGCACTGCTTAACTGCGCACTTCTTAGCTGCGCACTGCTTCACCACACTCTTTGGGAGGATCGCCTCGCCGAGGCGTGGTCGGGGGCGTGGCCGAGGCGGCAGGGGGCGGGGCATCTTGCAGACGCCGCCCCTTAATTTTAACCACAGCACATTTCGCACTTATCTACCTCACACAATCACTGGGGTGTCAGTCAAGTCGAGGTAAATTTCACACAAACGATTAGGTAGCTAACAAAGATAGTACGATATAAAAGATTTCGAATAGAAACGAAGTTTTGATAAATATTTACATCAAAGAACCGAAAAATTTGGAAACAAATCGTTCGTGAAAAATTTACCTCGAGATAAAGGATTTTAATTTTACATACTCCAAACATACATGAGTACAATTTAGATCGTTTTAGACAGATAAATAGGAAATTTTGATGACTGTAGCATTTTTCGTGAGGTAGCCAGTGTGGGCGCGGTGTGGGCGTGTGTGGGCGGTCCCGAGGGCGCGGTGGGCGATCACTTGTGTCAGTGCGGGGCGCAGGGGCGGGCGCAGGGGCGGGCGACGCGTCGCTATTGCGGGGGCGCGCCGCTGGGGGGCTGCCCGCCGAGTGGACCCATGCCCTGGTGACAACATTACATAATCATTTCCTGTTCACATGTAGCAAGTATCAAAGTGTTTGTGGGTGTGTGTGTACCGGCATGGGCTGGTAGTGGTGCAGGGGGGCGGGCAGCAGCTTGGGCGCCTCCTCCGCCTTCTCCTCCTCGCGCCGCTTCAGACACGCCGCCTTCGGGTTCAGGTTGCGTTCTGCAATACAACACAAACATCTCACATGTCATTTTTTAATGAACTAACTTGAAAAAATTTGAAGTGAATAAATTTTAAACTCTATTACAAAGTTCAAAAGGTTCCGTGTTCCTTGTGACTCACCTCTGACTTGCTGCTCGAGTGTCATGATGACCTCAACAGCCATATTGAGTATGCCCAGCTTGGTCTGCGGCTTGTCACTCTTCAGGTGTGTCATGCACATGCGGCCCAGCTCCTTCAGCGCCTCGTTTATATCACGTATCCTTATCCTATGCATTTACACATATAATCACATTATAAAATTACAAAATGCACAGCTCCTGAAAATATTGTAATTTTGCAGTTTCAAAAGAGTAAATTCTATATTACTCAACAAATTGAATCTCTAAAAATGAACAACAGTGTTTCTTGTCGGACGCACCATGCTGTATTAAAAAAGTAAAACATACAATATTTTAAACAGTTTGGGCCAATCACCGCTTTTCAAACAATTTGAGTCATAGTATGTAGCTGTACATGTGGGAGCGGTACCGCGTGAGAACGGGGCGTGGTCTCGTAATAAAAGTGGAAGGTCCACGTACTAAAAGGGGCAGGTCCACGTACTAAAAGGGGCAGGTCCCCGTAATGAAAAGCACGGGGCCGCTTTTCATAACGTATGAAAGGGGTGGGGGCGTGTACGGGGCGGGGCTCACCTCTCCCGCGCGTTGTTGGCCTGCCGACGCTCCTTCTCGCGCAGTGCCTTGGCGTGCGGGTCCGCGTCCTCCTCGCCTTCGTCCGCTGACGAGCAGCTATTGCATAATGCAATCGTTACAACTATTTTTAGTTTTTAGTATGTTTATTTGATTATTTTTATTGTTACATTGATATTTGAAATTGGTATTGTGGCTACGCAGTGCTCTAGCTTTTTAGATAACGCCATTTTTCTATCGAAAAATACATACGAGTTGAGAACGTTTCTTTTCGCAAAAATACATTCGAGTTGAGAACGTTTCTTTTCGCAAAAATACATTCGAGTTGAGAACGCTTATATGGAATAATCAATTTGCATACGTTAATTTGGTTACTATATTTTGATAATGGCGTATTCAGTAACGTATTGTTACGTCATCAATGTGACGTTATAGGAGGCTTACCTGTAAGGCGGTGCGCGAGAGAGAGACAGCCTACTTTCTGTTTCCCCGAAACTAAACCCGATACCTTCAGTTAGTAAAAAGCGTATGACCGTTAATGCGAACGAATGAATATCTACAAACGCGACCGAAATGAATGATACCGAACGAATGAATTTAAAAAAGAAATTTCTTCGCGATATGTATTTCTTTTTCATAACTTGAGTACTTACCTTGTACCTATAATACATAACATAATGAAGACATACAGTACAGTACATACTATGACCCTGTTAGCGGTTTAGCGGTGAGGAGGCAAGGCTGAAACTTTTCAATACACATGGTGGTTAGTGCGACAAGTTATGTAACATTATTGAAGTAAAAATGAAGTGTAAAAAACATTTGTAACATAGTTTGTCTTTTAATTTCATAGATTATTTACCAACAAGATCATTTCACACCCACGATACTATCATGGGCAGGAATCAAAAATGCTTTATAAATTAAAATACTGCAGTTCTAAATATGTAGATATAATGAAAAAATAAACGGATTTTTGGATCACCTTATAGAAAGATATGACTCTATCTGGCGAATGTGTGAATTTCAGGTTATGTGACATTTAAATTTAGTTAACGTTTCAATACATTCAATTGTTAGAAACATCAGTATTATAATATTGAAATCTCGGAATCATAACAAACATATCGAAATATGGAGAAGTCACTAAACAACAATTTTTTGACCTTTAGTAATCACCTATGTTGCAGTTCATATTGTTGTGAAAAGTGTTTGAATAATTTTAAAAATGATATTATGATCGGATGATTATATGTTGAACGTTTTGTCGTTAATATGTATGTTGTGTATGGTGTATGTTGTGTATGGTGTATGTTGTGTATGGTGTATGTTGTGTGTATGTTGTGTGTATGTTGTGTGCATGTTGTATGTCGCACCTCTCGCGCACGTTGTTGGCCTGCCTGCGCTCTCTCTCGCGCGCCGCCTTCGTGTCGGGGTCCACGTCCTCCTCGTCCGCGGAGGAGCAGCTGCGCGCCACAACACCGCTAGCAACACTACACACGTCTTACACCACACCACAACAACAACAACAAACACACCACAACTGATACAGTCAGACTCGCTAAGGACACAAACTTTGAATGATAAAATTATGATAATATTTCAACTCAATAAATTTTTTTTTGGTTGTTATCTTTCATGTGGTTCAAGGTAGGTTGAAGTTTGTAACATCACGATAATTTTACTACTTTCTAAGTTGTAAATTATTATTTTATTTATAGAAATGTAAATAATTCAATTTACTAAAGTAAACAGCTTAGATAACATCGTAATTAAAATGTTAATTATGTAAGAAAAAAATTAATTTTTTTATAGTTAATTGAATTTATAATTAAAGGAATCGTGATGTTAAAATAGAACGAATTCAGTTTTCACAAGAGATACTATGATATTTTCTCATATAAATGTATATATGGGTGTGTATGAGAGGTTAGGTACTCACTATCTGCGGGAGCGCTTGTTGGGTGGCTTGGCGAGGTCTGCCGCTGCTGCTGAAGAGGAAGAGGGTTTGGCCTCCAGCACCGCGTCCGGCGGCTCCTTGCGCTTCTCTGGAATATCACATCACCTTTCTTATTACATTTATACAGATGCTTGTGGAAATAAGTTTTAGTGGACAGAAAAATGTGTATTTCAGTGCTGATTGAAAAATATAGGAAACAAATGAGGCTTGCAATCAGACAGATAACCATTTTAATATCTGTATTGTTATTGTAGGACGTACTTGTGTTGGGCAGCAGATGTCGCTCCAGCTTGACGGGGGGCTCCGCCGCGTGCCCCACGCCCACGCCCCCCACTCTACTCGCTGCAACACATATTGCAACATTTTACCTACTTTATCTTACACTTGCTGTTTCCTTACAATTTCATCCGCATGAAATTATAAAAATTTTATTGTTTACATTTGTCAAATTCTTAATAGCAAATGTCAAAATTACCGTTACCATAATAACCTTGCTTCCTTAATGTTAGCAGCTTGTAGTTTGTGGTCCCTTTCCCACGTGAAGGTTTTTTTTTTCAATTTACTTAAGCCTCTAGGTTTAGTAGCTTGAACATATATACCGTAAAGCGGGTTGTGCTTTTTTTAAAGAAAGGATTATTTCAAAAATTGCTGTGATTGCTGACATCCTACGCCACGAAGTAATGTGTTTACGCTTTATTATATAAGTATAGATTATGTTAAAGGAATTTGCAACAATATCGTGTAATGAGTGGTATATGGTGAGTGGTGATGGTGGTAATGAGTTTGTGGTCAATTGGTTGTTACCTGTCGTTGTCTGGTGGTGTACATCGTGCGGGTACATGTCCGGTGCCTCCGCGTGGTTGCGCAGCACATTAATAGCATCATCTAGCCTCTCCTCCATCCTCGCACCCTGTCACAACATGTAACTCTTAGATAGATACCAAAGCTTCCTGTTTTGAAATTTAAAATCATACTCAGTCAGGAATCGAACCCATGAGTCTTTAAACTATAGCAAATACAACACAGAATAACAAGCTCCATGCCACAACAACTACGAGCGACAGGTCCAAAAACACATGCATTCATAATGTATTTACACTAATATTCAGTAATAATTCCAATTGAAAGACAAAACTAAAAAGGAAAGGGACATCAGAGTTATTTAAGAATCGATAAATTAAATGTATTCTTGTTGGTTGTGGTAAGAAAGTGTTATGTATAGTGCGGGTGCTGTACTCACTACGATGTCGGAGTGGTCGCGGAGGAACACCATCGCCTCGTCGAGCTGCCGCTGCTCCGCCGGCGCGGACACGCCCTACCGCACGCACGCACGCTCAGCGACACGCGCACTACCCCACACCCCGCACCCCCACACATCCCCCACACTCCCTCCCACTCCCACACTCCCTTCCACTCACTCTCACTTCCACTTCACTCAACTACAACATTACTCAACTGTTATGTTTGATCAAAAGATTTTTTTCTAGAAAATCCCATAGGATTCTTATATACTAGCTGATGCTTGTGACTTTGTCCGCATAAATTAAGAAAATAATAAAAAATCCCATAGCCTATGTTACTCAATAACGCAGTTTTTTAATAGTGAAAGCATTTTTGAAATCGGCCTTATAGTTTTTGAGTTATTTCATTACAAACAAAAATACAAATATTTCTTTTTTACAATATTAGTATAGATTTATTGAAATTTATTTACAAACACACTAACTATATACGGAATACTTCTATAGCACAGTACAAAATCTATATTTCTATCTACAAACCAAACTATGAAAAAAATCACTAACATTTTAAAAACAAAATTTGTAAAATATGTCGAGCGTTAGGATGGGGGTTCTACGCAAGTCGCTGATATTAAAACAAAAACACAACAAACATAAAAAACAACAGCAAAACACAAATAATATTAAAACACTAGCAAAATATGGTTTGATATTCCAAAGACAATAACTGTGTTTAGAATTATAATTTACATAAAAAGTTATCAGACATATTCATACCATATTTTTCATAGTTAATTAAAAAAAAAATATTTAAAGCTGTAAGAAACTATACAGATACGACTTGTGTGTAAAAATATACAGGTAAAGTACATTTATGAATAAATTTATCGTATCTACAAAGTACACAAGTCGTATATTCCAAGATATTACATAAAACGTAAATATTTACAATGTAGTTGATCCACATTTTACTTTTTTTAAAGTGGAACTACTCTAGGAAAAAAACAATTAACTTTATTTAGTTAGAGATCATGCTTTAAAATCATGCCAAATCACGAAATTAATATTTTAAAAATAAACATTAGATCATCCTGTATATATTGAAATAAATATATACCATAACATTGTGCGGAAACACGGCGACGTGGTGTGGGTGACCGTTGGGCAGCACGCTGGGCACGCTGCCCACGCCGCCCACTGCGCCCACGCCGCCCACCGCGCCCACGCCGCTCACACTGCCCACGCCCGCGCCCGGCGGTGACGACACGCCCGCCCACCCCGCGGTCTGTTGCTGGAATACATTAACAATAGCATTTTAACATAAGAGTTAACAGCACACTTCTACAGGTTACTTCAAAGTCTATAATTTTCTTCTTTCCCTTACGTTAATATCAATTTTGTTTCTTCAATATAGAGTCTTTTGTGGTACACGATATAGCATCTAAAACTCTGTTTTTACCCTGAAGTGTAGAAATGGCCCTTTAAGATTGGAACATACGTCATAAAGGGAAATACAAAGCTTGTTCTTGCGTGAGTCGAGATGGTGGTGAATGTTGCAATAGTGTACCTGTCCATTGTGATGGTGCATATGGTGTGGGTGGTGTGGCGGGTGTGGCGAGTGCTTGAGGGGGTAGAGGCGCGCGTGCAGCGGCGGTGGCGAGTGCACCGGCGTGGAAGGTGACGAGCCGTAGGAAGACAGGCTGCCCGCCTCCGCCCCGCCTCCCGCCCCGCCCCCTACGCTCGGCGCCGCACCCGCTACGCTTGTCGCCGCACCGCCGTACATCTAAAGTGCAAGTATGATTTTTAAAGGATTGTAAGTGCGTTTTGTTCAATTAATTCTATTGATAAGTTCTTGTGCTTTAACTTATGTAGCGGTTGTACTAACGGGCTGTAGTGGCGGCTTTGTGAGTAGCATTGTGTCTGTGGGCGAGTGCACGGGCGCGGCGGCCCGGAACGAGGACATGGGCGGCAGCGGTAGCTCGGCACCGCCTGCCGCCCCGGCGCCCTCGGCCCCACCCCCGCCCGCACCGGACCCCGCCCCTGCCCCACCGCTACCCGCTATGCCTGAAAACACCAAAACTATCGGTCAATACACAACAGTAGACACTAAATTGGTAGAAATTGTATTCCAATTGAAGCTATCAAAGTCACAGAGACAAGTGTTGTGTGCGAGTCTGTAATAGTGGTGTGCTTACCTGGCGATGTGGCATAGGGGTCGTGGTGGTAGGGCGGGGGCGGCTGATAGTAGCCGGCTCCCCACTCCCCGGCCGCGTAGTACGGCTCCTGGTACGCGGCGCCAGCGCCTGCGCCCTTCGGCGACGCGTACCGGCTCGGAGAGTCGTGCCCGAACTCATCGCTGCCATACTGGAATTATAACAAAGCAATTATTAAATACATTCTCACCATTTACTATAAGTTAGAAGAATCGAATATCTGTACTAAACTAGAACACTAGCTGTATAAATAAGTGAGGTGTGGCCAGGACCACGTCGAAAGGAAATCCTCAATGCCTACCTCCGTGGGTTACTGACTTGAAGTTGCGTTGTTTATCTAAATGATAATCTCTAAACAATGAATACATTAATTATATTGTATTGTATTACAAAATGTAAATAAATCAAAGCAGTAATTCTGCATTGTTTGAGTTGACGATTGAAATCATTGATCGTGTAGTGAAGATATCAGAACACGGAACATTATTCAATATTTGGTATCCTTTAATACAATTTATCTATTCGTATACAATAGCTTTAATTGATAGAAACTTCAAGCTTTGTCCCGAATATAATCATACTAATATTATAAATGCAAAAGTTTACATGGATGGATGTTTGTTAGAGCCTAAACCGTTGAACGAATTTCAAGATGATAAAGATGTAGTCTGGAAGAACACATGCATTACTTTTGATTTTTTTTCAATACCACACGGACGGAGTCACAGGCGGACGCTAGTTTTAAATAATTTATCAAAGGTTATTATAGACATTTAAGTTTCGCGGTTAAATCATTCTTTAAACAGTATAAGTTACCGTTTGAGGTGAAGAAATATTTCAAGGAATACAATAAGACTTCTTTAAAAAACTTTTATTTTAAGGCATACTTAAATTAGCTGAAGTTTTGAACGCGAATTCATTCCAACGTTAGCCGCAGAGACCGAAACAAATGAACAATAACTTAATATAGATTCATTTCTGGAAAAGATTTTGCAATCGTCTAACAATTAGTCACTGGTTTGAGGAATTCTATCCTTGTATTGTACTGGTACAGTCAGAGTCTTGGTAGGCAACACCAAATATAGCATTGAACAAAACATATAAATAGTTTTTTCATTACAATTATAACATCGACTACCTACACTACCAGTTACAGAATTAAATTAACTTCCCACTTACGGTCGAATCTCGTACAGTAATCACTACCCTACGTAAATACTATGATTTCGACCTAATTACAATAACCGTGATTTTCCCTATTTCAAGGCGGGTAGGAAATTCCACGACTATATGTGCAATGTTTATAGCAACATTTATCTTACAGTCTGCCCTTTAGTCAAAGTATGAGTCAATCCTCTTGAAAGGGAAGTTATTGTGGAGAATTTCACAACGCAGGCCCCGCGCCCCTCACCCCCGCGGCGAGTGCAGGTCGAGTGTAAGCCCGAGGTCCATACAGGTCCACAGAATTGCGACACGCCGCGGCCAGCGAAAGCGAGCAATTAGGCTTATTGTCACCAGTACAGTCGCCGACAACGCGTATTAACAGCGGTGTTAAAAATAATGTAATTCAATCTATACTTAACATTATAAAGAGAAAAGATTTGTAATTTTCGCATTTTAGTATGTAGTTTTAATAATTCTAAAAAATACGGGGCCAATTCCAAAAAGTTTGTCACCATTTTCATCCGTGACTAACATAGGCTATTTTTATTATTTTTCATTTCATGCAGACGAAGTCGTTAGCAACAGCTAGAATACTCATAAAATTAGACCGTTTAAATATATTTGTTCTGTCAAAAATACTAAACTAAAAGTAGTTTTTAAATTAATGAAACAACTGCAGTATTGTTTGAACATTAATCAACTTGGAATGCTTATTACGAGTGAAATATTTAAATTTATAAAATAAAGATACAGAGATAAAGGAAACACAAATATAATTGTAAAATTAAGCAATTATTTTGGGTTTCAATTTAATTAAACTAGCCGTTAAGGGAACAACCGCAACAATATCAATAATTTCAGAGAAAATATCAACACTTCTCGTATCGACTGTACTTTCGCATTAACATTACTTTGTCCGGTGGTCCATTGTGCGCTGTATTAGGTGACAGCTTAGCAATCAGCTTTGCCGAAATTAGCGCAACTCGATGCCTAATCTAGGATTGAGGTACCAACGGGAAAAATATTCAATAATTGAGTGCAGTACTTACACACTTAGAATATAAACAAAGAAAATTAAATTAAAAAGCATCCATACGTATCGCACAATTAAAATGTCTTTGTGTAATACTAGCTATCGCCCGCGACTCCGCGTGGAATTAATAAAATAAAAGTGGGCAGCCTATGTGTTCTTCCAGACTATCCTCTACATCTATACCAAATTTCAACGAAATCAGTTCATTCGTTTAGGCTTCAAACTCTAACATCCATCCATCCATCCATCTAAACTTTCGCATTTATAATATTAGTATGAATTATGATTGCAATGAAAAATTTACGTTCCTGATAAAATAGCTGATGTTTTAAATTTATGTATGTCTTTCTGTCTGAACTAGAACGGGAAGGTATCTGATGCACATGGGAGTATTACTGGCTACTATTTATTCTGTACTGACAAAGTCGCAGGCGACCGCTAGTCACATCTAAAAATGAAGATAATAAAACTAAAAATTGTGACGTCATCTGGTTATCATCAATGATAGCTCAGTTGACATCTACGCATCTTTACATAATTAATTTCACAATAAAACTATATCCGCTTGCGTCCCGCGTTATCCCGGCGTTTATGCAGGAAACGCGTCATAGCGTCGGAGCGTCCCTCCCGCCGGGATGACTCATAGCGATCCCGGATCACTCCTAAGTATTACTGTAAAATTGTGTAGCCGATCTTATAGCTTTGTATTGTTTTTCTTTGTTAACTTGTGAATCAGAATGCAAACTATATAATGTATTTAATATAGTACAGTCAGCTACAAAAATAAAATTAAAGCTATACAGACTTATGTACGTCTTCAGTTCTAAAATATGCATATCTGCCATATACTTTTAACCGTGAATTATTTATACCAAAGTTAACGTAAATAAAAAATGCTGTTCCCGTGCGACTTCATCCGCATAAAATTATGAAAAGTTTATTTTATTGTTTACATGTTGCAAATTATCAATTGTAAATGACAAACCATGGCAACCTCGCTTCCTTGATGTTGGCAGCAACTTATGGTCTCTTTCCCACATTAGGGTTTTTATCAAAAATTTACTCCCTAAGTTTAATGGCGTGAAAATATATAGCCTAAAGCATGACGTAAGTGTAGGACTTTTTATTAAAAGAATTATTCAACAACATGCTGTAATTGCTGACATCTTAGGCAACAAAGAAGTGTGTGTTTACGCTTTATTATAATAGTATAGATACTGCAAATTCTATACTAACTAAAAAGCCTATCATAGTATAAACAATCAAAAACCTTATACTTTTTCTAAATTCATCACAAACTTTGCAAATTATGTAAACATTTTCCACAACGTATCTCAGATGGCTACTCTGACGTCACAATGATGTATATTAGATATTTTTATTACAAAATAACGAGGGAGATTTATAGTGGAGCTCACAATGAGCTGATTTGAATGTTAATACCGCAATCTTTATTTTGAGGGTCTTTACGAGCGGCGGGAGTGAGCTCATCGCTTCATTAAACACGAATTAATTACACCGCACTATTTAATATTCCTATACTACATTAATACATTATTATACAAACTTAAAACTTTTAATAATCTTACTAATATTATAAATGCGAAGTATAGACCGATGGATGTTTGTTAGAGTTTGAAACCTAAACGGCTGAACGGATTTTGATGAAATTTCGCATAAATTTAGTGTATACATAGTCTGGAAAAACACATAGGCTACTCACTTTTGTTTTTACTTAAAATCCACCCGGACAGAGTCGCGGGCGAAAGCTAGTATTACAAACGCGAATGTTTAGATGGATGGACGTTTGTTAGAGTTTGTAGCCTAAACTGCTGAACGGATTTTGATGAAATTTGGCATAGATGTAGATCATGGGTGGGAAGAACACGTGGAAATAAATAAAGTAGTTACATTTGCTTTTTTATTTCCATGTGGACGGAGTCGCGGTCGAAAGGTAGTTAAATCATATTTTCATAATGGATACATTTGATGTTGATCGCAATCAAGTTTGTTGTTAATTTGATAGACTAGCTTTTGCTCGCGACTTTACTAACGCGTAATAAATAAAATACTCTATATTACTCAGTGATCGCGTTCGCATGGTCATTGGTTATTTTTATTAAAATATTATTTTCCATTAATAACATTAGTATAGAAAGAATTGAAACTGGAAACATTTGAAATCACTTTGAATCTCATTCTAAAGTTTCTTTTCCTACATACTTAAAAGTTTGTCCAGTTAAAATGCGCACAACCAGACGCAATCTTTACGAGAATGTTTTCAAAAACTAATTTGATAACCAAATGAACAAAATACATTAGAATCCTTGAAACTGTTTCACTATAAACAATATAATGCGATAATGTTATCTATTATAACGTTTTATTATAATAATAGGAGGTATGTTTTATAAATGTGTAGGAAATATAATAACAAAGCAGCGCAGCTTATCGCACAGGTAGAGTTGACGAGCTTTGAGCTGATTGAACACGTATGGGTAGACCAAAATGCAATACGTGAGCTGGGACTCTCGTTAATAAATTACTTTAACAATCTATATCTATATTAAAAGGAAAGATTTGTATAATATTTGAAATAAATTAATAACTAACAGGCCGATTTCGAAAATTCTTTCACCATTAAAAAGCTATGTTACATACTTATACTTATATGTATGTAAGCTGAGTAAAATAGGTCATATTTTTATAATATTTTTTTAATTTCACGCGACTTAAGCGCGTATTAAGAATATTGAAGAAAAGTACAATATACACACTACAACGCGAATTCCCCTAAAAGACGAATATTCCCTACCTTTAAAAGAAGCCACCTCTATAATGCGATTTATGTCTGTGCCCTTTTGAAAAACGTGTTATACAGGGGTTTCTTACACCGCGAAAACAACCGCGATATAGGAGGGTTTATACTACTTGAATTTATCACTGACAAACTCTATCAGACAACAGAGACGTACATTGACATTCGAGGCACTTGTATACAATCCTTGTCATTTTCTTTAGAGAAAAGAGACAGATATATGACAATACAAGTATCACAACAGTGGAAATTCACGGTTATCCCTAACATCATCATTAGAGAAAGTTATTAGAAAATACAACAGTACTATTGTTATCCTCTTCAGTCACCCTAGTTGTACCAGAAATCTTACACCAGTGTGTCAATAACAATCGAACCCGATGCCCTCAGGCGTCAATTACCAGACTATCAAGTTACAAATCCATTAGGCACCGTCGTTTCCGACCTGATTTTAAATCGACGAGTAGGCGACAGCTTTTCCAATATTTTTTATAAATATTTGTCATATTGATGTCATGACATTCTTCTTACCAGCATTAAAAAAGTTATCAATTCCTTATACATTTACTTTTAATAATCGATTTAAATTACAAAACTCGATACAGATTTTCAGGAGCCACGATTTATTGTCAGAAATTTTCAGTCTAAAGTCAGACCTAAACTAAACTGAAGCTTCACTAAGCAAAAATTACATCCTACAATTTAAGGTAACAAACTTACCTGTTACCCTACTAGATCATAGATTTGTGGGTTCGTAGGATCGGTTTCCGGTGGGTTTTTGTCGCGTCACATCCGGCGGCGTGTGAAAGGCTCACAGCGCCATCTCGCGCGGTAATAACAAATTACATTCATTATATCTATTTTAAGAACACGCTTGAAGAGGGAGATTGTTAGATTTCAAAACTACTGAGAGTAGAGAATGTTATATTTTCATAGGATTTTATAGATTCATTTTAAATATCGTGGATTAATAAACAATTTTAGATTACACGCTTCATCCTGAAAATCTTTAGAAACATTAAAATTTACTATTAAAATTACAGTTCCTAATTTCATACCAATATAACAGAACAAAACATAATACATTATCTAAAAACGTTTATAATATAATTTGTATAGTTACATAACACGGAAGTGTTATTTATATCAGTGCTTACGTTAGTGCATCTAATACGGTATTAGCACAGATTGTCATCATTTGCCCTAAACAATGTCCAGGAACGTAACCGTTGCTATAAATACGTATAGCCCTGCGCCCACCGCGGCTCGCCCACGCCCACGCCGGACAGAATTACTTCTACTAATTGCACCCAGAGAGCACGAAAGAGCGGTGCTTTCACACGAGGGCGAAAAGAACTTCAGAGCATATTAACAGTCAAAATAGTACCTATCTTGACTTGTGTATAAACAATATCAATACTGTAGTATCCACTGCTCTGGTTTATTAGTCTTCGTGTGAAAGTAGCATAAATCAAATACGCGAGCGCATCGGCCGACCGTCATTCCCGACTGCCCCACGTGAATTACTGCCCGTAAACTTGTAGCGATCGTAAAACAATTAGCTCATAGGCGGGAAAGTGGGCGAAATGTACCGCATTTCCTCTTGTAATACCAACATAATAACAAAATACACCGCAGATTATTAACATCTGTGTATAATCTCATTTTTTTCAAAGGAAATCATTAGTTTTACTAGTTTTAAAAAATACAATAATAAGTGAAATCTGTTGGCAAATGCCCGGATAAAATATATAACTACATTCGATCGCCGGACAGATGGGCCTATTTGAAATTGTCTCATAGATAGAGTACAGAAATAAAGCTTCGCTCATCTCAATGTTTTCATAGTTTTTTACTTGCTAGAGTGCAATAATTTATCGATGTAAACATTGCCCGTAGAGCACTGTATAGTTACGTGATGTATGTCTCGGCAACGGACGGACGGTACTATTTATTTATGCACGTTTGCATCGCTTATACAAAACTCTAACACGACGATTTATATTCATTTTGCTGCTAACTTCGCGAAATAGGTTTACAGATATGTCGACACTAGACAGTATACTATTAAAACGACATGTTCAGAAGATAATTAGAGGTCTGTTGTTGCTTTGTGGAGACTCACCCCGCTCTCGTGGCTGGTGGCGGGCGGCGGCGCATGGCCCGCCTCCTCGTGGTACCGTCGGCGTGCTCGCTGTCGTAGCAGCGCGGACGCATCCGGCTGTCCGAACTGGAACGTCTCCTTTGCACCACACAACTCCGCGAACTCATTCCGCGCCTGTTTCGCTCTATCATTTAGAAAGTCCGTGCTGATGAACTCGCCGTGTCCACCGTCGAGGATTTGCGTGGTGAGTCGTAATGAATCGGAGGTCTGGCGGAGGTTGGCCTCCGACTCGGGCCGGTATGTGTCGCATATCTGGCTGAAGGTATTGAAGTATTCTGTGGCGAGATCTGAGCGCGGCTGGTAGCCGAGGTCGGCGAGCGGCGGCGGAGGCGGATCCGCCGGCAGGAAGCTTGGCTCCATCGCGTCATGTCGCATCGCCATGACGTTCGCATTTGAACTTGCACTTATATTTGCACATCACTATCACTGGCATCCATGACGCAGTCGCTACACTGGTGATTTGCTAACTAAGGGATATGCACTGTGTTTACGTTCCGCAACAGATGCGCCACCTAACCGCTAACATAAACAATTGGGATCAATCAAAGAGACCGGCAGCAAAAAATGGTGTCGGAGCGGGAACACCTTGCGTGCGGCGGCCGCGGGGCCTGGGATGCGACTGTACCGGCCTGGGAATCCAGCGCTGGCACAAAGAGAGCAGGTAAATTTTGTAAAACATTAAATGTTAAGGTGAATAATTTAAAAGTAACAGTTTTCTATAATCTGTATTGACGTATCTAGTTATAAAATCAAGAAAGTTTCATAGTTTCGTCTAGGTAGAAATGTCACAACAATTTTTAAGCACGATTTAATCAAAATTCTTCCACTAATCCAATATGAAGTTTCATCAGTTTAGAGAAGACACTGGAATCTAAACGCGTTGTCGTTTTCTATACGTGTTTTCAATTACCTATCTCTCAAAAATTTTTAATTAAAATACTAAAAAAAAACACAATAGTGCGAAAAAGTGCAAACTGCGTTAATCTCAAGAAAGAGACAAGGCGTAAATCATCTTTTTCTTTTGAACAATACAACGGACAGAGATGCATCTTGCAAACACCTTTAAAGTATCTATTGTGTACAAATAATACTCCAAATCGCATACCGCGTGTACTGCGCAGGTAAGAAAGTTGCTATTAATAACATGAAATACGGAAAGTGTTCAAACATGGCAATACTCGGCTGATATAGTCCGATTGCAAGATATCGCCGTGTAGCCGTCAACAGTAAAATTATTACAAATTATTACTCTACATAGATTAATAGTTGCGGTAAGAGAATTAAACTGCATAACTGCTTGTTAACTCTAATAAGGGCACAAATTAACTATTTCTCTTACAGCAGAATAGTGAAACATAAATATATAACAGCGTCTTAAATAATAAGGCCACACAAACTCCAAATTCCATTGCTATTTTGACGCTGTCAGATTGTAAGCAGCGCTTACAAAGAGAGAGAGAGAGAGAGTATTTAAGCTTCGTTTCAGTATTCAGCTGTTAAACCACTATTACAATGCTAAAGAAAGATACATAAATAAAAAGTGCATCCATAAAAATAATATTGTAAGTAAATTTGGAAATATCGCAATCAGAGCTTTAAAAGATATCTTTACGCCAGATAACCGATAACGCCTACATTTATTTAAATAAATGTCACTTAAAAGTCGACTTGGCTTCTAAAGATTTTACTACAAACATCCGCATAGTAACATTTATTAGCGTAGGGTTACATTGCCCACGTGCTCATAGTATTATTGTCACAACTGAAATAAGCAACATGTATAACTAGATAAGAGAATGATTAATTATAGTATATGTAAATGTACTGGAAGTGAGAAACCTTCCAAATGAGAGTCCATATGACACGAGCGAGAACAGTGAAAACATAACTTAACCCTTAGTTCAATAGTGTCCAGTGTTAACAACTAATAAAAAAAACTACTTAACTAGTCTTAAGAAAATTACGTTTAATTTTGATTTTAGTATGTTGGTAACAAATATTTTTTTTACAAAAAACTTCGTCGTATTAAGAGTCAAGAAACGCGTTCTATATAATAATGGTAGACCATGACCTCGATATTAACTACAAATTATTGTTAAGCTCAACTTGAAGCTGTCGCCACGCGCGCTGCACACCTACGACAGGTGACAGGTGGTCGACGTTCAAAACAAAATCAAACCCGGATCCACCTGCCTTTTTATAATTTACTAATATTCCGCTATTGTCAAACAATCTATTAGTACTTTATTTTGATGTAATGTTTGACTAGAATATCGCAAAACTATTTTGTCTCGCTTTGATTCGTATGAGCTTATATGGAGGTGCGCACGCTCGATATTTAGTTGTGCAACTAAACAGTTGAATTCACTGCAAAACCATCAGACAATCGCACAACAGTTGTGCGATAGTTTAGTCAAAGGTGTGCTCCCGTTCTAACTATTGCAAAAGATAGTGCATTTATCTTATTTTATTTAAAAGGGATGGAAATGATAAACATGCCTTTAATGTACTTAAAGACCTACGTTTATAGCCTACCTAATTTAATAAGAGTTATTGACAAAAAACACATCCACCAATCCTTAGGTAATAATTGTAAATCTAAATAATACAACAAAAACTAAAAATTAATAAACTAAACCTAAAAAAACACTACCACCTGTCGAATTTCGCAAACAATAACAAAAAATAAATTCCCATTGGGGCTTCCCTTAAACTTCGCGCAGTATTGATTAGACACAATTTTTAGCTCGTATGGCCCTACAGAGCCTTAGCTCGTATGGCCTCCCTCAACCTAACGGAGTCAGTGTGCCGACAGGATTCAGTTACATCCCAGACTTAGAGGTCATTAACCGGCTTCTTTCACCTGCGCATCTTATTTGCATACAAAAAAACGTCATCAAGAATGCAGTTATTGCTCCTATAAAGTTCACTCTGATCAAGTATTATATTACTCGCGTGAATGTCAAAACAATACATTTTTTTAATAAAACATGGGTGGTCTGTGCCTTAAATTTGGTGATACTGATTCCTGGACATTGTGTCGCAATTATTTTGAAACAGACAATTTAAAATGAATATTATTTAATCCACAAATTATAAGGAATCTTGCAACTTGTGCACCCTTTATTGTATTATATATAGTCAACAATCGAATACTTCATTCTGAGAAGTGGAAGCGTTACATGATCGACAAGAAGAACTAATGTTTCTCTACACGCAGCACAGCGTAGCGCTTCTGTGTCCACAGCACAGCGCTTCTGTGTCCGCAGCACAACGCTTGCGTGAGAATCAGCTGAGCACGGTATAGCGGTGTCGGGTGTCAGCGCCGGTGGTCCGCCGCGTACCGTGCGCAATCTCGCTCACTGATACGCTCCAACATGTGGGCGCGTCGCATTGTTAGCACGACATTGCTCTTTGCATCGTATTGAGAGGGCATTGTAGTTTACTTGAGTGTATTGTTTACTTACTGATATTAATTTAAAAAAGAAAGAAAAGTAAGTTTAAGTAACGTAAACAAAACCGAATTGAACAATATTTTGATCTAATGTTGTATACCTATACAAAAGTGCAAGTAGTAGGGTTGTTTGTTTACCGCGAGGCGAGGCGTTGGAGTTGCGACCAGGTGGCGGGGTTGGGGGCTGGGGTTCAAGGTTGCCGCACTATGCCGCACGCCACAATCTCCGCCACCCTACGCTACGCCTGTTGCAGTAATAGGATTTCCTTCACACTTCACTACACACGGAATGGAGATAATCGTACGTAGACATAACCGGATAAAAAATTTAAAATTGCAACGCAATTTTACCACATTTTAGCTTAGAGACAAAGTTCCAACTATTTGTATCCTCTAAAATATGTCAAGACTGCAAAAGACGCCATCCACGATACAAATAAATTCATTACTGTGTTGAGGTCCAAAAAATCGGGGTCAGACGAAGCCCGCGTCGCGCCGGGATAGGACCGGTCTGGCGCAGCTGTCGGCAGGTGGCGTTGACGAGACCACGGCCACTATCCGACATTCGGAGAAAGCCTTATCCCAAACACAAGCTTTGATAAACATTGTATTTGTAACGTAAATAATCTTAAAGAACATTGATAAGAATTTTCAGCTAATTTGCCGTAAAGACTGAAATATTTTTATTTCTAGAGATCATAGAAAGACATAGCTTTGTTTATCCTAAATTTGTACCGGGTTGATTTAGAAAACAATATTTGTTGCGATATACGTTCGTTCTTTGATACTAAGTGTATATAACGACATGAATAGAATTACAAAATAATTTCATGCGTCATGCATATCAACACTGTAATGTTCTAATACAAGACAGTAACAGACCATTCTCCGTCAACTGGAACAAACAGTAGTCGTTGTACACAATGTCTTCATATATGGGTATCATTGATTAATCTAAAAGTAATTGTATCATTAAAATCAAGTTTTAATTTTAAACCTTACATATTACTAACATTTTAAAAGTTTCATGGATGGATGTTTGATAGAAGGTATCTCCTAGACTGTTGAACAGATCTCGACAGTTTTTTTTATGATGTGACCAGCGCTTGACCACGATCCCACCTAGACCAAAGTGAAGATGTGGTCGAAGGATAGGTCGCTAGTTCAGTAAGTACCGATTCATCCGATTTGGCACACTCTAAAAGAACACATAAGCTGCTCAACTATTTACTCCGTGGGGATTCGTGTGCGACAGCTAATTTTGCTTCAAGTCATTAATTTTTATTGATTAAAACTAGCTGTTCCCATGCGGCGTCATCCGCAGGTATTTATAAAAACTTCATTTTATCGTTTACATTTGTCAATTTATCAATTGCAAACGTCAAAATGACATCACATGATGACAATCCATGGCAATCTTGATTCTTTGATGTTGGGAGTAACTTATGGTCTCTTTCTCACATTAGGATTTTTATCCAATTTATTTACCAACTAAGTTTAATAGCGTAAAAATATATAGCCTAAAGCGTGTCGTAAGTATAGGGCTTTTTATTAAAGAGAGTATTATTCAAAAATATGCTGTGATTGCTGACATTCTGGGCCACAATGTAGTGTGTGTTTACGCTTTATTATAATAGTATAGATTACGCAATAAACCTTATATAGGTTAGATAGATATAGATGCATCAATCGGTATGTAGGTGAGTTGATTCTACAAAGGATGTTATTTCCCTATTCTAGGTAGCTCTCTGCATTCCTCGGAGTTGCAGATTCCGTATTACTGATGCAGGAATGCTGCCCGTGCACACTGACCACTTTTATAAGACCTCTGACTGTAAGCGATAGATGAACGTGGATAATCTAAACAAATGAACAAATTAATTGCTTTTAAATCTTATTAACAGACGAAATAACTGCCGAAATAGTAGACTATACTTATATTATAAAGAGGAAAGATTTGGATGTTTGTATGTATTGAAATAACTCAAAAACTACTGGACCGATTTCAATAGTTCTTGCACCATTAAAAGGCTACGTAACCACTAACACAGGCTGCTTTTTCACG